TTGAGTTGAAAAGTGAGCTGCGGACTTCTTCGGGGGTTGTGGGTGCAATGTCGCATGCGGCATTGACGGCATTTGTCAGGTCTCGACGTCGGTTGTTGAAATACTCTGGGTTTCCGGGGATATGGATTTTAGCTTGAGGAGGGTATATGGCGGATTTTGCTAACACGCTGTTGAAGCCGCAGGTTTTGTCTGCCTCGTCGAAGACTGATAGGACGTCTTCGGGGATTTGGAGGAGGCCCAGCTGTGATCTGAGATATTTGCCCATTGCAACGGACGCCATGGCTGCTCCATTTCCCCAAGATCCATCACCGAGAGACATTGAACGAACATTGAGGGGCAGAGAACCTTTGCCGTCAAGAAGCTCCGATGCAAAGTACGGTATGTAGATGCCTGCATATGACTCTCCCATCAGATGGATCTGCTTTGACTGCAGGTGCGGGAAGTATTCGAAGAAGCCACGCAGCCACTGTGTAAAGTCCGTCGTTACCCGGCCATTGTCCTTAACCGGGTAGGGAAAGCTAGCCGTGGAGTAGCCAGTGCCAACGGGTTGATCAACGTAAAGCACATTACCCAACTTTGTCCACGAGTGCGCATTGCGAATGAATCTAGTTGAATTGCCATCGAAAGAGATAGGTCCATTACCGGTCGCCAGGCCTATCAAGGATGAGCAGCCAGGGCCGCCATTGAACCAAACTATACAACCTTGTTAGCAACCGCCTTTGGATGTTCTTTCCTATTCAGGCTTACTGATCAAATTGTCATCATATGTCGGTTGCTCTGACTGGAATAGCCAGAAAAAGATCTCATTTCCATCCTCCGTCCCCGGAACCGGAAGGCGGCCAGCCCAGCTGGGTGGTAGGTCCGAAACGCCGGGCAAGGTATGTACTTCAAATCGTTCAGTATTGTATGAACCAATTCCTCGCGAAAGAACAAAACCAGGAGTTGCCCATAGGACATGAAAGAAGTATAGCAATGCAGAGATATTCATGGTTGGAACTCGCCGTGCTTTGCACTATGATAATTCTTTCTTTTCGGCAAATAATCGAGATGATACTACGTAGTGAAGATCCAGGATGCTCATACAGACAAGATCCACGTGGAAATCATGTTTCCCTTTTATCTTTTTTCCTTTCAGACATGGCGGTGGCCATTGATCTATTGAACAGGCGGTTGTTGTGCCAGACTTGGGTGTCAATAAGACCAGCGGGTTTATTGGGGCCAAAGACATGGCCAGTGGATTTGGGAGCTCAGCCGGAGCTCATATCCGTCTATAAGTAGCGGATGCCTCCTGAATCACGGTAATTTTATTCAGCGAGCTGAAAAGCTGAACGCTAATATCAATTGGGAGTTAAGTAGTGAAGTGGGTGAAGTATAGGGTTACCTCAATGGATGTGGGGCTACGTTTATCAGGCATCAAGGCCATAAGGCACCAAGGCACTCCGAACCAACAACATTCCGATCTCGACGAGAGGGGCCTGCTTCATCTCTCCTCTATAATCCGTGAACACTCTGCCGAGCTGGAGAGTACGATGTACGGTACTAAGTACGGTACTATGTACCTGGTAATGCACAACTCGACTGCATCCAGTGGTTCCCCGAGAAAAGGAGACTCCCACTCACATGGCCAGTGCTGATTTCAAAGTTCAAAGTGAGGCGAAGACTCCCCCCTTTTTTTTCTCAGAACTTCAAATGCAGATGCAAGTTCGCATCGGAAATGGTAAAGATGTTACAATGTCGAGATATCAAGTAGTCGAGGGGAGTCTGTCTGCTCGCGGGTAGCAGCATAGGAATGTGCTGGTTGCGTCCACCCGAATCCGGTGTAGATCTGGGATACACTCACCTATATCAGTTCATCCCGGTCGCTTTGCCAACTCCTTTTCTTTCTTTTCTTTTTTTTTACTTCTTTGATTCGTCCATTTATCCTGCATCTTTGTGCACTCTCGAGACAATTTGAACTTGTTTGCTCTTGAGAGTATACTGGAATTCCCTTCCTCCCAGGTTTCGCTACTTTGGGAGATTTCATACTCTACAACTCTTTGTTTAAAACGATTATATTCTCTTTTATTCGGATTCCTATACACTTTTTTGGTTTCAAATATTCTAATTTCCACCCCTTTTTTACCTTCTCCCTATATTGCACCCCTGATCAAAACCACGAGGCGATCGACGCAGATCCAAGCAATCCTCGGCTCCACAGGAATTGACAGCTCACTTGCATCACTTTTCGGTGACCGCGGATTGGCTGCCTGCCTGAGGCAAACAGGGGGTTATTAAATTTGTGAGTTGTGGGAGTTGCATAGGGGCGTATTCGCCTTGTTCTGTGCTTAGGTGCATGGCGTGGTCTCGCCATTGCCACCCCAAAAATCTTCCTTTTATCTGACCGTTTAAGTAGGGGAGGTTTAGATATACCGTGCTTAACGATGGATCTACAAGGCACAAAAGAAGCCCGAACGCAGGAGGAGGGCGCCGAAGGCCCTTTGGAGGCCTATGGTGCTGGAAGCGGTCGTTCTAAAGAGTATCACAAGAACGAGGGGCGAGATTCTCACAATCATGATGACCGACCTTCCATTCATCCTCTCCATCGTCGTCAACAACCCTTCGCCTACCCTCATGGAGCTCGACAAGCTGCATCGCCGGTGCCAGCCGTTATCTCTCGGCTTCGAGAGCCCTCCCCGTCACCGGAGGCTATCAGTATACCCCAAGGTTTGGGTCTAGATTCCCGCGATCAGCGCTTATTGCGTAAGGCTCGGAGAACTCCACCGGTTACGAAAAAAACGCTCAGCGAGCTTGATCTGCCCTGTATCATGAGCAATATCAACCTCCGCATGGACGCCAACTTCGATCGCGACCTGCACTTCAAGCCTGACCTAGACGGGGAGAAGGGCCAACGTAAGCGGAAAGAAGCTGCAGACTATTGGGATTCCCTGGCCGCGGAGATTGCTGTTTACTCTTACCATGCTGCGACTGCTGATGCCACCGAGAAAGTGGGGTCGAGTGATGGTACTCGACGCACCTTCGATCCCCGTTTGCCCGCCCTGTTCGAGACATTGCAAGACGTCATCAAGACCCTTGTTCCGGAACGGGATCACCCTACTATCATGCAGAATCTCGAAGTTCCATTGCTGATGCAGCAAATACGCAAAGGCGTTCTCGACATGCTTACGCTGGCAAAATGGCTGGCCAAACTCCTGAAAACACATTGTGCTCCGATGCGAGATGAGTGGGCAGATTCTATGGTCGAGCAAATCGAAAAAGGTTCACAGTCTCAGGACGCTCGGGAGATTGTCAACGGTCTACGAACATTATTCTCTATTCTAGAGGCGATGAAGTTGGTATGTTACATTTAACCCCCATTCTGTCTTGCAATTCCAGACTAATTCGTGAAATGATAGGATGTCGCCAACCATCAAATCCGAGCATTCCGCGTTCTCCTCATCGAAGACACAGTCCCCTTCCTCCAAGAATACTTCCAAGGCAAAATGAACCGCGGCGGCTTCCAAGTCGAACCCGCCCGGCACTGGTACCTATCCGTGCGCGATCAAGCCCGCCAAGACGACGCAAATGCCGAGGCCCAAAAAGCAACCCCAACCCCAGATACAGAAGACACTCTCAAACCCCTCGAAGCCCTATTCCGCGGGATCTCTGCCCAACTTCTCCAATTCGCCCCACCCACCGACTTCCCCGAAACCTTCCTCTTCGACTCCGAGCGTCTCTGGCAACTTCGCTCAACTGTCCAAAACCTAATCAACCTCGACATCGCCTGGTATATCTTCGAGTCCTATGTCAACAAGCACAGGCGGTATCTCTCAACCCCAGAAGAAACCTACTCCACCTTCCGGTCACGCATCTGGTCCCTAATGGAAGATGGCATGGATCTGGAGAACCGTGTCGCAGGGAACCCAGATAACAACGACGACGATCCAGACCACCGCGGCGGCAAGCGCTGGACGCAAAATATGCGCTGTGTCGCGCTGGAGATTGCCCGATTTGCTTGTGCCGCACTGCAACTTGACCCTGTCGTCGCGGATGAGGTTATTGTACCCATCGAGGAAGCGCTCGAGTGGCATCTGTCCAATGAGTCCGAGCTCTTCCTCTTCTTCCAAAATAGCATGCGCAGCAAAATCCTTGCTACCACCCTAGCTGCGGCTCGTAGATACTTGCCGCTGTCCCCGTTGGCGATATGTGAATCGCAAAGGGCACCATTGTCTATGGCTTTGGGTCCTGCTGCGCCGCAGACTGGGACTGCCAGTGCGTCTGGGTCAGTGAATACTTCGTTGCCGGCCTTGACACCGCAGCAGTCAGATATTGAGCGTATTGGCATGCGTCTTGCTCATATGGGTGTGTTGCATTGGCGCGTTTGGGCTCCGTTGTTGTATCTCCGCGATGAGATTGCATTGGCGGAGGTTGAGCAGCCAGCATTGATATAATTTGGTTCTTGCTCTTGTTCTAGTTTTTGCTTTTGCTCTTTTGCTCTTTTGCCTGTTGGATTTTCGGTGTTGGATTATTATTTGCTGCTCTGCTGTCTTCTAATTGTTTTGTTTGACTCGCTTTTCAGCGTCTTGCATTTACTGCTTATTGGGGGGAGTTTTCTTATTCAGGCCGGGTGTTTTACTGACACAAGGGAACCTCGGTGTTATATTCTGGGAAATAGAAGGCGCATATAATATCTATTATGCTATATCATTGATACTATACTCATACTCTACACCATCCTAAACCCCAAACCATGGAAACAAACAAAATTAACACACTCAATCCGGACCCAGTGCCACGGTAGCCGCGAACGTCAGCGGTCCGTGCACCGATCAACAATCCATGAAGAATCCCCCATCCCCTTCTAAGAATGCTCATGCATCCAGCCTAAAATTGCCATAACAGGTCTTCCGCAGATCCAGACTCGGAAATCCGAGATTTATCGTGTTTGTGCTTATGCTTGTACCAGAAAGCTCAGACCCCCACCAAATGCCACCCTTGTCAAGCAAGCACAAACAGACCCCCAAATGCGTCTCTCTGCAGCACTGTACTCCCCAACACACCCTTGGCTCGCATGCTTGAAATCAGCACAATTGCAGCGCATTGCGCGCGCAACAGGTATCCAATCGTCTGGTACGAAGGGTGTTCTTATTGAGCGCATTGCAGCGGAGTTGACGTTGCATTCACAGTCACAGTCACAGGCGCAGTTGCAGTTGCAGTTGTCGGCTGCCGCAGATGGCGATGATGTTGCAGAGGGTGTCATCACTAGTAGTCCATACCTCAGTACCACTGCCAGTGGTAGTGCTAGTGCCAGCACAGGTATAAGCCAAGGTCGACAGGTCGATCGGCGGGTGTCAAACAAAACTCGCTCAAAGACAAAAGGCAAGTCAGCAGACTTGTCAAAATCAAAACCCACACAACCATGGAGCATCCTCAGCATTGATATGGGGGTTCAGAACCTCGCATTCGCGCACCTGCGAGTGCCCCGATCTGGGATCACGGGTGTCGGGATAGACGCAGCAAACCCAAGACCGCCAGAGCTAACAGCCTGGCACAAACTCGCTATTTCTGAGATATCAAGTTTGAACTTGATACCTGGGGATAGTACCAGTATAATCAGACCCGAATCTGCTGAAGCTATACCAGGATCTGGTGATGCCACAGAATCATCACAGGGCATCCTTCCGATGGAAACGGGAAAAGACCTGCCTGTCAAGGTCAAGATCGCCAAATCTACAAAAGAAAAAGATTCCTTTTCCCCAGACCTCTACGCTGCAAATGCATACACCCTAATTTCATCACTCATAGCGGCATACCGCCCCACACACGTGCTTATAGAGCGCCAGCGCTTCCGCTCAGGCGGTGGGAGTGCCGTTCTTGAATGGACGCTGCGCGTTGGCCTGCTGGAGGGTATGTTGTATGCTGTTCTCCATACGCTACGACAGGAGAGGGGCGGAGATGTTGCGGATTTGGTTGTTCAAGGCGTTGAACCGAAACGGGTAGTCCGGTATTGGCTTGAAGGTGGATTTTCACCATCAGTTCCAGGGAAACGAGATGCGGATGAGAAATCCGAAGTCGGGGAAACGGTCAAGGAGAAAAAGCCCAATGCGCGAGAAGTGAAGAAGGCTAAGATCGATCTTGTTGGTCGGTGGCTTTCTGCTGCGATGCAGAAGCAGAATACCAATGCTTGTCCAGAGACGGATGGCAGCCCTGAGAAACTCGAGCTTGGCATTGCTACCGACAATAAGATCGTGCTGGCGGATAAAGCCGAGTGTCCTACTCTGCGTAGTGTTACGGGTGCGTATATGCGGAAATGGCAGAGCCAGACGCAAACTTTGAAGAAGGGGAAAGGGAAGGGGTCTCGTGCTTTGAAGAGTGGGTCTCTGTCTCCATTGCTGGTATCCCCTCACTCTGAGATAGGGGATGAGGTGGCTGCTATTGATCCAGGGAAACTCGATGATCTGGCGGATTGTTTGTTGCAGGGTGTGACATGGGTTGAATGGCAGATTATGCGGGAGCGTATTGCGAGAGAAGGGGTTGGGGCGTTGGATTCGATATCCTAACAGATATCAATATTCATTCATCCTAAACAGAGAAAGGCGTGATGGTGATCGGGGGATTAATGCCGTGGGCTCTTCTAAGGAAGAAATTGGGTGTTCGAATTTTGTATATTATCCTGCTTGATGTATTTAAATGGTCTGTCTGGACAAATCACACGTGATATGAATCATCAGCTCAAAGCTTCACTAGACTATATTTCCACATCCACCTATGTGCTGTGTCTGCCTCAGCCTAAGGAGATCGACACTGATCGACAGGTCCGTCACAGGCCAAGCCTTACTATAATGCTACAGGGTGGAGAGCCTCATACACTGTATTTCTACTCGTCTTACGAAGGAGGGTTCTTTTGCAAACAGGCGAAAGCCTCAAGTCAATTCAAGTTCTTTCCTAGGGATACCGATATTGCTCACCGTCATCGGCCTTCCACATGGAAGAAAATCTTGAAGACAAAAAAAAAACAACACAAAGCATGAGATCATTCGCAAAATGAAGATCCGTAAAGATTAACGAAGATGAATTTTTCTTTCAAGCACAATAGAAAAGGGGCAAGATCCAGTCCTCAAAGCAGACGTGTCACCACCCATCAAACGATACGTGAGAAAATGTTCCGAGTCCAATGGAAACCGGTCATATGAATGGGTCAATTTCACATTGGTGAGTAAAGAAATGTAACGCAAGGAAATGTCACGCCAGAAGCTTTGGGGATTGGGCACCACAGTTGAGAATTGGAGTTCACGGCCTGCAAAACGTAGCAAGCAGGCAGGGGAAGCTTGGGGCCCAAAGCACCATCTAGCATGACAAGACAATTGCAAGAATAGAAGTCGAAAAGAAGAAACATGGCAAAAAATGGAGGGTAAATAAGAAGTGAAATCGAAACCGTTTGTACCGAAACTTGGCAAAAATAGGTACAGTACCAGCACGCCTCTGCGCGAGTAGAAGGAAATCGGAACTTTCTCTCAGATCATCAACAGGCTCGCAACTCGCTGCCAGGTAGAGGTGGATAGTCCTCTCGCATTAGCAGTTTGTTGTTTAGATGAACTGGCGGCGCCAGTTGGCCAAGAAAGGCTTGCCAGTGGGGGTGCCGGTAGGCGTGGGCTGGGCACTGGAGGAGAAGGTAGGGGTAACGCTGGCGCTGGCGGAAGGAGTCCGGGTAGCGAAACCGCTGGACGAAGGAGTAGGAGTACGGATGAGGGGAACGCGGGTGGAGCCAGTGGCAGTGCGGGTCTCGGTGGAAGCAGCAGCGGTCTCAGCGGAGGTGCTCTGTGCGCCCTCACCGTTGCCAGGGGTCTGGGTTTCGGTAGCGCCCTAGAAAAATAATGTTAATTTTTGATATGTGAGTTAGGGGATTGAGCAGCACATACAGCAGTTACAGTCTCGGTGACGGTAGCAGTAACAGTCACTGCGGAGCAAGCACCAGACTCATTGCCGGCACCGCCGGAGGGAGTGGGTGCCTCAACGAGAGTGACAGTCTCAGTCTTGGTGCTGTTGATGGTAGAGGTGCGAGTTTGGGTAGTGTCCTCAGCAGGCTTGGTGGCCGAGGCCTCAGAGCCGGACTCAGTCTATATCAAAGTTAGTTCACGAGTACAAAGCACAAGATATCAGATAGAACACATACAGCAGTGACGGTGTGTTGCTCAGTAGCGGTCTTGGAAATGGTGGTAGTGATGACACTAGTGGAAGTTCCAGAGGTCACGGTGTAAGTGACAGTCACGGAGTCATCGCCAGTGGGGGCAGCGCCAGCAGGGGCAGACACACTGCTGGACAGAACGCCAGAAGAGGACTTGGGAAGGCCAGTAGGACGAGAGCTGATGGGAGTGCGGGTAACCACAGGCTTGCTAGAAGAAGCAATAGGCGAAATAGTGCCAGCGGGCACGGAGGAGCTCACAGCAGGGATGGAAACGACCGAAGAGGAGGCAACGCTGGGAACGACAGACGAAGACGAAGCAACGTGAGGAATGGCGCTGGAAGCCACCGAGGGAGCAGAAGAGGACTGCACAGCGGAGGACTCCTCAGCAGGAGCAGACACGGCAGAAGAAGAAGCCGTGGGAGCTGGCTCGGCAGCAGTGGGAATCACGAGGACGGTCGAGGTAGAAGCCTCAGCACCGGGGGTGACGGAGCGAGCCAGAATGCGACGAGCGTGCAGACCCTCGTGAGTGGCCTGACCCACAGCAGCCATAGCGGCCACAAGGACAACGGAGAATTTGTTCAAGACAACCATGATGAAGTTATTGGTAACGACGGTGGATATCAAACAGAAAAACTGAGGGTGAGAGGAGAGGATGTCAAGAGCAAGACTGCCGGAGCAAATTGAGCGGGTGGTTAAGTGAGTGTGGGGAGGAAAGAGCGACAGAGCAAGATACGAAATCAATTCGCAGGGAAGGAACGTATGGCTTCTCACAGAGAAGGAAAGAAGAAGAAGTAGGCAGGAGATAAGCTTAAAGAAGGAAAGAAGAGGGAAGAAAGGAAGGAGACCTAAGGTAATTAACTCATCTTTAATTTCTTTAAATTAAATTATACATATCAAATTTAAATTTAATATTATATCTCTTAGTACTTTCCACGTATGAAGGACTAGTTAGTATGGAGTACAGAGTATCTTTTAATCAAATCATCGGTAATACCGGTGGATCGACGGTATATGGGTATCCACTGTCTCAGGCACGGAGATTTCATTGGTCCAAGTGCATTGATCCAGAGCCCGTGGGCACTTGGGCTGGGACCTTTAATCTCACGTAAAAAACCCATATGATAACTATTCGAGCCTATGAACCTTTTACTGACTTTCCTGGATGTGATGTGGCGCCAGTGGCGTCATTCACACCTTATATCCGCCCCTATCATTTCGATGAAGTGCTTAATAGGGGATATTAGATCATCGGATCTTTATGTTGTGTACCTTTTGTACCTCGTAGGGACATGTCGGCAAACGGGGTATTAGGGCACGGACGCATATGAACGTGCATCCCACCAGAAAAGTCTGACAATATCCGGGGGCCACTTCCATAGGCCCATCTTAGATATGTACGGAGTACGGAGACAATGTATCTCAATTCTAATGGGGAAAGACAGCCCGAGAATCTACGACGATCATTGATGAGAAAAATACGGATCCCCGGGACTTTCGGGCACGTTTGAGAGTTGAAAGGTTGATCTCGGCTGTAATAATACGGCATATACGATACCCGAAGGTTTCACATAAATCAGTCTCCCGTGTCCCAGGATCCCAGGATCCCCGCTTCCATTTCTCGGGATATAAATTGCTTTTTGAGAAATAAACATGACATTCCGGACTCCACGGGTATATCTCTTTACATTATTTCCATACATCTAAAACGAAGATTGACACCATTCACTCTAGGTGCCGTCTGTACTCCGTACTTATGGACCACGTGGGGTATATTTTATCAAATCTACCGTCCGTATAGGTATCGGGTGAATTGATAAGGTCTAGGCTTCCAACATTAACAGGCACGGCCCCTGGCCTTGGGTCGATCGGTTGTTCGTCTCATTTCCCGAAGGACTACTCCGTCCTAAAGCGAATAATTTATAAAGCCCTGTTTGTGAAAGGACCGTCATGTCTCGCACGAATACTGGCTTAGGTAGAAATCGAAATATACCCCCTAGAGCCCTACGGAGTAGAGATTCTCCTATTTCGCAGAATTGCAAAGTCCAAAGTCGACACGGAGAAGCTTTCCAAGATGAAACATCCGGCTTGAAATTTCAATGACCCCTGTCCGTATCCCTCCCTAACTCCCCCAGATTGCTAGGAATTGTTCGGAATTGCGGGAGATCATAATTCTGAGAACCACGGTGATTGCTGGATCTAAAAATGTCTTCAATCTTGAGATGCTCTGGGGCCATCCATGGATATCCGTGGATCGAGCGAAGGCGGTGACGACATGGTACCTTATCGCTGTGATAACACCTGCATGCATCCCGCATTGAAGATCATCGCATTCAAGCAATTAGTATTGAGCATGTCCTCGTTCCAAGCCCTCAAAACCCAGTATGGGTTACTATTGAAACGATTTCTGAACTCGAACAAAGACTTCGAGGTTCTAACAACCATCCCACCCGACCACTCCGCAGAATCAGAGACGCTCTATGTCTTAGACTCGTCTTTCAATCCCCCCACCCGCGCCCACCTCCGCATTGTGAGCACGGCAGTCATAGAAAATCCCCGGCCCCGCCCTCGCGTCCTCCTTCTTCTCGCTACTCAGAATGCAGACAAACCGTCCAAGCCGGCCTCCTTCGAGGATCGGCTCGCGATGATGGAGCTATTCGCTCGGGATCTCCGCGCCCACCTCGCATCGGCACCGGCCTTCGCCGCTTCGGGGGTCACAAATGCTGTGGAGACTCTTCCGTTGATCGACATCGGTGTCACCAAAATGCCGTATTTCGTCGACAAGGCAACTGCCATTGAGGCATCGGATTCTTACCCAGTGCCGCTGGAGCAGGTCCATCTTACGGGGTACGACACTTTGATCCGGATATTCGATTCCAAGTATTACGCGCCCGAGCATACCCTGAAGCCCCTGGAACCTTTTCTGTCAAAGCACCGGCTGCGTGTGACTATGCGGCCGAGCGATGAGTGGGGTGGAAGAGAGGAGCAGTTGGAATATGTCGCGGCTCTTGCTAGAGGTGACCGAGATGGTGAGGGCGCGCGTAGGGAATGGGCCGAGCGGATCCATCTTGTCGAGGGTCGTCTCTCCACCGACCGGCCTGTGAGTTCAACCAGAGCCCGCGAGGCATTGCAATCGGCTCCTCAGGACCTGAACTGGCTGGTCCCTGAACAGGTGCGGCAGTTCGTGCTGTCGGAGCGCCCGTATTATGGAAGCTCTAAAATGTAGATACTTGGATGGGGTAGCCGCTGGGACTCTCGTACGGTCCATTTCCAACTTGTACAGTGATAATGCATGAATGATTTCATAAATAAACCCATGTACCGACACCGAGACCTGAAGCCACCCACGTTCCAAACGCACAACTAAACCACTTTTGATACACATATTGTACATGGCAGAGCGCAAGATCAATGCAGCACCGCGATCTTCGCATCGTTATGAGTTGTCACCGCGATCATGACGCATCTTCTTCCTCCTCCCTCTTACCTAGAGTGTACGCCAACCCACCACCGATCATGTTGACCAAGGCCAAACCCATAGTCGCACCGCGCACGACGCCGCGAACACCTAGCTTCTTCATGAATGGCTGTCGACGGCGGGCTGCGAGAAGAAGATACAGCCCCGAGAAGGACGCGCTAATGCCGGCAGTGTCCGTCTTGAAGCCCTGCAGGTTGGCATAGCTGGAGAAGATCAGCACAGGTGGAAAGAGCATCGGGAAGAACTGGAACGGGCGCATGTGCTGCGCTGCGATCATGGAGGCGAGCAACGTGGGTGGGAATGAGTTTTCTGGGTTGAGAAACGTCATTAGCGAGTGATCACTTGCAACATTGCTTCTCGACGGCTGGCCTATAAAGCTAGGCTATTCATAGGGCTCTTACCACCCCAGGCACGGAAGCGCTGGATTACCGTCTGCTTGGTCTCTTCGACAGTTGAATCATCCGCCATGGTGAGGTGTTGAGCTTCGGAGCTGGACTTATTTGATGAAAGCGGAAGACGGAGCTTTGACAGCCAAGGATTGTGCTTGCTGCAGGTATTATCAATAAGACGGACGTGCTTTGACTGAACTTCGTGGACCTCAAGACAACTTACAATTGAATATCACGGACTTGGAGACGTTGGCAGGTTTATCAGTTCGGCAAGTGATGTTATCGCAAGTGTAATTGGCGTTCCGGCGCTTGGCAAAGACACCTAAGACCACGCTTTTTCCCCAATTTATGCCCGCCGAATCAGCCACACCTGTCACTCTGATTTCGCTGCATCTTCATCAGGCCGATATTTTACTTTGGCCATCTCATCGCATGTTAGATTAATTTTGCCAGCCCAACCATATCTGCGGGATTGCTTCTCCTATCCGCAATCTCACGCCACCTTACGCCCTCCAGATTCTCTCGACCCCCCTCTTCCATCGAACACCAGCAAACGAGTGCCGTCCAGGATTTGTCAGATTTTCCTCATAAACTACGGCTGCTATGCCCTCGGCTTCGGCATCTGGCTCTGACGCCAAAAGCGGAGGTGCGTCGTCGCGCGACCATAAGCAGGGCAACCAGGATCGCAAGTACACGGATGATCAGAAAGCCGCTGTGCTTCGGATTCGAAAATGCCAGCCTACAGCGTTTTACGAAATTCTGCTAGTCGAGCGCTCATCAACGGACAATGAGATTAAGAAGGCGTACCGCAAACAGAGTTTGTTGACGCATCCCGATAAGAACGGTTATGAAGGCGCGGATGAGGCATTCAAGAGTGAGCAATGAGCAACCCCAGTCCATCTCTTGACATATTGATTCTTATGCGCGGTGGCAGTGGTCTCGCGTGCTTTCCAGATCCTCTCCGACGAGGAAAAGAAGTCCAAGTACGACAAATTTGGCGGCGATCCTGATAGCAGGTTCCAGCCCGGACCGAGCGCCTCGAGCGGCGCATCCCCCTTCAGTGGGTTCGGCGGTGGCGGATTCCCTCGCGGTGGTCAAAGATTCGATGAGGAGGTTTCGGCCGAGGAGATGTTCAACCGATTCTTCAACGGTGGATTTGGCGGAATGGGTGGTGGTGGATTCGGTACGACTACGCGTTGCTCTGATATCTGTTTAACCTGAACTAATCGTGTGCTACTATAGGTGGACCGCAATTTGTGTTCAACATGGGAGGCGGCCCAGGATTCCGAGTGCATCAATTTGGAGGCCAGGCGCCCCGCCGTCGGCCTCGCACAGCAGCTACTGAGCAGGAAGCTCAGATTGATGGCCGCAGTTTCCTTCGCCAGATATTGCCGCTTATCATTCTATTCATCTTGCCGCTCCTATCCTCTCTCTTCTCTGGTCCCTCAACCCCATCCGGACCCTCCTATCGATTTGATACCCCCGTTTCCCCGCATACCCTTGGCCGCTCGACCCCTAAGCTCAATCTCAATTACTTTGTGAATCCCCTCGATGTGGATAACTTTAGTGCCCGAAACTTCCGAGAGCTAGACTCACGTGTGGAGGTGGAATATGTCAGGACACTGCGGAATGAATGTGATGCCGAAGCCCATGAACGGGAAAGGAGGTTGCAAGATGCGCAGGGGTGGCTGTTCCCTGATATTGAGAAGATGAAGAAGGCTCGTGCGATGGAGATGCCGGCCTGCCGGCGCCTGGACCAACTGAAGACGAAGGGGAGAAATTAAATGCACTGCGGACTTTGGAGGCTTCACCGCACCTTCTTATGGCATCTTGTTTCTTTGCGGGGCTCTTTTCTACGGAAGAACGTGCTCTAATATCATTATTAGCCCGTCCACAAAGGTGGCATCTATGGGAGTTTCAGTTCATTAGCTGTACATTTTACTTTTCCTACAGTTTTGAATGCATCTAAGATCTTACTGAATTTGTCCTCTTGGTTTTTCTAGGACTCAATTATGACCTTTGGTCCTCATTTTTGAACACGGGATGAATACAGAAGGTATATCATATTACACTAATTTTACATATGTATTGATGCTGTGACCATAAATTTGAAGAATATAAATAAGGTCCTTGGTTTGTTTTGGCTTCAATATTTGAACATACAAAAGTATATCTATAGAACAGACCATAGGATCGATCTATATTTTCTATTCTGAATAGTTTTGCGTTCGAACGAACGGATAAAAAAGTGACTTTAGAGGTACATCATTTTACGCGTGCAGATCGCGCGTACTAACAAGTACCTTTTCTGTATCTCACACGCTACCATGGACCATGAGATTCGCTTAGTCAAATTTGATCACGGCGCTGAATCTCGAATTAGAACAAAAGCGAATCTCGGAGATCATCACGGAATCACAAACATCTTGTTCATCTTCTGCGGATTCTAGACTCCATTGCCCCCACTTCGAGGCTTTGAAGCAGCCATATTCCGCTTTCACGCCCTCTTATGATTCCCGCACGGTCAGGACAATATTGACATTCTGCCGACCTGATCCACCAGATTAGCGGTCCTGCCAACCTTTTCAAACCGGCTTATTGTCTGACCTTTAGCTAATATGTCGGACACTCTTTCCGACGCGGACAAGGTCAGTTACTTGTTGTGCTCAAATTATGAAGTCGTGCTGTCCCCGCAGTGACTTGAGAACTAACATCTATTCTTGATAAAAAAAAGATTCGCAACAAGCGACTTGCAAAGCTCTCAAACCCAGCCCAGCCCCCAGTGGATGGCAACTCCGACTCGGCACAGAGCTCAGCTAACACATCTCCATCACATTCACCACTGTCCACTCAGTCACCGAGCCGCCTTTTCAACGCGCCACAAACCCCGCAGCAGTCGGAAGGGAAGCGGATCAAGATCACACCGGCCGCGGCTACACCAGAGCGACCACGATCCGCTGCTCCCTCAGCCCCGAGCACCCCTCCGCCACAGAAAATCGAAAGCATTGAGGCCTTCGAAGACCGAACACTAAGTGCCGTGTTCAGAGTGACCCTCAAGGAAGAAGGGCAACGTGACATTCATGGCAACCGCACATACTTGCCCGGACTTCGGAGTGAACTGCAGGGTGAGGGCCAGGATTTGCGCATCCAGGTCGCAGTTCTGGACCAAGCCCTCCTAGAGGCTGCGTCAAAGGCCGAGAGGCTGCGTCCCCTTGATTATCTTCTCCCGTGCTGGAAGCGCATCACAAAGCTGTACAAAGGATTAAGGCGGACGGGAGACAATGACCCAAAGTATCAAGTGCTGTGTGAGGCGCGGCGCCTCTGCATGAGCTACTGTATCTTTGCGATTACAATGCCAGAGATGTTTGGGTTCGTTTTTCTGGAATGTCACTGCACTGACACTCGACACTGACTGTTTGGACTATAGAAGCGAATGGTCCCCGCAATCATCGTTGGCTGCATACCTTCTTATCGACCCTGAGGACGACAAAGGAATCGATTTCGAGTTTATCAACGAGGCCGTCAGAAGATTCGACGAAGATGACTCCGTTAAGCCTGCCTTCATATCTGCTGTCGAGCAGTTGAGCGCGCAGCTTTCTTCCATGGACGTTAATGATGACTACAAGCCATACGCCATTGTAAGTCAAACGTCGGCATTTCCCTGGACCACGTCTGACCAGTTTGTTCAGGCTCTTCGAAATCTTGTTCGCCACGGATCCATTGCGGCTGCAATCACGGAATCCTCCATTTTTAACAATACTAAGGATCCTGCTGTATTCGAGAAAGCCACTCTTCTGGGTCCATGGTTCCGCCTCTCACCTCTTCAAGCTAATGTTACCCTGTCCTATTTCTCTAGCCCCAAGACCCGGGATCAGGCATACATTTCCAATGCCCAGCGATCGCTTCGAATGACACAGCATATGCTTAGCTCAGATCTTCTTGATGTTGTTAACCATCTGATCCGGGCCTCAAAAGAGGCTCGGGATCGTGTTTTGGATTGGTTCGCTACTGCTATGAACATCAATCACAAACGACGGGCAATGCAGGTCGACCCTGCACAAGTATCGTCTGATGGCTTCATGTTCAATATCACAACGTGCCTGGACCAGCTCTGTGAGCCGTTCATGGATGCAGCGTTCACCAAAATCGACAGAGTCGATGCGGATTATCTCCACCGCGATTCTCGCGTTGACATGCGGGATGAGACCAAAATCAACGCCGATCAGCATGCTTCCGACGCTTTCTATTCCAAGAGGGTCGAAGGAACCTCAAACTTTATCACTGAAATATTTTTCCTGACTGTCGCCGCTCATCACTACGGCAGTGAATCATTGACGTCAAAGATGGAGCAACTCGAGAAAGATGTGCGACAGATGGAGAGTACAATCACTAAATTCGAACTTGAGCGGGTTCGCTGGCTCAACAACCCACAGCAATTGCGCACCTTCGATACAGCCCTGAAGAAGTACAAGGACAAGCTCGACTTGGGCATTGCTCTCAAGTACAGTCTGCAGGGTGTGTTGTTTGACGAGCAGTGGCAGGCTCGTTCCATGCTATTCATGCGATATGTCACCGTGTGGCTTCTGAGACTCGTCTCAGGAAAGAACTTCCCCAAAGAGCAGGTTACCCTTCCTCTTCCAGAGGAGCAGCCCGAAGTCTTCAAATGTCTACCAGAGTACTTCTTGGAGGACGTTGTCAGTAACTTCAAGTTTATCATGTGGTGCATGCCACAGATCATTACCGCCACCCAGGGAGATGAGTTGGTAATGCTGTGCATCACATTCCTGGAGAGCTCCGCCTACATTAAGAATCCCTACCTGAAAGCTGGACTGATCTCAATCCTGTTCCGAGGCACCTGGAAACGCCCTGGTGGCGCCAGTGGTGTTTTGGTCGACCTTCTCAACTCGATGCCATTTGCCAATGAGCATCTCCTCCATGCGGTCATGAAATTCTACATTGAGGCCGAGTTCACGGGAACACATTCGCAATTCTACGACAAGTTCAACATCCGTTATGAGATCTTCCAAATCATCAAATGCATCTGGCCCAACACTCTGTATCGGGAGAAGTTGTCCCTTCAAGCCAATCAGAACCTGGATTTCTTCGTCCAATTTGTCAACCTCCTACTGAACGATGTCACTTACGTACTTGATGAATCCTTCGGTGCTTTCAAGACTATCCACAACACTCAGACCGAGTTGAATACCCAGGGCCACACAATGGATGCCGCAACCCGCCAGCAGCGGGAAGAGCATCTGTCATCGGCGCAGCGCAGCGCCAAGAGCTATATGCAACTGACTAATCAAACCGTGTCAATGCTTAAGCTATTCACTGATGCGCTTGCTGACTCGTTCACAATGCCTGAAATCGTGCAGCGTCTGGCGGACATGCTGGACTACAACCTCGACGCAATGGTCGGACCCAAGAGCTCCAACCTCCGGGTGGATAACCTGCAGGAATATGGCTTCAACCCCCGTGCTCTTCTCAGTGAGATTGTCGACGTCTACCTTAACCTGATCAACAAGGAAAACTTCATCCTGGCTGTTGCCCGTGATGGCCGATCCTACAAGCCAGCCAATTTCGAGAAGGCAGCAGAGATCATCCGTAAGTGGTCGCTGAAATCCCCCGAGCAGCTCCGTCACTGGAGTCGGCTGCAGAAGAAGGTCCAGGCTGCCAAGGAAGCCGATGATCAAGCAGAGGAAGACATGGGCGAGATTCCTGAAGAGTTCCTCGGTATGCCCCCTTATCTGAACATAGCTTTACGACAGTTGCTAACTATGTCAGATCCTCTTATGTATTCACTCATGGACGACCCAGTCATCCTTCCCGGCTCGCGGATCTCCATCGACCGCGCCACAATTCGCTCGCATCTCCTCAGTGACCCGCACGATCCATTCAACCGTGTGCCATTGAAGATCGAAGATGTGGTAGCTGGTAAGCAATTTTTCTTTCCTGGGTGTTGTTCTACTATTAACCCCATATTTATCAGATACCGATCTCAAAGCCAAGATTGAGGCGTTCAAGACAGAGAAATTAGCTGGCAAACGGAGAGAAATGGTGCATGATCGGATGGACACATCGAATTAAGGAGCGGGAGCTTTTTATGATTTAATTCACAAGCTTACTTGTTTAGGGGCATTTTCCATTAGCGTTCACGGGACAGAATACTACAACTCGTTTATGTGGAATATGCCCTGGGTTATTTATGTGCGTGGCTTTTCGTCGGGTAGACAATCAAACGAACCCAGTCTTATCGCCAATTTGCTCAATCTTTGAAATTTGTCCCTGCTGTCTTACCCTTTGTAGCTGTAGGAGGGATTTCGTTTGCACGACCTGTATTCGCGGTAGTACAGAGTATAATTCTTGAATTTGACAATTCACGCACGATCTTGCCAGAAATTGTCCCCTTGATTAGTACGGCCGACATTGTTTGTTCTTTAAAAAGACATAGAAGGCAAAAAAAAAAAAAAGTAATAGAAGAAGGAGGAGAAGAAGAAGAAGAAGAAGAAGAGGAAGAAGAAGAACAATAGGTGAAGTTGTAAGGCCTTACCCGGGACCCACCGCCTTCGACATCACCGGCTTTTAAGCTTCTTGTTTATCCTCCGTGATCTTCAATTATTTTCTCTTCAACTCTCAATTGTTCAACATGGGTGCAACTATTTCCACTTGTTGGGAAGTTCTACCCTCTACTGGGCAGCTCTTCCCTCCAACCCCGGCTGTCTATACACCAATTCTATGCTGCTTCCAATACTTCCCCCTGGTCAAGACCCTGAAGCCCTATATGATATCACAATACTAACTCGGAGCATTTAGATCACGATAGTTCAATGGATTCTATCCTGGCATCCAGCAGGAAAAACCTCCTCGCAGTCCATTTTCAACATCCCAGGACGTATCGCGTGGTCCGCCATGGAAATTGTCGGCCCTATCAACTTGATATATTGCATGGTCACCCCATCACCATATGCACCCTCACTCACTGATCTCCCAATGTCCAACATCCTTATTGTAACTCTGTACTGCACCCACTATGTCAACCGCGCTATCATCTCCCCTTTCTTCTCCGCCCCCAGCATGTCCCCAATCCACGTCGCCATCATGTCCTCCGCCATGCTCTTCAATTGGTTCAACTCGGCTTGTCTGGCCGGCTGGTTGCGTGGATATACTGTGCCGACTATCCCAAGTTTCCACACAGCCAGCAACGGATTTATATCTTCCTGTTTTACGATGCCAGATCTCCTCCCCATCGTGGGCGTAATCTTATTCGCCGTGGGAATGGCCGGCAACATCTACTCAGAGACAGCACTATTCCGACTCCGGCGTGAAGAAGCCGAAAAGCGCGCTACTAAAAAGACAGACGACGAAACTCTAGCGGGACAAGGCAGCGGAAACAAGTTCCACAAAGTCTACGTCATCCCACCTTCCCGTGGTGTCTTCGGATACATCTTGTATCCGCATTACGTCTTTGAATGGCTCGAGTGGATTGGTTTTGCTCTTGCTGGTACGGCAGTTGCCCCACTCTCCGCCCTACCTATCTCCGTTTCAACATCTTCGGCGGGGATCGCTCCTCCGCTGCGTCTTGCGCCTTGGTTGGTGCCTGCGGCGTGGGCGGCTGGTAAGCTCGCTGTGCCGCTACCTTTGCCTGCTGTGGTCTTTGTTGTCAATGCGGTCACGAATATGTTGCCCCATGCGCGCTGGGGACGGAAGTGGTACGTTGAGAAGTTTGGGGAGAAGGCTGTTGCTGGGAGGGGCGCTGCTGTCCCTGGGTGTACGTGGATGTGAAATCAACGAAGCTCCTCTAAGTCGCCTTTCTACTTTTTCTCTTATTTTTTATTTTTGTGACTGGCTTTCCGGCCTTGATATCCAGATACGAACTATTTTTCTGTGTGGCTGAACCTGAATTACTAAAGACATAGTTTTTGAATACTAGCCATCGGAATTGGCAATTGCTCCATATCGTAAACCTCATCACGGATATCAACTGGAACCTCACAGGCTACATGTCTTCCCGCCCCCGGAGCTGGTGAACTGGTCGGTATCTCTGGAGGACCCTGCTCATGCGAAACTATCGCCTCAGTTGTGCGAACGATACCCTCACCCTGAATAGCCCTCACCCTGAATAGGCAATATCCGCTCCTCGCTAGAATTGCTCCCTCGACTTCCAGGATACGTCACCGAACGTGTCGTAGAAGCGATCTGTGAGTGTTGAGTCTTCGGGTCAGCGTCGTACTCAACGACACTAACATTGCCGCTTTTATATCCTCGGGATTGTAGTGGTTGCCCCCTTGATCGGGATATTGAGTGCATTTTATATATCTTGCTGCCGGGGTACTCGCGGGTTGTCTTTGACTGTGAGCCGTATGTGCCGAGAAATCCTTTGAAGAGTGTTTTGAGGGCTGGGAGGCTGCGAACGATGATACCTATGTTGTATTCGGTGCTGGTATTGACTAGTACGGGAATTTGAGGGTGGTTTTAGAGTTTGTAGAAAACAACTTACCCGGTCCAGATTGTGATGTCTGTATAGTCCCAGAGGAAGTCAGTAAAGGATGTTCCAGAACACACGTAGACCCGGCATCCGGGATAATAGTTGGTCATTGGAAACATGGCCAATAAGCAGACTTCACAACATCAGTACGAAAAGCACATGGAGGGAGATGAGCCTTGGATGCAGAGAAAGACTCCATAGCTGGTGGATTACTCTCTACAGTTTAGTGGAGTTTTACGTATTTGATTTTTTTCCCCATATATCCGGGTGTATCCTGGATGATCTCCTATTAAGGGCCGATCCGTGAGGTGATCCAGGGATTTTAGAGAGAAGAGGACCCTTTCCAAGGTTAGAACTGATTGAATTTCCCAAATGGGAAATGTGCGGCCGGCATCTCCCGGCGGTGGAGAAAGCGGGACATGGCCTGATGCCCTAAAAGGTCCCAGCAGAGTGGGGGGGATTATGGGGACTGATGCAGGAAAAAGGTGATAGCGGCATGACTATGCCCTAGTTCGACTCGGAACTCCGAGATAGGGATGATTAGCATATGCACCTAGCCTTTAAATGGACGACCATGCCCGGATCCCTTCAGCTCGATCACAACTTCTCCTAAACTCTTGGTGTGAAACTGGTCCTTCAGAGGCTCAAATATTCAACTTGCCACCATGGTTGCCGTTTCCATTCTTACTCTGGGAGCTTTGTTCACACAGGCGTGGGCTATGCCCGCTGCTGCGAAGAGTGCCGTTGTGAGCGCTGCCACTCCCACCGCTGCTTCCACTTCCCTGCCAGTCGCTGAGTTCCAGCTTGAAACCCTGGCTGGATTGGCATACAACGCCTCCCTTGAGAATGTCTCGGGCGACTCGGACATTGAGAAGCATGGTGGCTGTTCGTTGTCTAGTCTGCGTATTCGTCGCGATTGGAGGGCTTTCTCTAGCAACCAGAAGAAGTCCTACATCAAGTCCATCCTTTGCCTCCAGGAGTTGCCCTCGCTCACTCCATCCGATAAGGCCCCTGGTGCGCGGTCCCGTTACGATGACTTCGTCGCTACTCACATCAACCAGACCATGAGGATCCACTACACTGGAACTTTCCTGGCGTGGCACCGGTACTACATCTGGAACTTCGAAGAAGCCATGCGCAACGAGTGTGGCTACACCGGCGACTACCCGTAAGTCTGACGGTCCTTCGCATAACGAAAACACCCAAGCTCTAACTTACCTCCAGTTACTGGAACTGGGGCGCTGACGCCGCCAACCTGGAAAAATCCCAAGTCTTCGACGGCAGCGACACTTCGATGTCCGGTAATGGAGCCTACACCGAATCCGTCGGTGACATTGAGCTGAGCCTGGCCAACTACCCGGTGATTCACCTGCCCACCGGCAACGGAGGCGGCTGCGTCACCAGCGGTCCTTTCAAGAACTACTCTGTCAACATGGGCCCGGTCGCGCTGATGCTTCCCGGAGGTGAAACCGGAAGCAGCGCCAACCCACTCGCTTACAACCCCCGCTGTCTGAAGCGCGATCTGAGCTCCAAGATTGTCCAGGACTACGCTAACTTCACCGCGATTGTGGACCTGATCCTGCGCCACGACAACGTCTACGACTTCCAGATGAACATGCAGGGTGTTCCCGGAAGCGGCAGTATCGGTGTCCACGGTGGTGGTCACTACTCTATGGGTGGTGATCCTTCTCGTGATGTATTTGTTAGCCCTGGCGACCCTGCTTTCTGGCTCCACCATGGGATGATTGATCGCACTTGGTGGATCTGGCAGAACTTGAACCCCCACAAGCGTCTGAATGCTATTTCTGGCACTGGTACTTTCTTGAATGGCCCCCCTTCTCCTAACACTACTCTTGACACGCTTATTGATATTGGTTATGCCGGTGGCGAGACTATTGCTATGCGGGACCTCATGAGTACCGTTTCTGGTCCTTTCTGCTACATCTACCTGTAACCGGTGATGGTCAGTCATTGGCTGTTTATACCTAGACCCCTGGAATATGGATTGGATGCATGCAAGATGACAAGAATAGACGGAGTGGGAAGAGTCATATCTGTATATACAGGATAGAATGATACATAATCCATGATTTAGACCTCGAGAAGTGACTATTAAAATGTTCGGAAAGGCAAGAAACTTACATCTCTATCCTCCTCTAGAATATCGCAACCTGATCGTGGATAAAACCTTATTAAAGATAATATAGCAATCCAAGACCTCTCCTCAAAATACTTTCTTATACCCTCCACCGCGAGAACATCATAATCGGAACCCACAACCAAGATAAAGAAAGCAAAGAGCCCTGCATATGGGAATCGGGCTTTCCAGCACCATTAGTAACAGCAAGGTAAGGATCCTGGCCGTAAGTTGTGTTTAACGTGACACGAGCTTGGGCCGATCCATCTTCCAATCGAATCCATGTCTCAGTGTCGCCTGCAAGATTTCCTTCGTGGAGTAAGATCTGCCGCCCACCGCGGAGTAGATCGCCGTAGCCGCCATACCCCGTATGCCGACCGTAGCACATATTAATACCATTCCCGGTTAGATCGTGGTCAACGAGAGAACCATCCCATTTAAAGCACCTGTGATGTTTGGTTAGCGTTGGAGTCATCCAAGTGACGATTATTGTCTGCTAGCGACGCATACCAGTCATTTTGGTGATCGTGGCCGCTAAATCCTGCAATTAAGCCCTCAGTGTGCAGGAGCGCGTCCATGAACTTGACGTCCTGGCCATCATAGCTCCACCCGCTGGTCCCTTGCGGATTAACGCGTTCGCGATTCACTCCGGGAGTCAGGCGCGGATTTATACCTCTTGTTTGTTGGTGTTCGAGCATTGCGTGAGCGGGGATGTGGTAGAATGCTAGCGAAGGGATGACCTTTCCATACTGCTTTTTCAGTTTGGAATCGGTTTTAGTGAACCAGTCAACGACCTTGAATACACCCAGTTAGTGTTTCATAGAAAAATAAAAAAAAAGTAGCATGATTGGGGATTTCCTACCGATTCATGAATCCAACTGGGCCTCTTAACAGCAGGCCCGCCTTCTCCTTGTTTTTTATAATAATGTCCACCTTTCGAATCGAAGAACCACAGCAGCAGCGCCGGCGTGCTGGTATTTGCCTGTCCATGTGAAAACACTGGCAGGTAATAATTCGTTATTCCGGCCTTGTCGCCGGAGACCCTACTCTGCGTCAGGCTGTTGGGGTACTTTTGCTCCGCCTTCAACATGTCATCTTTCGGATTGAGATTAACCTCGCTGTCGTGGTTGCCGTAGGTCGATGCCCAGCTGTACCCCTCATTTACGAGCGGAGAAACGACCGAGTCGATATATTTGCTTGAATCGGCTTTTTGGGTTCTTTCGCCGGATACTAGGTCGCCGTTTATGACTATGAAGTCGATGTCCTCCTCCGAGAGGATGTTTGACATCACTTTTTTAGACTTCTTGTCTTTTTCTTCGTCTGTAAGGGATTAACAAGAGCCCCTTCCTTGTAGGCCGTTACGACATACCCTCCGCGAAGTGCAAATCCTCAAAGACCCCAATGTGAAATGTCCCATCTTCTCTGAACCGCAGGGTTCGATCCGTGGGTGCTCTGAGTACGGTTTGGTCAGATTCTCCGAGGTCCGGTCGGGGTACCATATTGGAGAAATGTTGAATCAAGGGTTATTAAGCTCGGCAGTTGTGGGGAGATAGGCTTTTGTAAGGTTTCGAGAAATTCACGTGCGTGTCTCACAGTCGATCACGTCAGGGACTTCGTGCCAAGACATTTTATATTAGGTCGACGTTTTACAATTGACAGGGTCCTAAAAGAGCATCTAGCCCTTTTTGCTCAAAATCACATTGTGTTTCAAATTTAGGTTCCTAAAAGTGTTTCAATGGTAATCCTACCGTGATGATACTCATGCTTTCTCTGACTATAAATTATAACTATTTCCTGGTTATACATTGAGTCTACTGGTCTTCAACTTACAACATATACTGTAACACATGAATTCAGCTTGACCAAAATTTATGCCTTAGGTAACACAGCACATATTCCATGGGTGAGGTTATAGTAAGCCTGGACAAGATGGTAAAATATATACATGTAACATGAAAAACCAGTGGCGCCAAAAGAATACAGACGAAGTTCAATACCTATGTCATCAAATATTCCACCACCTTCGCTAGCCAAAAAAAAGAACCAAAGAAAGAACCATGATAATCCCGACCTAGAATGCATTCCCTGCCGGAGAGCTGAGATAGCACTCTGTAAGAATATTGAATACGATAGATGTTTCCTCGGGGAAATTGTAGAGTTTAGTAGTACGTAGGACGAGGGCTTGACCATCAAAATAGGACTCAAAAGTGCGGGCACGTTTGCCCATAAACGAACTTGGTAAGAAATGGGAACGAAGGATACAGAATTATCGGTGCTTTCATATGCTGAAGGAGGCGTGCCTTGCTCAGCTGGCCCAGCATCAGGCGGAGAATAGTCAAGAGCTCACCACAAAGAATTTCCCCATAATTTGTGTTCAAATTGGTATAAATCTCAGCCTTGGCGCGTGGGAAACCTTTTCCAGGAATATCTGTCATCTTAAACGTTCCAAATTCAGGCTGTTCATTCTGATACATATCCTTGTAAGGTCTGTACTTACCAATAATAGCTGATGTTATTAGCGACTATACGCCATTGGATTAGCCAGAAAGCTCAGGGTAGCAATGTCTCACTCTTTCGAAGGCCACAAGACCTCTCCTGGGTTACAATTCGCCTCGTAGGGAATATAATACGACCAGCAGCCTGCAACCTGGCGTGCACGGTTAGCAGGGCGCGTAAAACAGGTGTCCTCGCGTTCTAGACTTGAGCGGACTTGACTAATAATGCTATAATCGGGCTCCGGGAGGCTGGAGTATGACGCGAAGAAGGAAGGCTTGCGGTCCGGATCTTTTCTGTCAATGGTCATGCGCTGGAAGTCAGTCTTCAATCCCTTGAGTTGCGACTTGTCAAGTGTATGCATATCCGCGATCTGGGGCCGGTTCTTCTGGCAATCAGCTTGCAAGCTGATGCTGGTATCAAAGCATACTTGGATTAACGAGACTACTTATCCTGCACTTTATATTCTTTCTTTCGTGTTGAGACTTTAGTGTTACATGCACCGTATCCATCTGATATGTTTTTATTGTATTTCTGCGTGCATATCTACTAAATGTGAATTGCTTGATTGATTTACTTCAACCTCAGCTAACTCTAGCTAGCGTTTAATTCTAGTTTGTTGTGGTAGAAAGCCTATACGGAACGTCTGTGGATGCCCTAGGCGGTCGAAAGATCGTTTATTATAGCAGTAATATTAGCCCTTGAAGCCCTGCGGGACTCATACAACTTGGTACGAGATGGATTGTAGACACGATATAAAGTAGGGTAACATTCGATTTCTTTCTTTTTCTTTTTCTAACATTAACTTTCTTTTCTCAACCTGTAAAGAATTAATAGCTCTTCCCATCTAACTATACTAGAAAGCTATACGGAAGTCAATCAAAAAGCCGAGCGTACCTCCTAATATAACTACGTTTAGACTAGTTAACTAGTTATAATTAGTTATCTACCTATCGTAAGTAGGCCTCCGCAGAGCCCACAAAGCCCAAAGCCCAAAGCCCAACCCGAGCCCACCGATAGGCTAAGGGCTGCCCTAAATAGTGTAAATATGCTGAGAAATCGAGATGCCAAGCAAAGTCAACCCCCTTTTTTTAATTTTTTAATTACCTTATCAGATGAGTTCATTATTGGCTCAACAACAAATTGTTCTTCCACTAGGCACCTGTGTGAACTAAAAAAGCGGTGGTAAAAAGGCGGTGCTCAAGAGATGATCGCTCACACAATGAATAGACCCTACAGTTTTCGTCCCATTTCACCCAAGGTCAAGGGTAGGGCAAGTCACCATCCTTATTAAAGTGACCTCAGAGAAAAAGCGTTCGAAGCTGCGTCAATAGCGTCTTGCTGAAATTGAATGGCGCCCTGCGAGACTATTTGGCTACCGGAGAAAGAAAGAGAAGCTGCTGCGTTATCCAGAAGGATTTAGGTGCAGGCCTGAACCTGAATTTTCTAGGGTTTCAAGGCTACCTGGCCAGTTCCCCGGGTGGGATGTCGGTACCCGGCCCGGAGATGTATTTAGGTCATCTATAAGGGAATGCCCACAATGATATATGAAGACGTACAGATATCCTCGCCTAGACGTGTCCTTCTAAAGTTTGGTGGTTATGGGGAGTTAGTCATCAGCAGGGGGAGACAAAAGCAATCCGGGCGTCTGTTTCTTTCTCATTAAATGCACCAACCCTCAAAATGACAGTAACGCGAAGTCAGTCTGAGAATCTGACCAACCAAAGATCGACCCAAGCACAGGGCAACACCGAGGACAGCGAGATTAACCAGAAGTGTGGAACAAGAACAAGCAGCGAGAGGAGCTTTCATAGAATAGCTTGATCTTGACTATTCCAGCAATTCAATATCCAAACAGACCAATTGGAAGTCCATTCTTAAAGATGTTCACCGAATTGATGGCTGTCGCCAAATGGCATTTGCATGTCCCGTGGAGAATCCCCAGAGAGACTATGGATTATAATACGTAAGACTCGACACAGACTTCCCCTAAGGCAAGGCTAACTAAATGGCTAAAGACTGACGCAGCAGAACTCTTCGGAACGAGTTTCGTCAGTCAGATGCGATGACAGGGACCATGAAAAAAGTTATATTCTCGCCAGATTCCGATGCCCCCAGCAATAAAGGAAGGTACAACAATGACACCCTTTCGATTACTCGCCCTATAACTTATATAGGAATAGAGCCAATGTTGAAAGCGCCAATTATATATTGGTCTGGAAATTCAAACGATATAGGACAAAATATAATCGATTGCTACTCCCCATAAGACGTGAAAGCGAAAGTGCTCCCTTGGCATATAGCCGTTGAATCGGGGAGACCATGCTAGCCATTCAACTCCAACTGATGATATGACCGGTATCAGTGGTCAGTGGCCATGTTGGTATGTGCACAATTAGCTTTTAGTAGTATCCACTTTGCCAAAGGGGTACCCACTAATGCCTCGGCACTAAAATGTCCCCACTTTAGGGCATTCTTCCAGTCTAGATATAAGGGAGCAAAGCGTGATATTGAAGTGCCGTTGGTGATAGGTTTAGTGTGGAAGAGGCTGGATTAGTACCCTCCACATCCATTATTACAGGCTCTTCTGACCTAATCTTAAAGGCTTCTCATTTGATTAAGGGATATTATGCGGCTCTCCTGGGCTTTTCATGGAATTTTGTCGGAATCCTCTACAGAGTACGGAGTACCCGAAGGTGCAAGTTCTTGCTTAACTAGTGAGACTCGGACAACTTTCCTCACTGGCTTGACTTAGTTATAGGACTACTACTCCGCCTTTTGGCCCCCAATACATACAGCGAGTGGTGGATCAATGCCTTTTCCTGAGTCAGATTAATGCTCTGCGCGGCTTGCTTACCCTATACGTTATCCACACAGTCCAAACTAGATAATGGCTATTCAGGGGCAGTTTTATTTGGGGGTTTCCCCCTTTTATATAGACACGGAAGCCCCAATCTTCTCCTTTCGAAACTAAATAGTCTCTTGGATTTGACAAAAACAAAATATGACACTGTGGTCAACCACGTTATTTGCATTCTTGATACTTCGATCAGCACATGCAATCGATTTTGCGACCCCTCTACCCACAGAAATACAACATGTGACATCCGAGCCACCGAAGCCCACTGAGGGATTGCAGTTTCATCGCCGTGATGACCTGGAGATTGTGACCAGAGTCTTAACCGATGCTTCGTTATGTGGATTTTTTACCGACAGTATAGGTCCTAGTTAGTACCCTTTGAAGACCACTTGACTTCTACCTAGGAATCAGTAAGCTAATTCGGCACGTTTCTCAGATAAACTGGCCAAATATGACTGCAGCAGTGATTACAGTTGTGTTTATCATGTGTCAAATACCGCTTTTCCCGGCCTCGTAGGTTGTTGTTCGGACAATGACTGCGGGTTTACGAGCGCTTGTTACAATAGTGCAAAAGTTTCTGCCACTCCGTCGTTAACTTCCGGCAACACAGCCTTCCGCCTCTTTTGCACAGAATCTACAGCAGCAGAGTGTGGGACGTATACATGGGGAGGAGAAGACTTCACGGACTACCACTGTTACAGCACTCCATTTATATATGGCGTATACACTACGGCAACATTCGGAACGCCAGTGAATGGATCAGTTACTAAGGTGACTCAATATGTTACAAAAATAGGTGATGAGATGATGAACACCTACTCCTCTTCATTCGACGTGTCGACCTCAGCTCAAGCGACGACCACGACTGCACATACACACGCTGGCAATTCTGGCAAATCCCATTCATCGAGGCCTTCAGGCACAATTGCAGGTGGTGTTGTTGGGGCCGTTGCAGGCTGTGCTTTTATTGGAGCCTGTGTCATTCTATTTTTGAGAAAAAAGAAGAAAACTCGCCAGCAAGACCAGTCGAACGAACTAGGACAAAATGGGTATCAGTCTGTCCCAGAAGACCAGTCTAGTCAAAACGATCGGAAATTACATGCGGAGGTCGAGGCAAATGACCCATGTCAGAAGATTGCGGAGATCCCTGGAGATAGCGCTCACAATGTACCCCATGAAGTTGACTCAAAGACCTTAATTGCCGAGTTACCTGACAACATCAAAAGGTGATATATTACATTCATGTTTATCTCTCTGCACCGTGCCCCCACTGTCTGTATGTACAACATAATCCAACCACCAATCATGCCTTTCAGGACATTTTCAGATTCAAACGATTCAATTGAGAAGGAAGGATGGATCTTGTAACCAAAAACAGTGAAACTGTTCATGTGAATTTACATGTATATATAATGTTTCTCATATGACACTTCAACTGCATTTAAATGAAGTAAGTAGCTAGTGTGAAAGTCACTATAAGATGGGAACAGGTTAGGTCCATGATACTCATTCTGGGTTCGGCTAGTCTTACTACCTTCAAAGTTGAAGGACGACAACAAATGCAGAAGAATTCAAAGGAAGGGCTGTGGAACAGTACGAGCAGCATGGGCGTGTATACGGAGTACCTGTGATGAGGACGGCCCCCAATAGCTAGTATTTGTAATGGACCGGGCCAATATCGGTTGGTTTGCCGAAGAAACCTATTTGATCCACTGCGGGACGCCAGACCCTCACCGCGCTTTCCGGAGCGACGATCGCAATTTCTATAGGATATTGAGCCTCCCAAAGCTCTAATTTAAAGATACGAGCAATTACTATTGATGAAAGCTAAAACGGCTCCCAGTTCCGAATAACGGGCGGTGTTGCGAGGGCCCACCGGCTTGATGATTCTCATCAAATAGTTACTCCAGGGCTGATAGTGGGGATTATATATTTATAATCAGTTGTTTATCTCCGTTAAGGAGGCAGTATAACTTTTAGCCCCCAATCTACTTTATATGGCCTCGTAAGGCAGAATGGCTATTGACATGAAAGCAACTGGTACTCGGGTACATAAGATGCGCTCCCTCCGTGAGTCCAAGCACTCTTTGATTTACCAAGATCAAACTCCAAAAGGTTGCAATGTTTGCTAAACATTCACTGCTTCTTGCGGCTGTGGGGAGCGCCCTTGTGGCCGCAGCCCCTAGCGGCCAACGCTCTACACCGGCCCCTTGTGCCCAGATTTCCCAGCAGTATATGCATGATGTTAAGACCGGCAGTAAGAGCGGCCATTTGTAAGGGTCAGTCTCAATAGACTCACTGACTAGAACTAGAAGTACCTGCGTTTTCCGGTGCATTGGCCTATGAATGCCTGCAGTCCATGCCATTTGATCCAAGGAGAGGAGCTGCCTTTGTCAAGGACGTCAAGAAATACATGCAGTGGCAGTCTAACGCCAATGTGCTGAGCAGTATGTATAACATGGGTATCGGAAGAGTTGAAGAGTTATTTTGACCATCCTCTTCTAGCATAGATCCTCCGGCTTCGTATCTGTCTCCTCCGGTTGATATATGGGGTGGCTTGGACTATTTGCAGCAGCAGGCTGCCGACAACAAATTCAGCAACCAATTTGAGTTCGACACTGCTCTCTCGGACTTGTTTATCTCTGCCAAGGATGGACATCTATCCCTTGTACCATGCTCGTTTATGCCATTTGTGTTTGTGAGCCATGAGTCCTTGGTCTCTATCTCATCTGATGGTCTCCAGCTGCCCAAAATCTACACTTATAGTATGTTTGTTGACCGTATGTGGAAAGACTAGAACTGACATGGCTGCTCAGACGATGCCCAAGTCCTCAAGAGTAACCCCGATGCCATCTCACCCATTGTGACAATTAACGGTAAAGAAGTTGTCTCTCACCTAGAGGGAGTTGCGGAGACCCAGTCATTCCAGGACCCTGATGCCAGGTACAACAATGTGTTCCGCTCCCGCTCCCGCTTTATGAACAGTGAGGAGATGCTGGGAGCATTCTCCTACGGTCCGAATGGTATGTGGCCCGGACCTACAGTGTACAACCTGACATACGCCAACGGAACCACGTCCAAGTCCGAAGTAAAGGCCGCTGTTAGAAGCGGTAAGTTCAAGTTTGCCAACGGTAAGGCGCTTTACGAGAGTTACTGCCTGCCTGCGCCTTATACAACTGATACAACCGCCAAGCCGGCTCCTTCGACAGCGACCCCAACGCCCAGTAGCTCCGCCCCAGCTTCTTCGACTCCTGTCTCCCAGAGCCCATCGGCCACTGCAAAGCCCGCTCCGACTGGCTATCCCAAGGCCGCCATTCGCGATGACAACAACCTGATCGCCGGCTACCTACTGAGAGAGCCCGGACTGGAGGACACCGCTGTGCTGTCTGTTCCTACCTTTAGTGTTAGCAGTCTAGAGGGCGGTACCGATGTAATTTCCAGTCTCGCTGTTGAGTTCATCCAAAGAGCTGTTGATGCGGGAAAGAAGAAGATGATCATCGACCTGAGCTCCAACCCCGGAGGCGACGTCAACTATGCTTTTGATCTTTTCAAACTATTCTTCCCCAACAAGACCCCGTACTGGTCGTCGCGTTTCCGTGCACATGAAGCCTTTAAGCTTATCGAAAAGGTTGGCTACTCGTTCCCGCACGATTCGGAAAATGATGCCTTTGAATCGCTGGTCGAATTCGGCTTCTACAACTTGAAGACCCCCGATCAGAACCACACCTTTGAGTCGGCTAAAGAGCTCTATGGGCCTCACCGGGTTCTCGGCACGAACATGAGCACGGCCAACTCGCTAGACCTGGACCTGGTCTCGAGCGAGGCGAAACCAATCCACGGCTTCGGCGGCATTAAGTCCAAATGGACGACTCCCCCCTTCGCCCCAGAAGACATATTGATCATCACAGATGGAGCCTGCAGTTCTGCATGTCCTACTTTTACCAAGATGATGAAGTACGAAGGTGTGAAGACCCTCTCCTTTGGTGGGCGTCCGCAGCACGGACCTATGCAGACGATGGGTGGTACACGAGGTGCACAAGTCCTGCCCGGATCCACTCTTGTGGAAATTACAAGCACCTTGCTTGATATTGCCGCCGAGAAGGAATTGCTCTCGAAAAGCGAGCTCCAGCAGCTGAAGGCGCTCTCCCCGGCTGAGGAAAGCCCACTTCAGTATGGCCAGTTGCAGGTTAACCTCCGCGACGCGTATAGCAAGCTTGATGAGGATAGTTCCATGCCCCTTCAGTTTGTCTATGAGCCGGCTCACTGCCGTCTGTTCTACACACTGGAGAATTTTCTGCAGCCGGCAACTACCTGGAGCGCTGCGGTCAAGGCTATGTGGGGCGGTGGGGAGTGTGTTGCAGGTTCGCGCCAGAAGTGACGCCTAAATCGACCTATTTAATGCTTGCACTGTTTTCTTATTAAACCACATGTACTTTACTTATTGTTTGCTTTAAATTTATACCTTTCTATTTATTTGAAGCTTGCATCCATACAGTCATATCATCCTACGTGCACAGTATTAAAAGCACCAGTGGGCCTTAGCCATCCGACGGGCCTGGATCTGGGGTTTGGTATTCCTCTATAGGCGTACTACGCATTCGCACCCGTCGCAACTATCGCTGCCATCTTTTCTATAAAATGGGTATCGGGTAGTAACGCTTAGGGGGCGGCTACGATGAACTAGTTCACGAGACCGCGGGACCTCTTGTTGGCAAGATATTTTATGTGTTACTTTTGCGCGACGTTCCTCTTATTAGAGACAATGCCTCACGTTCAGTCACCCACTATACATATACAACCCGAAATTAACCAATATGGCTAATCCACTGATTGGATATAGCCACTCAGCTGCCTTTGATATAAGCAGACTGCCCGTGAGTGATATTCATACTCTAAACTATAAGCAGTATGGCAAACAAGACGTGGAACCTGGTAAGAGTCCACCACTATGAGCCTTTGTTTAAACGTCCAACCCCCCCCATTTATAAGTACTCCATCATCATTGACTACATTTATGAATTTTAAATAAATACTGAAATAACAGAAATACCGACTTTACTATTCCCCTACCTCCACCGCAGACCCGACGAAGACACCTTATACACCAACACGAAATTCTTCAACCCAGCCATCGACCGCGTGGTGCTGTTCGACCAACGTGGAGCCGGCAAATCAACGCCTGCAATTGGACTACGCCAGAATACAAGTCAGCATCCAGTCTCCGACATTGACGTGCTACGCAAGCATCTCCAAATAGTGAAATGGTACCGGTACCTCTTCTTCGGTCCGTGGGGTTCAACACTGTCCGTACTCTATGCACAAGTCTACCCGGAAATGTCGGTACGGGAAATCTTCACTGTCAGGAAGTTTGAGCTGGAGACCTCGTGTGGGTCCATTGGCGCAGCAAACATCACTGAAGCCTACGAAGCATTTGTCAATTATCTTCCTGGAAAGTACTATGATCTGCTGGCTTCGGAAGACTATGAGACAAGAGTTGCTGAAGCGAGGGAGTAGGTTCGGTGGGATCTGAGTACTGGCACTTTGAAACCGAGGCCTGAACGCTTTGCTCAACTTCGAGATGATGCCTGGGTGTTTGCTCATGCGAGGCTCGAGGCGCATTACCTTGCGAATGGAGGGCTTCTGGAGGAAGGTCAGATTATTAAAGTGGAGAATTTGAGGAGTAGCCATATTCCGAGTAAGTTAAGATAGCCACCATTATTCAGGGCCGCTATGGTATTGTCTCCGCACCGCAGACAGGTTGGGACCCGCACAAGGGCTCGCCGGACTCGCGATTGTTTTGGACTCCTGATGCTGGCTATAATGCTAGTGTAAGTACACCATCTAGCTTGCATTGACCTCGTTCCTGAGACATGGCCATGCTAACATCTTTGTAGGAACCTGGCACGCAGGCCAACTGTCCGAGGTCTGTGATGAGCACGCTGAGCTTGACTTTACTCTCTGACGGTGTGAAGAGGATTGATTATATCCCCTGCTTTTGTTTATATGAGCATTCTCATAGTAGTTCTCCCACGGGAGTACACGTCCATTGCACTTGGAAATTATATACATAGTAGCCTCCGCCCAGGGTTCCATCTACAGTCTTTCCTAGACCAAAAACCGGCAACCAACTTCCAATGAGTAGTTTCAAAGTGTTTTGTACCGCACCTTCTTCACTCTTCGAGCTTATATTGAAACCAAAACCAATCGCAAAGCCGGATATCACGTGTTGTTACAGCTCAGCTTGATAGATACGCGCCACTTGTACTCTGGAAAAGAAGCCGTTTTGTTTCACTCCTATACGCTGAAATTACAAGGAACACAGATTATTGTAAATTGTAATATTGACAACTGATTCTACACGATGATAGAGACAGTAGGTCAAATTCGGCAATACGAATTTGACCAAGCAAGGTTGTAGAGCTTGCTGTATGTGGAAAACCACACAATGTTGAAATGGTAAAACCAGCACCAACCAGACATCACAACGGAAGTAGGTCGTCATGTCGGCCAGTGCCAGTTTAAAATCGTCAGTCATGTTGAAACTCCAGGCCCGCTTTTGATATCCTCTAGAAAACCCGTTGAAACCCATATGTTGAACTTTTGGTATCATCGTCGTAACTCATCAGAAAAGAAAACTCCCCAGTACCGAGGCGACAGGTTGATTGTCGCCTCCTCATTAGATTATTGGTAAATTGAAATAATTTACTGCGCGTACTTCTGGCGGAAGTACTTGGCAGCGTTGACCATCTGTTTGTGTTTGGTCAGCATTTTGAACGTCAGTTGTAGGGACATTGCCACTTCTTACCGCAGTGAGAGCCGCCTTGGTCTCGGGCCAGCCACGAGTCTTGAGTCCACTATAAAAAAAAAGGCATATTAGCATCAGAAACAACAAAATGAGATTTCGCCACAGGAGACAAACCAATCGGGGTTGCACCACAACTGCGAGGGAGTCAGGTATGCCAGCATCTCCTCGATGCGGTCCTTGATCTCCTGCTCAGTGGGGACACGGGGAGAGTGGATGTCGTAAACACCGGGGCCAATGTGGCGAGGGTAGGCCTCGTCGATGAAGACCTTGAGGAGCTTGGCGTCAGACTTGCTGTTCTCAATGGACAGGACATCGGCATCGAGAGCGGCGATGGCGTGGAAGAAGTCCTGGAACTCAGAGTAGCAGAAGTGGGAGTGGATCTGAGTGCCATCGGTGACACCGGCGGTGGACAGCTTGAAGGAATCAACAGCCCACTTGAGGTAGGCAACACGGGCCTCACCAGTACGGAGGGGAAGACCCTCACGGAGAGCAGGCTCATCGACCTGAATCACAGCAATGCCAGCGGCCTCAAGGTCAACAACCTCGTCGCGGAGAGCGAGAGCGAGCTGCTGAGCCTGGACGGACTGGTGGACATCGTCACGGGGGAAAGACCACCGCAGGCAAGTGATGGGACCAGTAAGCATGCCCTTCATGGGCTTGGGGGAGATGGAAGCGGCGTACTTGGACTCCTTGACGGTCATGGGGGCGGGACGAGAGATGTCACCGACAATGATGGGGGGACGCACGCAGCGGGAGCCGTAAGACTGAACCCAGGCGTGGGTGGTGAAAACGTAACCAGTGAGGCGCTCACCGAAGTACTGCACCATGTCGTTACGCTCGGGCTCACCGTGGACGAAGACATCGAGATCGAGCTCCTCCTGGATCTTGACGACCTCTTGGATCTCCTTCTCGATGAACTTCTCGTACTCCGCAGGGGTGATCTCACCCTTAGTGAACTTGTTACGCTGGATGCGGATCTCCTTGGTCTGGGGGAAGGAACCAATGGTGGTGGTGGGGAAGAGAGGAAGCTTGAGGGTCTTGGTCTGCTCGGCGTAACGCTCGGGGAAAGCGGACTTGCGGTTGTGCATCTCAGGGGTGACAGCGGCCTGGCGGGCCTTGACAGCGGGGTCGTTGGTGCGGGCAGAGGAGGCACGGGCCTGGACAGACTTGGCGTTGGCCTCGAGCTGCTCACGGACAGCGGCGGGGCCCTCAGTGACAGCCTTGGCAATCACGACAACCTCAGTGGCCTTCTCGACAGCGAAGGAGAACCAGTCGCGGACCTCAGAGTCAAGGGTCTTCTCGCTGGCGAGGGTGTGGGGGACGTGAAGGAGGGAGCTGGAGGTGGCAACAATGACACGGTCCTTGCCGAGCTTCTGGATAGCGTTCTCGACCTTCTCGATGGCGGCCTTGAAGTTGGTCTTCCAGATGTTACGTCCGTCGACAACACCAGCGGAGAGAACCTGCTTGGGGCCAAGAGCGGCGACGACGGTGTCGAGCTGCTCAGGGTTGCGGACAAGGTCGATGTGGATGGAGTGAAGGCTCTGCACGTCGGCGAGGACGTCAATGTTGTGGACGATGTCACCGAAGTAGGTGGCGAGAGTGATGCGGGGACCCTGGGCACCGAGGGCACCGATCTTCTCATAGGCGGGCTTGAAGGCAGCCTTGGACTTGGCAGCGAGGTCGAAGACCAGGACGGGCTCATCAATCTGGACATCCTCGGCACCAGCGGCCTTGAGCTTGGACAGAAGCTCAACGTAGAGAGGAAGGAGCTTCTCAAGCAGAGTGATGGGGTCGACGGTCTGGTCACGGTCGGCCTTGGCGAGAGTCAAGAAAGAGACGGGGCCGAGGATGACGGGGCGGGTGATGATGCCAGCGGCCTTGGCCTCGAGGAACTCAACAACGGGCTTGGGCTCAGCGGCAAGCTTGAACTGCTGGTTGTCCTGGAGGGTGGGCTTAACGTAGTGGTAGTTAGAGTCGAACCACTTGACCATTTCCTGTTCATTGAGTCAGCATACTGGATTCGGACATGTATAATGTAATGGGTTGCACATACCAGACTGGGGACATCGATGCCCTCCTTCTGGAGACCACGACCCATGGCGAAGTACTCATCGAGAGGGTTGAGGTTGTACTTGGAGTAACGCTCGGGGATGGTTCCGAAGAGCTGGTGGTGGTCGAGAACCTGATCGTAGAAGGCGAAGTCGTTGCTGGGAATAACATCGACACCGGCATCCTTCTGGATCTTCCAGTGCTCCAGACGAAGACGCTTGCCCTCAGCGAGGAGCTCATCGCGGGAGATCTTGTCAGACCAGTAAGCCTCGGTGGCCTTCTTGAGGTCACGGAGTCTTCCCATGCGGGGGAAACCCAGAATAGATCTATCCAAATAATCAGCAACTGTCTCGGCAAATGTTCAATAGAGTCGAGCCAACATACGATTGAACCATTCTGATGGATGTGTGTGAAAATCGGAAAAGAAAAAAGGGTCTCAAGGATAGAATTTTCACAAATCCGATGCCTTTGAGAGAGAGAATGAAGGAGGAGAAGAGAAAAAGGTCTGGGAAATGTCGAAAGAAATATGGAGGGGGAGTAAATACACGCTAACCCCAATGGGGTCTTGATCCACACACAAGTTGGAGGGGCAGCAATACGGTATGATACATGATACAGTACCCATGTGTACCCGTTTGTACCCATGATCTCGGGTTCCTAGGGGGATCCAGGGGATATTGTGTAATTTACTGTTAATTTCAATCTCATCCAGTATCAATACCCCATGTTCTCCGTGATCGGTCCGCCAATGGATGATCACGCCATTGAGAGACACCGATAAGGCCTCTTGCAAGCTGGTAACAACTATTGCAAATGACTATTCTTTCTTTTTTTTTTTTTTTGTTTCAGCAAGGGCTTTATATACTGTATGTCGTATACTCGTACACGAATTTAAAATTTCTAGATTAATGAGCGGTCAAGCCTACCAAGGCATATCACAAAATGCAGAATTGAGTACAGGCAACTCTGTGACACGCTGTCAATTGACCCCGCCACTTCGCCCGGACAACAGCTACTTACATCCGGAGTGATATATACAACTAGGTAAGCTGACATGAACTAATATGTGGTACTACATATGTACCAATTGATAACTTCATTATTTCCATACAGAGTAGTATTTTTCTAGCCAATTCTTCATGATTCCCTCAATGTTCCTCCTAAAAAAGAAAAAGAAAAAAGAAAAAATAATGACTCAGAAGATCCCCTAACAGACCCCGGTGTCGGGGTTTATCGATCGGCCCACGTGATATTGTGATGGGAAAAAGTTAATTGGACATAACTTGTTTTTTTCTTTGGGAAAAAAAATAAAGCCATTGTCAAGCGCCAAGCCTCTCAACAAACAGACAAAAAAAAAAGAGCAGCCATCATGACCTTGCCTGACGTTGTTGCCCTTGATAGAACAAACTCCCCGCAAAATATTCGGAATAGCGAACATCAGGCCCAGAACTCCGATGGAGTTTCTGTGACTAATGAAGATGATCGGGACCTCTTGAAGCTTGGCTATCGCTCTGTCTTGGCTCGGGGATGGGGCTCGTTCGACAATTTCGCCTGCTCCTTCTCGGCCTTGAATTGCGTCGGAGGAATCCGTGTACTTTTCTATATCGCCCTAAGTGGAGGCGGGCCGGCTGCCATGTATGTTCTACACTTTCCGCTGCCAGCAGTTCCCGGCCCTTTTTGGATTGATCACATCACTAACAAAATCTCTCAGCTGGAGCTCTTGGGTCTCCGGTAGCATACTGTCCGTCATCACGGCCGCCTGTCTCGCTGAAGCTTGCTCAAGCTATCCCGCTGCGGGGTCAATTTATTACTGGGCCTTCCGATCCTGGGGAGGCGGTAAAGTCGGCCGCTTCATATCGTTCCTCGTTGCCGCATGGACACTGGTTGCGTGGACCGCTTTTCTCGCGAGTGATTCGTTCGGTGTCGCCAACTACCTGATTTCCGAGATCGTCGTGTTTGACCCGAAGACGAGCTTCCCATTTGAAACGGCCGACGTACGAGCGCGCGCCGTGGCATGGGCTATCTCACTTCTTTTCCTGGCCATCGCCACCTCGCTCAATTTCCTGCCCCCACGAATGTACTCCTGGGTGTTCCGAGCGGGTGTGACGGTCATTATCATCGATATGCTGCTCAACTTCATCTGGCTTCCCATCGGCGTCTCTAACACGTACGGCTTCCAGTCAGCCGAATACGTGTTTACGTCCACATACGATGGCGGGGAGACCAGTCCCGGACTAAATTGGGTTCTTTCCTGGTACATGGTCGGCAGTTGTCTCGTGGGACAGGATGCTTCAGGCCATGTCGCAGAAGAGACCGTGTCGGCCAAGAAAGCTGCCGCGAAGGGCATCTTCTGGGCAACCGTTGCGTCTGCGCTGTGCGGCTTCCCGATCATTATCTTGTTTCTTTTCTGTATGCCCCCGATTGAGACGTTCTACAACACTAGCGCGCCTCAGCCGTTCATCAACATGTACGCGATGGCGCTCGGTCCTCATGCCCACGTTGTGATGACCATTGTCTCAATGATCGGAGCAATTCTCAACACTTCGATTTCGCTAGTTGCTGTATCACGACTAGTATTCGCCGTGGCCCGTGATGGCGTCTTCCCATTCAGCGACGTGCTGTCGCGTGTGTCGAAGTCCAAGCAGCCTCACAACGCTGTCATCTTCATTTCCACTATTGCCGCGCTTCTCCTCTGCACTCAGCTCCCGTCTCAAGTGGCCTTCTCAAGCTTGGTCTCCACTTCGGCTGCGGGTTCCCTCGCAGCATATGGTTTGGTTGGAATCGGTCGCGCGTTCATCACGCGTAAATCTTTCCGTCCAGGCTTCTGGGATTTGGGCCGATTTGGCGTGGTCGCCGCTGTTGTTACGTTTTTGTGGAACGGGTTTGCTTTTGCTGTGCTCTGCGCCCCGGCCTACTCGGACAGTGCAATTAACAAGGATTCCAGCTTGTTCAACTACGCGATTGTGATTATGGGCGGTGTGACTATCATCGCGATCGCTGAGTGGTGGCGCAAGTCCAGTGGTATTTGGTTTGAGCACCTGAAATATGTTGACTCGGATACCGAAACAAACCACTCTATTGGACGCGAGGAGAAGACGAATGTCTCGGCCGGTACGACTGCCGTTTGAACCAGTGAGCAGTTCTACAGCATCTTCCCTTTCCTGACAGTCATCGGGACTATGGGATGGGAACCGGAAAAAGGGGGATCTGGCACCTAACTATGTAAGGGTGGTTTTGGTAAGTATGTTTTATGTAGCACGCATGACGGGTGTTCGAGGTCTTGCGTTTTTGGTCAGTTTTCCAAAAGCGCGAGTCTCGTTCTGAGAAATTACCGTTAAAACTTGATCTGGACAATACCAGCGAAAGGACATGCATGCTTCATCCCTTTTCTCTCCCTTCTTGGTGTCGTGCCTTGGAAGATCTTATCTCAAGGCAGATGCTACTGACTGTCCCTCTGGGGTGTAGATCCGCGGTTTTCTACCGACAGGTTTGATGGCCGGCCATTCCTATGTTGGGCTAGGCTAAATATCCGTTGTCCCCGAGGCATATGTGGTGTGATGTCTGTGATGAACCGTTCCTTTCGTCACTCACTACTATGTCGTCCCAGAGCCTCAGTCACAGGGGGTCTGAGTGTTGCAGCCTACTCTACCCCCGTCCTCCTGCCTACTGGACTCCCTCGATTGATGGTTCGATGTCACCTGAGGCCGGATCAGCAAACCGCTTGTAGTCTCGTAGATATAATCTAGAGTGTAGAGTTCAATCGCTGTACCATTGATCTATTTCTCAAGCCAAAAGAAAGGCCTACATCTAATGGGCACCCAGCGCGGCTGAGATTAACTTTTTGTATCCTCGCACCGCCTCTTCGAGCTCTCCCACGGTGATTGCCTCGTCATCCCCATGGGCAACATGAATACTACCGGGCCCGTAGAGATACCGCTTCACTTTTGGACCTTCTTGGGCATTGATCTTCAATGCAGGAATATCAGTCCCGTAGTTCACAGTAATCACATCAAACCCATCGACGTCAAAATCGAGATATTGAGGTGGAGCGCCATTCTCGAGGTTCCCGAAGTCGAGATAGACGCTTCCATCACCACCGGTAACATCTTCGACCGCCTTCCTCACAATCTCTCTCGTGTCATCTGGATTTCCAGCCGCGAGACGAACTGAAATCGTCGCCTCGGCATATGCAGGAACAACATTTCCAGCTAACCCAGCGCGCACGACCCCAATGTTCAATGTCGATTGACCAAACGTCTCACTACGGAGAAGTCCACCTTTCTCCGGCTGGACATCTTGCAGGGTATCGAGATAAGATAGAACAGGAAGGATCGAAGAGATCGCGCTTTTCCCGAGCCATGGGTAACCCGAATGCGCGGCTTTTCCTTCAGCAACAACCTTGAACCCAAGAGTGCCTTTGTGGCCCGCGACAAGCTTAAGCTCTGTAGGCTCTCCAAATATGACGGTGTGAAATGTAGGTGGTGAGGGGTTGAGATCGGAGTTTGAGAAATGTTTCATTCCAACGCCACTTTTCTCCTCGCCGACGTCAAACAACAGCCCGATTGAGGCGTCGGGATTAACGTCCAGTGTTTCCAGTGCAGCAAATAGTATGGCTGAGACACTGGCTTTGGCATCAACCGTGCCGCGACCAGCGATAACCAGGTCTGATCGATTGAATGTGAGATCGTCTGCGTTATCTGTGGCTGGTGGATGGAGCGAGTAAGGGATGAAAGGTGGGACAGTATCGATATGGCTGGTGAGTAGAACATCGGGAAATCTGTCCTTCCCAGTGTAGGCATAAATATTGAATCTTTCTTGCTCGGTGTCACTCTCTGGAGTGACAATTTGTTTCTCGACAGTTAGATTGTGTGAGCGGATGAAGGCCAAGAGGAAGTTTCCAACGCTTTTCTCGTCTTCGCTGATTGACGGAATTTGCACAATGTCTCTGTGGAATGATAAGAGCGGAGATGCATCGATAATTGCCTCTAAGTTCACGCTTGGGGATTTCACGTTATCGCCGTTGAATTGTCCAATCAAGGGTTGTTGGGATTCCGACGTCAGCGCTAGCCTTGCTAGAGATGCCACAGCATAAAAGTAATTCGCCTTCATATTTGCTCCGTTGAAGTATTAGAGAGACTGTAGACTTATGAAGAGATACTCAAGTAGTTCTTGGGAAGATATGAAATGAAGTGAAAGGGGCCGATTAGGCATTCGCTCCCCGCAATGGCGTATCTGTATCTTTGTGGTAGTACTGTACTGAGCTCATTTTGTTCACTGCTGTCTTTTACTAAATTTGGTGAGATACATTATCTTTGATCGGCAAATCCACTGTCTTATTTTAAAGTCATGTAGTTGCCGAGCATGGCCCCATTATCGCGTGCTATGTCCACCGTAAAGCGTTATTTGGGTGAGTTTAATAGGTGCTATATAAACTTACATCTATGCGATTGATATCGTGAAATACAAAAGGTCAAGCTTGATCAATGAGATTGCACTTTTAAATACTAGAGAATTACTCTAGAAGTTCATTCATGGGATATACTCTCCGTATATTGTTCAACTGGGGAAAAGATATAATGGACTACAGCTGACATCCGGTTTTCTAAATTGAGGGGTCGCCAGTGCACAATAGGCGAGGCTTTTAGCTTAAATTATAATCTCGGCAAGTGCATTCTACAGCTTAGTATAGGTCGCTATGTAGACCCTTGCATACACGTCATGCCGAGCAGTCCTTGCTCATCTTGCGCAATTTACACAAAGATAACCAACTTTAGGTGGTTTCCGGAGTATGCGGAGTAGCACAAATGTTAGAGTGCATTTAATAGCCTGGATATCCCTTCGAGATCATTGCAATCGCCCTAGCTGTAACTTTCCTCCGTGCGCCAGCCACAAAAGACACTGATCAGTGATAACTATGTCTTCGGGGATAGCAGAGAAAGGCCAGATCGGGATTGTCTCCACAGACGAAACACCGACGCCGGCCAAAGGAAATGTACACTACGTCAACCGCAATGGAGATAATACTCTGAAATCTTTAGAAGAAGAGGTTATCCCCGGTTATGATGCCACGCTGATGGACGCGCGTGCGACACTCAGTGCCGCAGAGGAAAAGAAGCTTTTGCGACGCATTGATTGGCACCTGATCCCTCTGTTGGCAGTCATGTATATGCTAAAAAGTGTGGATTTTACCAATGTAAGATTATCCACGGAGTACGCTGGGCGAAAATCACTAACCAGAATGTTTTAGGTCTCATACGCCCGGACTATGGACAAAGGCACCGCCCATAATATCTTGACTGAATTGAAAATGACCTCAGACCAGTATAATCTGGTGACAACTATGTATTATGTGAGAGACCTTGGATCAAAAACTTCTTTTCTGAGGTTGTGCTAATCCTTGGAGGTCCCTTACATCATTGCAGAAGCCCCGTCCAACCTTTTGTTGAAGGGCGTGCGACCTTCGATTTGGCAAGCTAGAATCATGGTACGTTAAACTATTCTACCTCTAGCTACTTTGGCACTAATAGTTACAGGTCTCTTGGGGTATTGTTCTCTGCTGCCATGCAGCCGTGACAAACAGACAAGGTCTATATGCCGTCCGATTCTTCCTCGGACTATTCGAGGCCGGCCTATGGCCAGGGATGCTCTTGCAGCTATGCTATTGGTATAGACCCGATGAGGTTGCCCCAAGAATAGTTCTTGTGACTTTACTCGGAAACTTTAGTACGGTGATCAGTGGTGTCCTTGCCTTTGCATTCAATGGTGTCGTTGCTGGTGGTCTATCCGGATGGAAATGGTATTTCGATCTCCTTCCAGAAGGACTAATCATTTGCTAATAATGTTTCTCAGGCTTATTCTAACGGAAGGAATCTTCACGGTATTACTGGGAATCTTTACTTATTTCTTCTTACCTGATTGTAGGTCACCCCAACCTCTAGTGCTAGACATAACTGACCACTCTTCCACAGTCCCTTCAACCGCATCCTGGTTATCTGAAAAGGAAAAGGCCTTCACTCAAGCCCGCCTACCAAGCAACTCTCCTCGAGCGGCCGAGTCGAACTTCAATTTGCGCGAACTTATCACGACACTGAAGAACAAGCGAATCTGGCTGTTCCTCTTCTGTTGGGCCTTCTTTACTATTGGCACGACAGGACTCACATTTTACCAACCAACCGTAATTTCCAGTCTTGGATTTACGTGAGTTGCTTCAACTCAAAAAGCACAGTACATTGCTAACAAAGTCGCAAAGGTCTATGGGTGAAGCCCAGTTGCTAAACATCCCATCTGCGGTCTTCGCAGTAATATTGACGGTGGCATTCGGTATCTTCGCAGATACCGGGCGTATCCCTCAGCCAGCTATCCCACTTGGATTCATGATTGTCATTCTAGCGTGTTACGGCGTACTGTACGCCTTCCCCAACACTGGTGGGGTGTATGCAGCGACGATTGTAGCTGGAGGGTTCTCGACTGCATGGTAAATGTGGCTCTGGGGGGAAACCTTCTTTCAACACATTATGACATTATGCTAATACAAACCAGGTATACAATGATGTGGCCATGGCGAGTCCAGACCACCGAGGGCGCAACAGGGTCTGCCTTCGCAATCGCAATTGCGAATAGTTACGGCCAGATTGGAGGGGCTGTGGGGTCTCAGCTATTCAATTCTCGCTTCGCGCCACGATATGCGACCTCATTTGGGATTGCGATGGGATTTGTTGGTATGGCTATCATTATGAACGTCATTACTTGGACTTTTACCTGGCGGGTGGATGTCGATACAAGGAGACTAAAAAGGATCCGGCTTGCGGCAGCGAAAGAGAATCAAGCTGTGTTGGATGATGTTGATATTCATGCAGGAGAAAAGAAAGAGAGGTAAATAGGGTTTGGTGTAGTAGAAGTTGAAAAAAAAAAAAGGGGTATATAATATCTCTGATTGGGTTGAGGATCTGGGGAATTGAGTTTTATGGACCGACCGGGACTAGTAAGCTTATCGCATAGTCTCATGGGATCCATGGAACCTTTGTTTAGTAATTATCAACGTCGAAACAAGCAAAAGATGGTCTTCTGTACCCTTCAGCCCATTATCCCAGCTCTTCACTGCCAAGGGACATGAAATGTGTGTGGGGGTGGGGTGGATACTGGATGATCATTTCCGAAAACGTTCATCTTTCCCTCAGCGGAGAATGGGGCAGCTTGAGGTTCAAACTGTCTGAGTGTCTTTTGTACACTCTCCACCATTGGCACTTGCCACTATTTAGAAAAATCCGCACATAATGGCATTCGCACGCAGGTTAGCAATCATGCCTGGCGGCCTGGGTAGGGACATAAGACCCAAAGCCAGACACAGCGAAACCTAACTTCTCCACAGGCGGCCTTGGATCAAGCATAGGCCAAAAGCTGAGACAACAAGGCGCCCGTATCGCCATTCTGTATGCACCTTTTGAAGCCGCACGTCGCGATGAGCTTCTCGAAGCCGGGTACGGCGCGAGCGGCAATCTAGATGACATCCACGCCTATGAATGCGATATAACCTCATCAGACTCCGTCCTGGCGGCCTTCAACTCTTTAGAAAAACAAATAATTGACCCAACCTCGTCCTCTCCATCTGAAAGAGCATTCCCGAGTATTCTGATCAACACAGCGGGATACGTATCTCTCAGTGACATGGAGATAACGCCCCCAGAAGAAACACTGAAGCATCTGACCGTCAACCTCTACGGCCCGATGCTCTGCTCTCAAGCCTTTGCTCGACTCTATTTCGCCGCATCCAAGGCCACCAAATCATCACCGAGTCCCCCACCACCGGGAAGAATCGTCAGCATTTCATCACAGGCTGCACATGCGGCGCTGCATCGGCATGGTGCGTACTGTGCCTCAAAAGCTGGGCTCTTGGGTTTGACGCGCAGTATGGCATCTGAATGGGGTGGTCGGGGGATCACAGCTAACACTGTTTCTCCGACTGTGGCGTGGACGGAGCTTGGGAGGAAAGCTTGGGGAGAGGCGAATGTCCGCGATGCTTTTTTGGCGAATATACCGACGGGGAAGTTTGCGTTCCCAGAAGAGGTTGCTGACTCCGTACTGTTTCTTTGTCAGGTATGTCCCCTCGGCTTGGTGGATTATGCCATTGGTTCTGACTTTTTCAATAGGATTCTAGCGGCATGATCAATGGTGCGGATATTAGAGTTGATGGGGGTTTTACTGTTAGATAAGTTCATCTGTCTTGAACTTCAAATTTCTATACCAATGTAAGAGTTCTACGTGCATCTGCTCATGAATGTAGCTCTCACGAAAGGGGGCGACTTTGGATCTCTTTGTATTTTTGATTTATTCGGACAATGAACTATAACGAGAGATGTACAACGGGTAACCTGGTTCTTCTAAAGGAATACTGAGTTGAAAAGAAAAAGAACTTAGCCATCGTTGAAGGGTCCACTCAGCGGGGCGAGGAATCAGCCCTGGAGGATAGCGCGTCCGCTCTCAATGCAAGGGGCCAGATTCCGGGATACCGCATTTGCTTCACCATATGTTTTTCCTGAAACCTCACTATGATCTGACCCAATTCCAAGATTTGTACCCTGTGTCTGAAAAGTCCGAGGTCGTGATGGGGTCGAGCTTTCCTACAAGGTCGCTTTATTGGCATCCGCCATGACCCGGACCTACCGTGTCATGTCATGCACTATATATATCGGAGCCTGGTCTATCTGAGCGTAACGCTCAGATATAGTGGTCTTTTTGGCCTAGTTTGTAACTCGCCAGTCCAGGGGCAGATTGTAACATACCGCGGCTGATTTGAATGAACAGATATCAGGCATAAAGGGCATCGGGGTCCCTTTTCGCTGGAGATAGGCTGCCCTAATATTGAGTGATAGAAACATCTCATAATTGGTTACGTGGATGATAGGTCCCGTTGACTAAGTACTATTCAATTTTGTTTTGTTTTTCGATCCAAGTGTCACCAAATAAAAAACCGTGGATTAAATGATATTGGATCCCAACCAAAAGAAGAGGAAAAAAAACCCCCCACTTTCCTTGAGAATGCTATACCATTCTTTTACATAAGGGGAAAATTGGTAAAGGAACTCACTCCGTGTGACGCTGAGCATAGCCCTGGTGAGTGCAGTCGATTGGCGGCATGTCTAACTGGTCCTATCACAGCCTAGCAGGGATGTCTCCCCCATAAGAATGATATGTTTCGCACTTAGCCTAGAACACTGTGTCCTCATTTTATCTTCCTTTCATAAACTATTTCTCCCTCTAGATGGCTACAGGAATACTTCGTTTACCGACTCTGGTCTTCGTGATCCTTTGTTTGGGAATTATTGCTGAATCTCATGCCACACTCTGCACTGCCGTGTGCCGAAATGAGCCACCAAGTTGTCCAGATGGTCAGGTGAGATCTCTTATTCTCACCTAACTTATTCTCTTCTCGATGATATACTGACCGTGTCTTTTACCTTTTCTCAGAGGGCCTCAGGCTCCGAGGTCTGTCTTCCAACTAATCGATCCTTTGCAGCCTGTACAATTCTGACTCGGCGTGTACATACAGGGTTGCTGGGGTTGCTGTCAACCAATTTAATACCACCGCATGATCATAGCAACGCATGATCATAGCAACGCATGATCATAGCAACGAGCCGTAAGTCAGCGACAAACATTATACTAGGAGCGGGCAGTGTCACTACCAAGATGAGCCTCTAACATACCTCTTTTGTCTACAGTTGACTTCGAGATGTTCATCACTTGATGGGATATACAAACGATCGCAAAAATTAGCAAGTGTTCCTTCCATAGAACGTCTAATTTCTGCATTTTCATCTCTTTTGGCTTCTTTCCCATCGTCCCTGGCTGCCTATATCATGCTTAGTTCTGACTTTTGAACGGCCTTGATCAGTCGTCCCATACCCTTCGAGTGCTGGGCTTCCACTTATAGCTTATCAAATTCTAGACGTTATATGATAACTATTATAATATCTAATAAGTTGGCCGGTGATGAAACAGGAACCGAGAATACTATTTCTATATGTCGTAGTCTCTTTATGTCCCAATCAAAGAGCCGCTCGGGTCTACCTGGAACTGTCAGCATGCATATAGGTAACTGAGTTTACTAGAGGGAGTTATTTGACTATATCACCTTGAAATGCCTCCTAAAAATCCCTTAAAAGAGCGCCATTTCTCTTGATCGGGGAGCACAAAGGGGCAGAACGGGGCGTAATTATCTCATGTTCTGTGCTAGTTGCATTTCGATCCGACCATGTAAAAACTAAGGTACTATCCTCATCGTATATCTCATCATTACCATAAGTATCATCATCATCGTCTTGATCATGCCCATGTGTACCCCATCATAGTCTTGATCAACATATTTGATGTAATCTCAAGCTTACATACACGTATTCTCTCTCGATATGAAGAGCCATGGTCATCTAAAGAGACATGAGTTACTAAAAGATCAATAGAAGTATCTGAAAAAAGAATATAAATAAGAGACAGCAGTCTAGAGCTCCGACCCAAGTATCAACAAAATCTACCATCACCTGGACATGAACATCCATTTATTCAACGGTAAATTATTAGCGCCGAATAGTTTCTCCATTGACTGAAGTGCTCTTTCTTTCGGGGCCTTTAATTGTTCCTTCTCCTAGGTCATAAAGCTCCCATATATTAACCTACCCAGCAGTTCCTCTAATATAAGTACGATATGCTTTCGAAGTTGTTAAATCCGTTAACTTAACGCCAGAGGACGTTGTATTGGGGACAGTATAATCTGCTATATTATCGTCGACAGACTTCCTTTTTAATTTTAAGCGTTAGTTTCGTAATCTGGAATAGGGGCCCTGCTGCTATGTAGTTTTGACTCGTGGCTCAATAACTTTCCATTTTCCAAACCATTATTAATTCAAATTAAACATTAGAAATGAATGACAGTGTGCTTTCACTTCGTTTGTATACATATCCCGAACAACGCTAGGCATCACGTGCAGCTCAGGAAGTTCATCAGTCTTGCATCCAACTAACAAATGGAAGACCTTATTTGCGCCAAATCAGAGCATGACGAAGGAATCCAATTTCTCGGTTCATCGTGAGTAACAATCTGCGTAGAGTGACAAAGCTAACAGTGGTAGCAAGTAAAGTCCCATCAAGATCGAGACTACGATGATTCCCACACGAGAGATTGATGGAAGATCCATATCGGTGCCCAAATCTTGGTTGATATACCATCCACCGCCCTGGTCAGAAAGGAATTCCTCATTAGCAAGAAACGCCGCAGCCGTGAAGACACGCGGAATCGAATCCGCGGCATTTTCGAATCCATAAATCCATCCCGCAATCTGTGACCCGGCAGGGTACCAAGTGCCATTTGGAGAGCTGTCAATAGACATACACTCTGGAGAGGAATTTCCTAACAGATTGGCGAGTGTGGGGTTCGTAATGCAAATAGATCTCAAGTTGGACAACGACTCATCTGCACCCTTGTCTTCTTCAAGAGTTGAAGCAATTGCCATAAATGTGTCAATAAAAGAACCAGGGCCGAAGGTTGCTATGGCGCTCGATAATAAGGGTCCTTTTCTCTGCCCTGAGATGGAATCCAGCGATATAGCTTTGAGAGCACTACCCGCTGTGCTCTCATCGCGGCGGTGATAACCCCCCGAATAGTATGTGTGCAATTGTTTCAAACAGTGTTGATCACAAAGATCTACCGGATCCTTGTCCAGTAAGGGGCCAGGTACACCCTGGTTCATATAGTTGGGCAATTCAAAGAACCCGGCCGTAGTGTTCACAGTGATTCGGTAAAGAGCCGCTTGACCAGTATAATCCGCTGAGAGGTACTCATCCTGCGTCATATTGAGGTAGAGAACCTCAGAGAACTCCTGCCGCTTACGTTCCGTCCGCCAAGGTGATTCTGTCATATTTCCTGGCATGCACGCGATGACTCCCCAAGAAAACGTACTGTACCAGGAGTACGAAGCTGAATACTCGGCATAAAATGCCCCCGAGCTTGAGCCGCAGTTGACCGGAAACTGAGATGCTTCTATGATCTCATATGTAGCTGTGGAGTTCACACGTGGCGCGAATTGACGAACCAGCCCCGTATTGAAACCACTCGGTAGCTGGGAATAGAACGTCTGAGAGGACATATCGTTAAGAGTTAAGAATTGCACTCCACTATTGTTATTCCACAAGTTCGGTTGGTATGTATTGGTGTTCGCCTTATTTAGAGCATCACGGACTTGCAACACATCCTTGCCGACACTGTATGATGCCGAAGACGAACCAACCGAGCGGAAGTCGTAGATATCGGCTCTCTGTTGGGGATATGTCCGGACTTTGACAGACCGTGAACTGAGAAAGAGCGACTGGATGGGATATGTGATGAGACCAAACACCCAGATAAAAATTGCGGCAGCCACCAGTTTGCTGCCGTATTGCCTCCATTTCCCACAAATCAGTGCTCGATATAAAGAAAAGTCCGTCCACTCGCGGTCAGCCAACGTTGTGGCTTGGCGGCCCATAGAATTCTTTCGATTCTGCTTAAAGATTACAGCAGCACTAGTACACACTGTGGAGATCCAGGGAAGAGTAACAACTTGAATAAATGTCTGAATAGTCCGCACAGAACGATAGATCTTTTCCTCTCGATGGAAATCTGTTTCATCCTTATCAAAGTAAAGGTAGTGTAAAGTTTCAGTCGAGTACGTCCAGGAGTTGGATTTGAGGGGGCGGGTTGATAGTATGGCCGTCATGGCCCAAGTATAAAGGACGAGAGCCACGTAAATAATCGAGAATAAAAATACCCAGGCTAATCGAGGAAAGGATGTAGTGTGCTCTCGTCTTGGAATTTGTCCCGTTGACTGCGCCTGGCTATATGATGGAGGCTCCTCATTATGTAGCGGGGAATAATCGGATGAGGAATCGTGTTCAGCGTATTCTGGTGCCTCTTGGTTGTGGAGATTGTCTGAGCTCGGGAGTTGCCGCAGAGGAACGGAGCCGGGTGTCTCCATTCTGGGTTGTCTTCAACCCCCACGGGGAGATCTGTCGGAAAAAAGGAGGAAAGCCAAAAAAAAAAAACATACAGACGGAATATCTACCACGGCAAATGTTTTGCTTTTTATTCTACGCCAAACGCTGATTCCCCCTGCGTCTTAGGGCTGAGTTTAAACCTCCTATACGAGCGCCCTGAGCGCCTGAGCGCCGTCCCCTGCTACGGTTTCATCCTTAGCTCATTTTCAACTTGGAAGTGAATATGGCACATAGAAATCGCAGCCCTATCAGCCAAGGCTTAGCCAAGCCAGCTAGAAGCACGACTTTGCAAGGTTATTCGCTAGTTCTGTTCTGAACGGTTTGTGGCCTTCAAGCCTGGAGGCTTCTCTCTCCTCTTTACCTTGGAGAGTAGAGCCGCTCACTACCCAGTCGCCCAGTGACTTAGCTCGAACTATAAATAACTTCCCGCTTTAACGAGTCCGTTTGAAGACAAGTCTCGACGCTTGGGCTTCGGGCGATCGCGCTCCAACCCTCAATTTGGGTACGTAGAAATAGTTCCCCTCAAGTACTCCGTACAAGTCTACCCATTTGCTTATCGAGCGCAGTAATCAACTCTTGGTGATCTTGGGGGTTGAGGTCGAGGGCATTCAGAGACCACGGACATAGTGCTATCATGTTGCCGTTTTGACATATCGGTGTCCCTGATGAAGATTTCGTTGTTCATAAGGAACCTGGGTTGAAAATTCGCTCATTATGGGTGGTATTTTCGTGACCAAGCAGTTGTTTATTTACCTGAGCGGCAATAGTGAAGTGATAGAAATCCACATTTTGATCAAATCACCCGAGCACGTGGATCTTCATGTGACTCCTCATTCGTGAGATATAGTTCTGCTGCAATCTTTGCTAATTTATTTGCTTCCCATTGACTTGAATTGGAGATCCTTGCTAATTTAATATAATCTCTCTAGTATAATGTGGTGTAGTATACCAAAAACCAAATCATCCTACAACCCTTATTCGCCACGCAGGCCTGCAACCGTGGCCCATATCAAATCACCGTAGGTGTAAACATCGATCGGGAGAGTTTCCACCACTTTCTGTTAGTACTGTAGCGCCAAATCAATAAGCACGGAGGGAGAGAAAGATCATGTATGGTCAACTGCATCTATAATCGCAAGGCTCCTTCACACCACCACTACATGTACACCCCATGACCACTCCACCCCATACACCTACATAGTTGCCTACGCAAAGCGACCACTCTCCCAAGTCCAGTTCCTAGATATTTTCGCTTTCCATCAAAACTCCTAAAGCCATGCTAACCCGTGATATCGTAAAGAAGATTGGTTTCGGTTCCGCGGGAACGACTGTCTATGCGCTGATACCGGGGAAGCACTCGGGAAGACCCTTGCTGTGCTTGTTGGAGGCGTGCTCGAGGAGGCTATAACCGCGCGAATATGTATGTTAGCGAGAAATCCCACATAGACGGACATGAACGAAGGCATGCGCAAGAGATAGTGGTGTGGAATAACGTACGCAGGCGCCTTGGTGGTCTGGAGGAAAGTCTGTCTGCAGATCTGGCACTGGATGTTCATGGCTTTCTCGTTCTAGATAAGAATGTGTGTCAGTGACTGGAGGGACAATATGGACGTTGGAGACATTGACATACGCTCTTGGTCTGCGACTTGGCGGTCTTCTGGTCCTTCGCGTTGCGCTCGCGCTTCATGTTTGCCTTGGCTCCCTGTCAAGTATTGTTAGTCCACTGCGCGTTGACGGACCCAAACAAAGAGCTCAGGATAGCGTGGCGTTGTCTGTAGGTCTTGAGAATTCTTTCTTACGTTGCCCATTTTTGCGGTATTGACTTGACGCCTGAAACGAGAGAAAAGGTTCAAAGAGGGGAATGCGATGGGATGTGGGCGTGAGGGAGATCTGTAATTTTTTGTAAAAAAAATTGTAAGCCCCGGTCTTAGGCCCCACGTGGGGCGGACGCATTGATTACTAAGCATGTCTTTATCCCGAGTGTCGACCGCCCAGGCAATTTATTGGAGTTTCATCACACCGACGCGTATAGTAAAAAGGGTGTCTATTAGGAGGAAGTTTGTTTTCAATGTTGCTTTGGAGTTACCGAGGCATTCGTCGACGTCAGAACAATCAACGGCCCCCGAAAATGCCTGCAATATCCGCATGGCCAATTACATAGTACATACGCATTATCTAGAATTCATAACTCTGAATGATTCTTCACTGACTTGTGCTGCGGAGAAATCTGCGCTCTCAAATATTGTGCCTATATCAAAATTAATTGCCGAATCCGTAAAGTCAAAGTCATAGATCGACCAAGTCAGTTATATCAATACCCGTCATTGTAGTGGTAAATCTACTGTAGTGCCGGCACTGGCCCTGGTAAAAGGTTAGGAGACTTGGTAGAACCAGGCGTTCTAAAATCATCCAAGATATGGTCGAGCTTGCCCGAAGTAGCCATTGAAGTTGTAATCCTCTTGATGAATACTGAATAAAGGTCTCCAGTGCAGTTGAGAGGATTGAAGCACATGGCAAACTATATATGACAATCTTACGCCTGTTAATGAGATGTATTCTATGGCAATGGAATAATATAATGGGGGGGCGTAAAATTCTAGGCATATCGTGAGGTAAAGAAGTTCTCCGACGGCAACAGGTCATTTATGCAGCTATTTCGAATCCCCTACCTACACTTTGCCAGAGTCGACGTTGGGTATCCCTACGATATCTACCCTTCACTCTATGTCCGGAGCTTTATCATTATCACCACTACTCCGGCCTTACTATCTGGAATGATTAAAATGCCGACTTTGTTTTAATTAGTGGAGTCGCAAACGAGTGGGACTATGGGTACTATCTGCTATCAGTGCACACCCTGATCGCGACGGTGATTAACAGCTCCATAAGCAATGCGCATCCAGAAATCGGGGGGAACGAGCAAGTCAGTGATGTACGGAACCAGAATGGATTGAACCAAGACGATCACGATCAACTTTAGACCGAAAATCGTATAAGCTGGGACCATCAGATTAGCACCTGCCCCTTTGGACGGGGATGCTCTTCCACCTGTGGCTTGGCCCGTTCCAGTTGTGCCCGCCTGGCCGAGAAGTGCCTTGCAACTTCCGGAAGGATCCTTGGCAGACTGAGTTGATGCCGCTCCCTTGAAATCGCACGCCGACTGATCCTTTTTCTGGTCCTGGTAGTAGCGATCGAAGACGTAGGATAGTTGATCCTTGCTGGTGCAGACGCTGTAGGCACCGTACTGTCCTGTGGTTGCGTTCTCGGAAATTCCATCGCAGGCACTCTTGTCGCTTCCGCACACTGTACCAAACAATTCGCCGTATTGATCCACGTGCACAGATTGACTGACTACACACGAGAGACTGTCCACCATGCATGAACACAGGTCTTTGTTCGGGGGTGGTGGCAAGGGACTGGACTTTGCCAACCACATGCTATTGATGGTGGGACAGGCATGCAGAGAGTTTGTGGGGGTGTAACTGCCGCTGTTGACACCGCTGGGAGTCGCAGTCTGAATTGCCTTTGAATAATAGCTGAATTCTGGCTGTGTGCTCACGGAGTTTCCGTCAACAGAGACTAGCCCGTAATTGTTGGCACTTTCGAAATACATGTAAACAATCCCACCACTCCAGACATTTTCCATGTCAGGTCCGAAGATCGCAGAAATGTCGCCAAACTTGCGAGGCCTGACCGTGTTGCATCCATACTCTGAGAAGAAGATTGGGACAGGGTAATCCTTGTACTGTTCGGTGAGGTTTTTGTATCCAGAGCCCTGGAATGTGTTGTCTCCACACCACTCGTACATGTTGTAACCGAAAAAGTCGATAGCGGTAGACTGATCTCCACAGTGGAGATAGTCTGACAGCTCATTGCGAAAGTCAGGTTGGTCGGTAGTTGCATAACCAAAGCCCAAGGACTTCCTGTATCCCTTCGCTTTGATGTATGCTTTCATATCGCGCACCGCTGCTTTAACAAATGCTGAACCGATTGTCTCGTTGACTTTGTTCACCACTTCATTCCCGGCAAAGAAACCAATCACATTGTCATACTGATGCAAAGCATCAACCACGGAGGTGTATCGATCGTATTGTGCAACGGTCCAAGTTGGCGAGTTGGAGATAATCGATAACTGAGGAGACGACAGATCGGCAATAACATAAATTCCTGCATCGGCCAATTTCTGCATACAAGCATCGTGGCTTTTGGTCGGGTCGACAGCGTAGATCCGGATGACGTTGGTTCGCAGTTGCTGGAGGTATGGGATATCACGTTCACAGTGAGAAACGTCCGCCAGAGGGTCAGTGTAGTGAGTATCACTTGATTGACCAGTACCTGTAGCACCTCCGGAATTGTAGTCCTCTAGATAGTGTTAGTCTAAGGTCATTGGAGTATTTGTGTCATTTAGCTTGCATACCCTGGTAGGCAATGCCACGGATGTAACTAGTCCCAGAATTAGCAACTCAAACAGTTTGAAATGGTCTTTCAACTCACAATTGCGTCCCGTTGTTTGAATAGAAGAGCTTAGACCCCTGTGAATAAACCCCGTTAGTTTCTTGAGTCCTCCAAAACAGTGTGGAGATACTTGCTTTGATCTGGATCGGCGGAACACTAGCTGTGGCAACTGCCAAGAGCAGGAAGAGGCTTGCTAGAAGAAGGTGAATTCCCATCTTGGCTGCATTCAAGTCAGTTATAGTGATTGCTATTGATAGATACGAGAAGAATAACCAAGCCTCGTAATGCAAAAACTGAGGGGTTTGTGTGTAACCGTTGCACGCGTTGTTTATGAGGAAAGTAAAAGGAACACAGAAGACGCGAGAGAAACAATATTATGTCTACAGGTACCACGTGCCACCTGGGCAGTTTCGACTGCCTATATAATATACAAAGTAGGAAGCGACGAGGCGGCAGGTGACCGCCTCACGTTCTGGTCAATTTAAATAGCTTTGGGAGATATCTCTCAATTGAATGGCTGCGAGTATACAACCGTCTGCTGGATTCATTTCAATTGTAAATGACACAATATCGACCCAAATTGGTGGAGAAGTTGTACGATTCGCCCCGTCATAACTTCCCTACAGTGAATTACCTTGATCTGCACTCATATTTGGGTTGGGAACTCCCGATACCCTCGATTATAGCCACAGAATAGGGTTCGCGTACCTTAGTTCCCGGTTTGTAATAGCGCCGAGAATGCGGGTACTTGCAGTAGAGGACCTTTCAAAGCTGGTCTAGTTTATTTCTATTTACATGCCTCCCGTTTGCCTCAATATCCTTCTCTTGGCAGAGTCAAGCTTTTGAAATATCCAAGTGGAGTATCTATGTACATACAGCTCCACCAGCAGAGCGATCCGCTCCCGAGATCGGCAAGATCCGGCTTTGTAACTGATCCACGTGCAAATAGTATTTTTATCGATCAATATAGGGTAGAGCTGCCCCACGTGCCCCATCCTCAAGGCTTTCCTTCTTCCTGCTCTTGTCAGCAATTTTGGTTTTTTTCTTTTCCATTTTTTTGTATGAAAAATACAGCCTATTCTACCACTAGATCATAACAAAAACCTCGGTTCCTATTTAGGGCCTAGGCGGGAACATATTCCAGTCTGGCATTTTTCTTTTCTTTTTCTTTTTCGATTTCCGCGTACTAAACATCCACTGTCTCCCGATGTAGGACCTGTTCACCAATTAGTTTGAGCGCTACAAGCGCCTCCCTTCCATTTTACGTTACACATGAGGCTTGAGTTGTTTTGCACTATGCAGGCGGCTAAAAGCCCGAAGCTGGGCGACACAAGGCGGCCAATACCTATAGTGGTATGGTTGGTCTTGTTCAGACGTGTCCATGCACAAATATGGGCGTCAGCCTGACTGTGGTCTCTCTAGGAGATAGAGGTTTGAATTTCTTTTGATGGGGGATTTAGAATGATAGATAGAACACCCCGACACTTGCTTGATATACCATTCTAAATGACATGAACCGAAAATAGACAAAACTCCTGATGATAGTTACATATTATGTTCTTTGAATCTTGAATCCTGTCTGTTGGGATTCAAATGAAGAAAAGACACCCTACCCGGGGAAATAAAAGAGATAACAAGACAAGAGGATAGCAACCCACCGCTCTTCGCTCGTTGTTGTACTTTGATCAGGTCGCAGCAGCTGCACCTGGTGGTGGTGGCGATCCTTCTTGCTGCTGTTGCTGCTGTTCCTGTTCTTGCTTCTGCTTTTTCCGCTCCTTTGCTTCTGCATCCTCCTTCTTCCACGAGCCCTCGTAATGATGCGTCACAAGTGGATCACCTTGATCCGTCGGGTTGCTGTTTTGAAGAGCAGCGAAAGAGACCCCGGGCATGATCAAAACATCACCAACCAACTTGGGCCGTTTAGTGTGCGCAAAATCGCGATCATCGACCGTTCTACCGAGCAATTGCCCGAGACTCTCCATGATCGCGACTGTCATAATCTTAGGCCCTGTCACCTCAACCACGTCTGAAAGCATTTCCAAGGTAATCCCTTCGATGCCCACGGAGTTTGCTTCAGCAATACCCTCCAATTTATTGAGGACAGTGTCAACAATAACTTGGAGATTGCGCGAAGACTTCCGTCCAACAAATACCCAATTGCAGAACTGGGAAGCAATTTTCGTTCCCGCTCCTCGCCATTCAAAGTCGAACTCCAATCCGACAATCATGTCGATGTTCGCATTTCGGTATTCCAAGGGTACCCACTCGGCGACCTCTTTCTCGCACGAGGTATCTAAATCGCCCCAAATTCCGCCTTCGGCGAGAACAACCAGGTAACGGAACAGGTCTGCACGGAGGATCGGGATTGGAAGGGCTTCATAGACTTCGACGATATCCGGTCGCGTTTTGAAATAATGAGCGCGAACGAATGCTTCAGCCGATCTATCAGTCAGCAATTCTTGGCGGATCGATGGATTTTTTCTTGTCCAGCTGCCGGTCCATTCGCGCTGATTTTCCGATAGATTATCGAACTTGGCAGAATGCCAGACCTTGTCTGGAAGCGTGTAAATAGGTGCAGCGGAAGTACCGGGATGCCTGTCACTAGTCGATGGCTCCTTTGTAGGCACTGATATTGAGGCCGGGCTCCCTGTGCCGGTCGTTGTCTCGAAAGATTGCGGTGTGGAGGGACTGGGGACCAAGGTGGGTGTTTGATTCCACGAATAAAGGTAACAAATGAGGGCAAATGGAATTATTAGAGCGAGAGTTAAGCGCAAGGAGCGCGAGTTTAAGTTGGTTGGCATTGAAAGGATAAGTGAAGAGCCTCAAAGATCAGGGAAACATGCGAATAGTTATATGAAATCCGATCAAAGAAGCCGCCTGGGCGGGTTTAAAGAAATCAGCATATTGTCAGCAACAGCAACGAAATCCACTTTAGCGTGCGGCTGAGCCCACAGGAGTTTCCCTAGTGTCCATCGCCCCACTACAACAATTGATCCAGTAATACAGTCAGTGGACATTAGTTTTTACACCCCTTGGTCCCACAACCCTATGATTATATAATATACTGCCAGTCAGAAGCCTCCATGAACTCAAATCTAGTATGATCTGTGTCAACCGCTTTAAATAGGCGGTATATACTTATCATGGCAGTAAGTTGGGTGGGGCTAGGTGTAGAAACTGACGTCCAGTCATTGTACCTTAGACCAATTTGGGTGTTGGTGTTAGTTTAGTTATTTGATTGGGCCATGAGTTGGTACAGACATGAGATTGGCCCTTGTGGTGAAAGCTAGGTGACTAACCGAGTTATTTGATGCGTATGAACTCCACCAGTGCGGTGAAAACGGTGTTGGAATTCAATTAGATGTAAATGATACTAATGCGGCCCTCTGGCACGTTAGGTTGTTCATATGACGGCATCCCCACCGAATACATAGTTTCTTTTCCGCATTTGATGCACTTGCTGCCATCAAATATATTTTGTTGATTTCCTCTTCGGGGTCGTAAACGAAGAACTCAAAAACATCGCTATCCATAATGCACCACAAGTATCATGTCCGCTCAAATGTATTTTCCGCATCAACATCCACACAGTGCGCAGCGAACTTGCTCGACTTCCTCAAACGTTCCCCATATATCCTTAGCACGGGCGACAGGATACAAAACCCAGTGGCCAAACTAGCTAGCACACACATAGCGGAATTAGGCCCCAGCTCGCTAAACATCCGCCCAGAAAACAACGGAAACGAAGCGGCCAACACACAGCGCACCAGGCCCAGCGCCGCAAATCCGCTAGCCGAGTACGACCGGTAGCTATCCGACATGTATCCCACCAGCACGATGCCGAACTCATTGATCGCGAATCCCGTCAGGAAGAGCGGTATCACGGACGCAAAGTAATGCACATGTACGGCCGGTGGGATCGTCCATGCGAACCACCACAGTGCGATCATTAGGACTGGTGCAGCAATGATGTAGCCAGTTAGTTTATGCTCGGGAATAATTGGTTCGCCACGCTGGCGCCGACGTGCTGTTTTGCGATATTCCAAGAAGCGGGTACCGATATTGGGAAGGAACCCGAAGCCTAGGGCTAGGAAGGGGAGACTGGCTTGCGTGGACGTGAGACCGAAGGATTCATAAACCCCAGGCAGGATGTCTGTGAATAGGTAGATGAGACCAGTGGAGATGCCGCAGACGATTGAGACTGCTGCAATGATGGGCTCTGTGAAGAGGAGCTGGGCTGGTCGGAAGGCGAAGTTCCGTGCGAACGACCGGATGCCTGGGACTCTGTCTGGGTTCAATGCTTGGAGAGAGTAATCACCAGTAATGTGACGCAGGTGTCGAACCTCCTGTGTCAGCAAAACTGTTGGGCGGGATTCACGAATCGTGAGTAGCAATACAGCTAGGATTCCGGTGACTATGGCGGCGACGTAGAAAACCCATTTCCTACAACGATTCATTAGTATTTTGATCTGTTTCTGTGTACATCCCATCTTTTCGAGCTGGGACAGTACTTACCACCCCCAAGCAGCTGTGATATATGCACTCATCACCGGCCCCATTGCGATACCCAAATTTGACATGGCCATATACGGTAACGTAAGCCATATAAGCTCTCTGGTGTCGAACATATCTTGCATACTGCCATTGATGACAGCACTCGGGACCGCAGACAAAAAGCCTGTGATGAGGCGTCCGAAAGCCCCTGCGCCAGGCAACTCCGCTGCCGAAATCAACACGCAAAATATACTGTACACTGCAGTGCTGCCCACATATAGCTTTTTTCGGCCGTAGCACTCAGAGTAAGGAGGCAATACTATGCTACCAATACCTTGCGCGAGAAGATATCTTTGTGTTTCATCTAGTAAGCATTTTCCGTAAACGATACCCATAACGACGGAGAAGGACTTACGTCGATATGTATAGAAACACAGACAAGGTCTCCCCTATTCCAAAGTGTTCCTGTGCATTTCTGGCAGCTGTAGCCTGCAAACAATTTAGTATTTGACATATAATGTGACTCTGGATTAAATAACCCATACCCCTGATGTGCTCACTGCGGTCCTAATTCGCAAAAATCGTCAGTCTCGGTCAATTATCCAGAACTGCAAAACTCACGTATAAAATTCCAAGAAGATGATGATTGAAACATCATACGCCTTCCTCGACTTGCTCCAATTCCGCGGGTGGCGTGGGTTCATGGCAGCCCAACCCACGAGATTCTTCTCATCTCCAGTGCGCTTTAAACCTTGGATTTTGAGGGCGTGGCCTACCTCTAATCGTGCTTGGGGAGTAACCATGAGCATAATGATCTCTGAACCAAGTACTGAGGTTAAACTTAACTGGATTGGGCTAGGAAAGGAGCTTTATATGATTGAGCCCAGGCATTCTTGAATTGGACTTTTACTGTGAACACATGTTTAGGATGTCGTAGAGATTGATATTCATTGAATAGCAAGAAAAGCCTCTATGCAGCTGGTAGATCCGGTAGGTCCGGTAGATACATGCAAGGGACAGTAATAAAGATGTTGAAGTTTTTGACCCACCGAGGACGTAAGCTCATAATCGATATAAGAAATAGTAAAATCTACGTTGATCTTACTATCATTACATCATCTCCCTTGTTGATCCTACACATTCTCTGCGGTCATTAAGAATGTGGAACAGAAACCAGCATTTACATAATGCTTTGAAGATGATGTACGTGCGATGATGAACATCTGCAGAGGGTCCATACTTGGGCAATTGTAGGATTATGGCCAAACTTTCATACGGAGGATAATCAGGATCATGGGGTATTTCTCGACTTACAACGATTATTATTTGTAGATTTCTAAGTATGTCTTCGGATACTTTCATCTAATATAGTTATCATAGAAATTACAATAGAAATGGGGTCATATTAGTATATACGATGTTGTTCCTCAATATTCCAGAGTGGCTGACACTCTAGCCTTGTATAATGACGACATCTTCAATGGGCTTAAGCAACAAGTGCTGGAAGTAAAATAGAAAATATTATGTCAAACAATGTCGCAATTTCCCTTTTTGTTTCTTGTTTTATCTTGTTTTCACTGGGTTTGATCAGCGGATGATGAAGGGATGGAGAAAAGGGATTACATTATGTCAGAAGAGATCAATCTCTAAACACGCTCCTTTCAACCCGACGCTTCAATATCAAACCACAAGTATGCCGCTCTACAGTATTGCAAAATCGGGGTAAAGTCTAAATACTGACATCGTAAGGTCTTTAGTGCCACTTTTTGTATGTCATCGGAATACATTCTGGCCACTTTTATGCATCCCTCGTACAGCTACCCATTACAATGGTACAACCATGCCGTATTGAGTGCATTCGAAATCCTACCTTACGACCTATCATCCGGCCAGGTTCAACAACCAAACCAACGTTGCCTGTAACCTTTCCTTCGCTGAGACAATGCGACTGGGATGTACGGGCGACGAAGTGTACCACGTGGGACTTTGGTCGTATTGGTTAATATTGTGCACACGTAGATGTACAGCATAGATATATCACCTATCATTTAGCTTTTTCTTTCTTTTGGTGTACTATATAATTTCAGAATACATAGGCAATCTTTTTCTGGCAACAATTACCAGTAGACTAAAGTTCCTGGTTTCACAATTCGCCACTGGTGAAACAAAGGTGCTAGTGAGATCAATGGTTCTTCCCCCACTACTATTCTATTTAAGTAGGGGCCGGATCGTCAACCTGACTATATCATATGCAAAGTCTATTCCTTTTTCTTTTTCTACCCAGTGAAGAAGTCAGCAGTGTTATACATACCACCCAACAAGACAGACAACATGGCGACTGTGAACTTACTGGAATACCTTCGCTCACGAACACAGGTGGATATTGATACATACGATGCTGAAGGTTGAGAGTCTTTTGACTTGCATCAGGCAGAATACTAATGCAAATTTCACGCCAGCTTCCAGAGAGATCGGACCTTTCCAGGACGCAACGGGAAACCAAGTACGAGGAAATATTTAGATACCCTGTATTGCTGTGTGCTAATTAGGAAAGCAGTTTGAGATTCAAGCTGAGATTGTCAAGCCCAACAGAAGCGCTGTGTTGAAGAGATCACTAGAGTTGGCGGCAACTATCCACCCACGGTTTGCCACCATCACCCTCGAGGAGCTTGCTGTGGAGGTGGTGGTAGGTGTTTGGTAAATTTGGTAGTGTGGATTTCTAAAGCTAACTGATCCAGGGTATTGAACTAGCCCTCGAAGTGATCCAAACTGTTCATGGAAATGTTCATGTCATGGTCAACCCGAGCTACTCCTACAATACCGAAGCAATAGTTGCAAATGCTCAGCGTAAGATAATACTCTTCATACTGTACGTCAAAAAGAAAGATGTTAATCTATATGCTGCAGGACTCCATCATATCTGCAAAATCGTTGACCCTTATTTCGACACATCTCACCTGGTTACGAAGGTCCCAGCCACATGGGAGGGAATGCAGGCTTCCCGTCAGCTCAAGCAAAGTGGAATAAAGACTTTGGCCACGACTGTCTTCTCCATGGAACAGGTAATCCTTGCGGGCGAAGCCGGCTGCATATCAATTTCACCGTTTGTGCATGAGCTCAAAACCGAAACTTACAAGGGGTGAGTGACAGAGATCGCCGAATACTGGGTGCATCTCTAATTACTTGGCAGATACAAGGACAAGAACCCAATCCTTGGTGTCTGTGTGCAAGCACAACAGTTCTATCAGCAGAACTCTCTTCCCACACGGCTGAAAGTCTGTGTCACAATGAACCTCGATGAGCTGATTATGCTCGCCGGAATCGACGCACTTACTATAACACCAAAGGTTCTGAAGGTTTTGGCAGCTACAGAGAGACTCCAAGAGGAGGTGGAAAGTATGTCCTTGTTTGCGAAAACCACTATGACCACAGAGGTTGTCAAATATCTCTCATATATCGACTCCGAGAGTCAATACCGGGTTCATTTTGCTGCTAGTGAGGATGGAAAGGCCCAGTTCAAGACAGCACAGGTACGAATACACTTCCAACTTGTGCTTTTTGTGCAGCTCAGATTGATTAATCTCGAATGCAGGCAATTTCTCTGTTTTGTGATGCTCAAACGGCGGCGGAGTTGTACATCGCTTCTCAATTGGAGGACTCTTCTTACATCCCAATCAATCTATGAAGCACCATTGTGGCTGTACAGTGTCCTTCTTGTTTGATGGGTCGTGAACGGGAGTGATATTTAAAAACGTCAGTAAGGATACGCATCTGCAGGAAAGCCCCTAATCGGGGATTGGTAGCTTGTATCAATTGAACAATAGCCTACTCTATTTAATGTAACCATTGTCGTCGAAAGGGAGGTAGGAAGATCCCTATTAAAACTGGAGGTAGATGTCTCTCCTATTGTTCATCCAAAATGTTGACCTCGTCTGGTTCAAATGTTTACTACCGACATGAAACAAACTGAAACCAAGACCGCAAAAGCCTCACTAGCGGTGAAGTATGACAATCATCAATTTGTAGATAGTGAAGGTACATAGTGTAGTGGGGAAATAGGCTCCCCACTATGCATTTTGCCCTTGCCTCTTCTTCTTTTTCATATGTCGTTGTGTAAGCATTGAGATCGTGAGGTTACAAGTAGCAGATAGACACAGAGTGAGAACACGCACTCCTACACCTCTCTGAATCCACTTCTAGGGCAGTGCCCCTGGGTTTCCCTACATGCAAAGTTGGATATGAAGCTGAACTACGTGCGCTGAATCGAGCCACATGCCCCAGAGCATACAGCCTTGAGCGTTCCCCTCTTCAATAGGTATGTTATCAAATCATTATAAACACTCGGTCTATTACTTTCGACCTGTTTGCTCATTTCGCTACACTACACCTGTACAGTGAAACCTCAGAGCATCTACCCAACAACTCGAAGCTGACTGGTTGGTTTCAATGTAACCATGAAGCAGTGGTCAGATATGTTTAGAACTAGGAGCTGGTATTCGTAGTATATTTGCTAGGAATGATTATGACTCTAGGGCAAAAGAAAAAACACATGCCCTATAGTCTCCCTGCATCTTGAGATTCATTAGATGTGCTCTCGTGTTCCCTAACCAGGATTATTTGGATGTCTAGCCCTTGTAAATAAACATCTCGATGTTCGTGTTATGGTCTTAGATGTCTATAGCGCAAATTGCACGCCCCACTAAAACTGGTTTATGGGTACGGCCCGCGTCTGACCCACTCATGGCACTAGTATGTATCGGGAGATTGTATCCACTCTGGTCCCCACCTGAGGGTTGTTGTGTGACAAGATCATGGAAACTCTAGTCATGTCTCCTAGACACATATGGGAGGCTAACTCTTTAACATGGGGAGGTACGACTTGTATTGTAATTCATCATTTTACTTAAATGGACTGGTTCATTGAGTGACTATGTTGACCTGAGACTAAAAAGTATTGTAATCAGATCTTGCGCCATCTGGATGAGAGGTGTGTGAAGTATAGCTTGTGACTTTGACACATCGGGGAGAACTCATATCCAGTTTTCTTTCGTGGATGGTGCTCATGGAAGTAGGCTTATCAGTTATATTAATAGAAGATTTAGCGAGAAGCTTCGAGAGTCGAGACATTTAGCGCTAGATAATCATATAGACCGTATCAAATGGGAAGCATGCGGCGATTGTCACACTTAGGTTATAGTGCAGCTAGAACGAGTTGAGTGGCTGAGAGAGGTGTTGTGGTTACCGCAGGTCAAGGCTAGTTCTAATCAACGACCCAGGTATCGTCAGTATGATCCAAGTCGTCCATCCTTTTCTGTCTTTAATCGGGGATATATTGTAGTTTAAATTTTAAGGCTATAATCTCGAAACAGGAATCATCCGTGGACCTTATGTTAAACTGATCCAAGGATCGAGGCCATGTTAATAACTGACAAGAGCGACCTCCGGATGTTTTGAAATGGAAGGCACATCCGCTGACAATAGTGCCTTCCCCAAAAGTCCCATAAGGCGAGGTTAAAGCACACGTAGAAGTTCATCTTGTAAATATACCATGCGCAAATGTTTTTTATTACATGTCCTCGTCTCCGAAAGGGACATCGAGCTGATTCTCCAAGTAGCTCCACACCATCATATCGAGATGGTCCCAGGGAGCAAGCCCAAGGCAAGGCCCAGCGCAATACTCGGTTTCAAGACGGCACCTGGCTAACTTGAGATACTGCAGGCCTTGCACTAGGATCAACTTTGACCCCCGTTCGAGATCGGAGGCGGAGATCTACAAGTCTTTCGCGTCGGCTCCGCCATCGATTCTCGAGAGAATCCAGACAGTCCGGGGAACACCGCCACATCTTTCCCTTCTCACTCAAGCTTAAGGCAAACGCACCCAAAAAAACCCCAGAGGTATCAATGGTTGGGGACATGGGAAGTAGTCTGACGAGCGCACGAGGGTACGACAGTGATGCCCAGTGCATTGGGAGTCCCCAGCATGTCGACCATATGAGAGCTTCGCCCAGAATCCCGGCTTTTCGCAGGATGGGGTTGCATGATCTAATAGAGTATAGCCGTGAGCGAAATGACTTGGAGATGTGGGCGGGTGCCAACAGACATGATCAATCCGGCACCCCGGGAACTCCCTTTGGGATGCATTATATACCCACACCACCAGGAAGTTTGAGGGGGTGCACTGCTCACCCCGACGCTGAATTCGAAGGCACGGGTAACCAGTCGGTGCCTTCATTCAAAAATGAGCGGTTGGGCGAGCAAAACGCGTTCGCCAAATCTTTCTCAAGTTTTCACCCCAGTCAAGAAGAATTAGCTCCACCAAATCAAGAACATCTGCGGTCTCGAGGAGACTTTAAAGGCAGCAGTAGCGGTGAGAACCTCCAGAATCTGGTGGTTGACTGGGCTCAGTACATGGGATCAGATCCTAACAATTATCGCGCGGCATCTTCGACATCGGTAGCCAAGGAAGATCCGGGAATTACGGTTTCCAAAACACGGCAACCAACAAGCTCCCCCGGTACACACTCCGAGAGTCGGGTACTGCATCTTGGTGATCTTGACCTTTCGCACAGACTCGCAGGGACAAGTATGGGGTCCGGGCCGACATCGGCTAATCCATCTATGTCGGAACTTCCACGTCCGAATAGGTATGGGCCACAGATGGCATCGCAAGAGAATCTTCAATCTCATGAGAGATCTGGAACATTGACAATCGGGAGTTCCGAGCCCCAGAAGCAAGCTACATCTCACCAACGAGATGCCTCTTCTTTCTATTCGCGCCAAAGCAGTAATCCTTCACGGGGAGCATCTGCTGTTCAATCGCTGAGAGTTCATGCTGCAAATGCGATGGATAGTTTACCCAATATTCATGCACAAATAGTAGCTGGGGCTGACTCGGTCCAAAATGAACTGAAACCAGTTGCTGAGGTTCTGAAAAGTAGGTTTGTTGAGCAACTTGATGCGGCAAACTGGGAATCACCCCAGGTTCATGGAATTTTCAATGGACCCAACGGCGCTGGACCACAGCGCAGAGTCAGTCCTGGGTGGATGACTGGGGGCCGGCGAATGGGCTATGGGTATAGCTTGGTGGACAACGCTGAGGCTCACCCACCAGCAGTTGGAGGGAACAGCAATTCACTTCCGAATGGGAGTTGGCACAAAGACACTTCGGGGCCTAGGTCTGACAGCCGACAGTCTCCTTCGAACAAAAGTCCTACCAATGTCATAGGGGAACCAGTTTTGACACCAACAATGTGGGCCAAAATGAAGAGCCATTCAGTTCGAGATAATCGTCACGCACCGCTGGCAGTGGATTTGGCAGGTGTAGGGATGGCTGCAAGTGAAGCCCACCGTACAAGTTCAAATCGGGCGCAGCACATTGAGTCGCCAACTTCTATGAAATCTCCAATCTCTGCAAAGACACCAACATCTGCCAAGAGCTTTTATATCGAAGACGTCGACGAAACGTTCTTGAGTCGATGGGCGAAAGTCAGTCGGTCCACACGTAAACAACAACAACAACCAGGCATGTACCACGATTCAACCCATGGGCCTGAAGTCTATACTTCAGATACTTCACCACTTAGTGGACGCCGCTTCTCGATGGATCAGACAAACCATCAGCCCTCAGTGTACTTCGATCCATCCAACGGCAGGAGTGCAGACAGACAAAACGGAGACCCCTCGCGCTCTCGTAGTGGACGTTGGATACCAAAGTTTTCTAGAAATAGGGAAAGCAAGAAACGCTCAAACCTCCTTCCAAAAGAACCATCTGAGGAATCGCCAGTACCATATCAAGAGCGTCCGTCAAGTGACCTGGGACGAGCAAACTCTACCAGAAGCGATATGGCAGAGGAGCTCGCGAGTGCGTATCAGGAGTGCATCGGGATGCCCGGGGCCTTTTATGGAAGCCGGTGGGCGAGCCGTACAAGTCTGGTGGTGGAGGCAGAGTGACAAAGATGCACGGTAACGACCATCACGGGAGTAAGGAGGATGGGTATATTGGTTGGACGAGTATACAAATACGGTTATGGAGGACTCTGGAGCCAATGCTGCTGTTATTGTTACCCGAGGGGATGGAGTTGGTTCAATTATGAGTATGTTTCCCAGGGTGTCATTAATCGTACAGAAATAAGGGCAATGCATCCCTAATACATCTTACACTTCTCACGTGCACACAACAGGGGTATAGTATTATCGCCAGTAGAGAAGTAGATCATCTATCTCCGCTGTCGCTTGTTGCTCTTGTCGCTTACGCCACTGAGCACACTAGCAGACCGCTTGTGATTACCATCCCCTTGTTGAACACCGTTGCCCTGTGTGTTCTGTGGGCCAGTAGAATGACCCAAAAGGCCGGTGTCGCTGTCTTCAGTCTCCTTTTTCACATGGGGATGTTCGGGGTCAGCACTTGGCCCCGAGATACCAGCAGCTTCTCGTGATTTACGCTCGCGCTCCATCTTCGCCGCTTCAAGTACACGGATCTCACTTTCAACCTTTTCGGACACCTTGCGAGCGTCGAGGAGCATATTGACGGACTGGATGAGTTTCTCGAAATCCTTGCATACGCGTTCTGTAGGCATGAACAAGCGCACGGGGATCTCGAGCTCGGATAGCGCATTGGCCAGTTTTTGGGTCTGCACGTTGGACTTGGCCTGCGTGAGTCGCTGGGCACGATCGCTGCGGAATTGCACACCGGCTGAGACACGCTCGTGGTGTTGGACGCCATACCTTGCTTCCTCCGCTGAGGTGAGCGTGCGTACCATTTGATTGGGCTCCTTTGATGTGATAGAACCCTTCTTGTTGGCAGCCTGTGTTACGGGGGTCTCGGCTCGGCCTAGGCCACCAGCGGTGGATGGAGTCTGACCAGCGGGACTTGGGATGGCACTGTCGCCGAGGATGGAACGGCGTTTCTTGCTCTTGTCGGCTTGGAGTAGAGTCTGCAGGAGCTGGGACAGACCCGCACTGGACTGGTACATTGTGGTGTTGCCGACGCTGATAGGAACCTCGAGACGAGAGTAGAGTTCCCGGCGTTCGGTGATGAAGTTCTGCTCGTTGCTTGTAATGCGCTTCAATTCTTCGAGTAGCATCGCCTCCTCGCGGACCTCATCGGCTGTGCGGTTGAGCTGAAGGGCGGCTAGTTCTTTGCGGTCGCGCTCTCGATCGGGGTCAAACTTCAGCATCTTCTCGTGTAGTTCGAACTCAGCCTCAGACATCTCTGAGGGTGGGTGCTCTATTGAGAGCATGGTTGCCGCAATTTTGTAGTATCGGGCCTTTAATTGCTCCATTGTTCGATGGTGCTTTGCGGGCACAAGGGCATTCGCATCCGGCTTTGTGTCCATTCGGGGTTGGTAGTCATAACGATCTGCGATGAGCACCCAGCGAATGTCGAAGTCGGTGACGAGATCCACCAGATAGTCCGTTTCCTCGCGCGACCAGTCATCACTTGTGAGATGTCGAGTGTACTCGTCGTCGGTGTATCGGCGGGGCAAACGCGGTTTAACGTTGTATTTGGCGAAGGCATATTCCTGCTCCGGCAGTTTCGATACGTCCTCTTTCTCTTCTTCCTTGGGCTTATCCACTTCCGTTTGAGACCCTGCGGGTGCGGGTGCAGGTGCGGGAACCGGTGGTCGCGCCGACTCGTGTTTTCTCTGCCAGTGGTTCAAAACCAGGCCGTCGGAACGGGCGTTGTTCGTGAACGGGGCCATGCTCCTATAGATGACCCAACGTCAGCATGCATTTGAGATCTCCAAAGAGCCGCATCCTCAACATACCATGGTCGAACGCGCAGCTTGTTCATCCATTTTGGACGGCCCTTGTACTTGTTCTCATTAATGGCGATCGGCGGCGCCCTTTCGCCCAGTAGCGCGTACAGTTCACGGGTAATACCCTCTGCAACGGGGGACTGTCAGTAATTTATCTCACTCTCAATAGAGCGCATCACACCTACCTGGTCGCTTTTCGACCACCTTCTGCTTCTTGTGTGGTCTGGGCTGCCCTTCTGCGGGCAAATCCAGCATGTCGCGAACATCGGCCGCGGCCATGTTGGTGGTTCAATCGGAGTGGTGGTCTGCCTGGATACGACACCGAGGGGGGGATTTCTTCGGTATTGAGCGATTTGAAATTTAGTACGCAACCAGAGAAAGATGAAAGCGGTTTTTGTTTGATGAAATAAAGACCAGTGAACGTCGAAATTGAAGATCCCATCGACAGAGGCTTCCCGCTGGAAAGGGAGGCATTCCAGAGACGGCAGGCGGTGAACACCCACTGTCCCTGATGTTGACACCTTCACGGAGCGGAGGACTTGGCCGTGCGACTATCCAATTGCCCATTTCCCCATCATGGTTTTCTCTGGGACATCCTCGTCATGGCTGGCATCAGCATTGACTCTCCTCTCCTTCTTTTCTCTCCTCCTCCCAACCAATGCCCTGTACTTCTACATGGAGGGCCGACAAACAAAGTGCTTCTTTGAGGACCTGCCCAAGGATACCCTGGTGGCCGGTATGCGGCAATCTCTACAGCCTTCACGAAGGAATCCTAAACTAACATATGATGGTTACCATAAATAGGCCGTTTCGAGACGGAAGTCATCAACGCCCAGAGCGGCACCTACACGATCGACCATAACTTGAAGATGCACATCACCGTCGAGGAGACCTTCGACAATGACCACCGCGTCGTGTCCAAACGGGACAGCCACTCTGGTCGCTTCCATTTCTCCGCCGCGGATGCGGGCCAGCACAGAATCTGCTTCACACCTGAAACGGATGCCACCTCCAGCTGGTTGTCCAACTCTCTGGGCGCCGTCAAGCTCACCGTCGACCTTGCTATTGGTGAGACCAGCAAGATTGAGACTGAGGATAAGGACAAAATCAAGGATATCGTGCAGCGGGTCAAGGATCTGAACAGCCGGTTGCACGATATCCGTCGTGAACAGGTGTACCAGCGGGTAAGGATTACCCCATATCCAATCTATAGCTAGTGTCTGTGGATGATTAAAATGGGGATGCTAATGGTCTCTTTCTTTCCAGGAACGTGAGTCTGAATTCCGTGACCAGTCTGAGACCACCAACTCGCGTGTTGTGCGCTGGACTCTTATCCAGCTCGCCGTTTTGTCCGCCGCATGCGCCTGGCAACTCTCGCACCTGCGGTCATTCTTCATCAAGCAGAAGTTGACTTAGATGCCATGTTGTCTTATTCCCTACAGCATATCTCGTTTCTTATGCCTTGCATCTTCCTTCCACCTCTGCTGTGGTCACGCACGCCGGTTTACGTGAATATGGATGATTGGTTCTTACATGCGTTTTTATACTGGTTTTCTGGCGAAGGGCAGATCTTTAAACTCTGGCCGGAGGCATTTCGACTGCCCGATGTCCCTTTTTGAGCTCAGTAGGCCCCACGGCCAGTGTTTCAGCAAAGAAAGGGTGCGGAGTGCTTGGAGCGTGGTCAGATGTCGATCTTGATAATGGATGTAATGATATCTTTTCTTCTATTCCACTGTCTTTCGTAGATGCTTCTAAGAAACGATATTTGTCCACACGAACTACCTAGTTCCAGTCACGATATATATGTAGACTTGGTGCGCGGACGAGTGACGACTTGGGCAACTTCATCTAGGCCAAGCTTGTGGCCACTTATTTTACCTCCCGCTGCAAAATTCCCAAATTTAAAATTTTCTTATGCTTTCAAAAGTGACACTCCGGACTACGGTTAAATCTTCGATGGAGCTAAAGGCCATAACGGAAAAAAGGTCTCTTATGGGTATCACTCAAAATTAACACAAGTTTTGATATGAAATGTGGTGCTTTATCTCTATATGTGACCTTCAGTCCCTCGTTCCCCGGTGGTTCTCTTATAAAACATCTGAGCAGCTCTCCCCAGCATACGCTAGTTGTATATAGAAATCCGTCTGTACTGTTTACACTCAGGGATGATCAGTGATACTAGGGTGGGACTCCTATAGGTCTGATACGTATATAGGACTCAGATTATAAAAGGCACATAGGAACAAATAGGACCAGGACGTGGGACCAAAAGGATTCCAGTCATATAGGACTTGCTGAGGCCTGCGGAATGAAACCCTTATGGCGCGACATGCTCGGCGTTGGGATTCACATCCATCGATCTTGCTGTATCCTAATATGCCTCTTAATCATGGCTCTTGCGATATTTGGACACTGTCACCGTCTGTTTTATCCGAAATAGAGTGTGAGATATAACCAGATATGGCCGCAAAAGGCAAACCAGACAAGGAATGACTTACAAAAAGCAACATGATCCTTGATATCAGCCGCTGCATCGTAGGGTTCCCGGTAATACCACGCTGCATTTTCAAGAGTCTGCCCGTCCACCCTCAGATGCCAGTAAGAGGCGTAGCCTTTCCAAGAGCAAAAGGTGGAACGATCGGAGTCTTGCAAAATGGTATCATCAGTGATTGCCGAGCGGGGAAACTGTACAATATGAAGTCAGTCAATCTTAAATGCAAACTCTGAATGTTGCAAAGCTTACATAGATGTTATTCTCCACTGTCTTCCAAGTTGCCGTCTCCGCGATGATACGGTCCCCCACTTTAGCGAGAGCGCGGGGCATGATGTTTCGAGAAAAGAAAGGAATGTGAACCCGATTCTCTTGAATTACCGCGTGGTGGAATCTGGAATCCTCAGTGTAAGGGAGACTATATGTGTATTGTCCTATAATTTTCTTCGAATACAACTCGACAAGAATGGATGTTATTGCGCCATTGGAGAAGGACAGTGTTGACGCCAAGAGCAGGCCAAAGCGAATCCCCCGTTAGCGCCATTTGAACCCTCCGGTTCAAAGCTCCGACGGTGGATACGATGGTGGAAACCATCTGCAGGGACCTATTCTTACGGCGCTTGGCGATTAAAAAGCCATAAACGGACAAATCTAGTACTCATATTGCGCATCGATGGCGCCTTCTTCTCGCTGGCCATTTTACAACTAGGAGAGCTTAATGATGCCAAAATGTGCTTTTGCGCTAGATGTGCGTATCTGGAAAGTTATTATATTGCTTCATGGATAGCCTTCATTTTGAGCCTTGGGCCATGTTCTGAAACACTTCTCTCTTTGATACCTATTACCCGTGAAAGCAAACGAACGCCATGCCGGGAATGGAACCGACTGGACCTTCGGGGACAGTTAGCAAAGAAGCTGCACACTATGCCGTTGAATCCGAGGATGTGTTCGATAGTTCCGTGTTTGACCCTGTTTTGGCTAAAAAGATGGCACTCATCAACACTGCCATCGATAAGATTGGCATGACTCCATTCCAATGGAAGCTTTTCTTCCTGAATGGATTCGGCTACACGGTTGACTCGGTAAGGGACTTGTTGTTTGCCATCACCCAATAGAGGCTGCCGCTAAGATTTTCTTCCAGCTTTTGGTAATCTGTCAGAGTATCGCAATGCCCGCGGTTACCATGCAGTACGGTAGCCCGAACAAAAGCCTGAAGGGAATTGCTCTGGCATCCCAAATCGGTCTTCTAGCAGGCGCAGCTATTTGGGGTCTATCAGCCGATATTATTGGACGCCGACTTGCTTTCAACTCCTCCTTGTTGCTGGCGGCGATATTTACAATCATCGCGGGTGCGATGCCCGGATACATTTCATTTGCAACGATGTTAGTTCTGCTTTTCTTGATGCGGGATCGTCGGTTGCTAATAGAATTAATAGGGTTTCCCTCTACTCTGCAGCTGTTGGTGGGAATTATATTCTGGACTCAGTCACTCTTCTGGAATTCCTACCTACGAAAAAGTCCTGGCTAGTGACCTTCATGTCGATCTGGTGGGCAGTAGGGTACACCATTACAGGCTTGCTTGCATGGGCATTTATGAGCAACTACACCTGTTCCTCTTCTGCGGCGCCGGGGACGTGTACCTACCACGACAATATGGGATGGCGTTACTTGCATTTCACCATTGGTGGCGTTACGCTCATTCTGAGCTTATTGCGTGTCCTTCTAATTCGAATCGTGCAAACACCCCGATGGCTTGTCTCTCAAAATCGTGATGAGGAGGTTATTCAGTTCCTGACAAAGTTGTCAGTAAAATATAACCGACAATTTGATCTCACTTTGGAGGAGTTGTGTAGTGAAGGGGATGTGAAGAACACAGAAAAGTCAGTCTGGTCCTTGTTTAGGGTCAAAGCGCACTTTGGTGGTCTCTTCCGAACAAAGCAACTAACTTGGTCGTTCCTGGTCATCATGCTCAACTGGTTCGTGATTGGGGTTGTCAGCCCTTTATACCATGTGTTCCTTCCATATTACCTCAAATCCCAGGGAGCGAAGGTAAGTAGCAGCTCCAACTATCTAGTTTGGAGGAACTATGCCATTAACCAAGTCGTTGGCCTGGTTGGTCCTGTCATTGCTGCGTTTTTGGTTGAGACAAAAGTGTTTGGCCGTCGAGGCACCATGGCTTTGGGGGCTCTTTTGACCATGGTCTTGCAGTTTGCGTATACGCAAATCAAGACTCCAGCCCAAAATGTTGGTGTGTCTGCTGCCATATCTGCTGCTTCGTGAGTGATAAGCCCTTTTCCTTTCATTCCCTCATGATGTCTAACCAGCTGGTTACAGAAACATTTATTATGGAACTATGTACGCGTACACTCCAGAGATTTTGCCGTCAGCGCACCGCGCCACTGGATATGCCATCTGTGTGGTATTCAACCGCATTGGAGGCATTGTCGGAGTTATCGTGGGAAGCTACGCAAACGTCGAAACAACCACGCCTCTCTTTGTCTGCGCTGCGTTGTTCGCACTTCTTATCATCCTCAGCGTGCTATTGCCTTTCGAGAGTCGCGGGAAGAGAACACAATAAGCGGAGAAATTTTCGTAACCGGAGTTTCACAGAGACTATTATGGGAGGGCATATTTGCGAGAGATGGGTGAAGGATTGAGATTTCTTATAGGATAGACGGTGATACCTTACTCGAATTTTAGGATATGTGATAAAGGGAGAAGTCAACAGAAATAAGCCTCAAAGAAAGCCAAAGTACATAGGAAGTTGTAGCGAAATGCCAAACCATAATTGGATTTGACTTTGTCTTCCTCGTATAAGCTGCACAATGGCATTTGGGGCGGTTATGGCGTTATTCGTATGTCGATTGGGCCTCGTTTCAAGATAAGGGGCACATACCTCAACAGTTTTGGTCCCTGGCCCATCGCATTAGCCTCAAGTTAAAATTCAGGCAGCGAATGAACATTAATATATATCGCATCAACAATATGCCGCCTGATTCTAAACCCATGCCTGTTCAAGCACGACATGCTGTGTGGATAGACAAGCCACCTACTTCGTCATGTTGAATGTGGTCAAGCACCTTGCATTATTTATAGCACAGGGTACTCCGTACCAAGAACAGGAATAAAAAGAAAGCTAAAGTCTCTTTTCACTCAGCTTACTCTGGATTTCTCCTGATATCGCTCTACCTCAATATGAGCGTTCCGAAGCCCTCATTGCGGGCGGCATGCGATAACTGCTATCAAGCCAAAGTAAAATGCATTCCAACACCCTCTGGATGCCAAAGATGCATTAGCTTGTTTTCTCGCTGTTTCCACAGTCCCCCCGGTCGACCCGGTCGAGTTCCAACTGTGAGAAGCGCACCATTTAATCCAGAATCTTCCAACATATCCATCACAAGTCAGGGTGAACAAAAAGATGAGTCTAGCGACTTGCCTCTGTCACTAAAGGGTCTCACTGGCGATGGCGTCCTTTCTGAAACGGCAACACTCGATCCATGGGTCCCCATGGACTCTCCTATAATAAATGAGGCTCTCTATGGAGAGGCAGTTCTCTCATTTCCCGAGTTCGCGATGGAAACGCCAATATTAACTCCTACGGTTGGACAATGGAACGACTTTGGCGATGATAAGAAATCCTGCACTTGTTTTGTGTCAATTTTACAAGCCTTGGAAAAAGCCCAGAGGACTGATCTACAATCCTTGGGCCTGGACGTGGCGCTCCGATGTAACAAAGATGCTTTGCTCGGCGTTTGCAACTCGATTAAATGCTCTATTCCCCACGATAGCACTACCCGACTCCTCATTCTAATACTTCTGCGGAAGTCCCTCAAGCTTTACCAAATCCTCTTTCATTTGCGGCTCAGTGCGAAGGCTGTCAATGCAAGGGAAGTGAATCCCGCATCAGCCCCATATTCTCTACACATCGCCAATGCTGCTTTACCGACTATATCACCTCCATCGAGTGGTCAACCAGATTATTTCAACCTACTGGCCCATCCAGACGCAGAGAAGCACGAGAGTGTTCCGCAGGCTATTCGACTTACATTGGGCTCGTACCATTTAGACGAAGCGGATGAAAGGTCATTAAAAAAACAAATCTTTCTCCTTGATGTTGGGAAGGTTCCCCGGTTATTGGAGAGGCTTGATCAAAGGGCATGCAGCCTTGATGAGACGGACGGGTTAGACCTTTATAATATGATGAGGAGCTCGCTGATAGCTGATTTTAGAGTTGTGATGACAGACATATATTCATAGAATACTGGAGATAGCATTACAGAACTAACGACAACTTCCCTGCACTTCCCTATTTTGTGTAGTGTGATCAGAGATACCCGATATATTCTGCTATCAATATAATATCCGACCAAGCCAATCTCATTTGAAATATATCTTGATCTCATATGCCGTTATATGTCTAATTCAATTGCCCACAAAAAGATCTGATCTATACATGTCCGTTCCTGTAGCCCCCGCCGGCCCGAAGCTCAGGCCTTGCCCCACCGAAATCCATGCTTAAAGAAGCGAGTGACATTCATAACCCCACCGGTCGCAAGTAGTACAACTCCTGTGAAGATGAGAGTTCCCGAAAAGTTCAACCCTTCTTGTGGGTGACTCTGGCTGGATAGAATGGCACCAGCAATGGGAGACCCTATCAACACACCTAACGATCCAACACTAAGAGCCATGCCAACTCGCACGCCGATCTGGCTAAGGTCTGGCGTTAAACCAACAAGAACAGCTGGTGGCAGCGCCATCAATCCTCCCGAAAAGAAAGAATACAGGAAAGAAGTGGTAATGAAATTCGCTTGGCTTTTTGCTGAGACCCAGGCCAGCACGATGATCCCAGATATGTAGCCACAGGGTACGATGGCGTTCAAATTACCAATTCTAAAACAGTCAGTTTTTGCGGATTACACTGATGGGTGAGAGATATAAGCATACTTGTCTGCGATGGCATTAGGCACCATTCGTCCGATCATGCCTCCAGCATTCATGATGCTCAGGATGTAGAATGAGAGCTCCGAGTCGACGCCGATGTTGAGGGCATAGCTTTCGGCGTAGAAAAATGGGATGAAAAATGCGGTGAAGCCCAGGGCCAAACCGACGACAAAACTCGCGTAGGCGGGATCCTTGAAGGCTGCAAAGTCTACCAAAGGGCCTGATCGGCGAGGTGGCAATCGTGGTTTGAGCAAGGCAAGTCCGATTCCCAGAGTACCCAGCATGATAAACGCCATGGCCCGAACAGCCCAAGGGAATCCGACTTGCACAATTAGCCGGCGAAGAACGATAGGATAAAAGATCCCGCCCACGCTGCTCCCGCTGGCAGCAATTCCAGTTGCAAGACTGCGTCTAGTCGAAAAGTAAGTTCCTACAAGTGATATGGCGGGCGTAAACAGGCATCCAGATCCAAGACCAACGCAAATGCCTTGAGCGAGGAAAATTTGATAGTACTTAGTGCTCAAGGAGGTCATCATCATCCCAAATACCTCAAGGAAGATACCCAGCGACAGCACTGGGAAGAAGTACCCAGCATCGAATGCACGGCCACATAGAACCCCAACAAAAAGCAGCAAAAAGCCCTGAATGGAACCAATCCATGAGATGGCGGAGGGGGTAGATTCGGGTAGGAGTGTTGTTGTATAGTAGGTTTGGAAGATGCCAAATGAGTTCGCAAGTCCCCTGAATCATTAGCTCAATTTTTATTCAACGATCTCGAGGATGTCCCTCTCACCAGGTATTCAGAACAAGCAAGAAGCTTCCTGCCACTTGCAGCCATGCTTTGAGTCCGCCATTGGGCGGAGGAGGGACCGAAGGGCCTGGCGGAGTTGAACTGGCTTCTTTCTCTCCTTCTGTATCGGATGGCTGGGTGCTGTTTGCCCCGGTATCGGATATTTTAATTGACAGTCTATCATGCACGGAGTCGGCCATTTTTTTTTTTTTTTTTTGAATGCTGAACTGCTATGATCTGTCAGCGAGTTGATAAAGCGGGATTGGATAATAGGAATGAAATATATCCAGAAAGGTCGCGCAATTGCATTTTGTAAAATAACAGAGAAAACATGATGTCGCAAATAGTTGTACGAATGTTATCATCATAATCCATATCGTGTTTAGGGTTGGATGTGTAACTTAAAACTTTAGCTAGGGGGATCACCCAATTCATTCCCCCATTGGGAAACCCAGGGTCTCGATACGCTCGAGACAAAGGCGACTATCAAAACGATAGAAACAGGCTATACAAAGTATACATCAAGTCAATCCCCGATCTGCATTCAATTCTTCTTCAATTGAGATCAACATGGCTATTCTGAGATATCAAACGGTTGGGACATTACTTGGGGGTAATTGGGCGGTTTTGTTCTTGGTGACTGTTGCTCTTACCATTTGCATCCGCTTGATCCCTCGCCGGGCCGACGTTCCTATTTATAGTAAGCATTCAGGCTGGCGAGGTCAGTGGAAGGACTCGTTAGAATATCTTCATGACAGTGCTGGAACTTTAAGAGCTGGCTACGAAAAGGTAACTTAGAAACTTCCTCTCAAACATGATTGTACTCATCAGCCATCAATTTAGTTCTCTCGCCATGGCCAGTTCTTTCAACTTCGGACGCCCGTTCGCTGGATTGTAGTTGTGCCGCCCAAGCTGGTGGATGAAATCCGCACCGCACCGTCAACGCATTTGAGTGCTAAAGAGTCGGCAAACGATGTGAGAAGTGCCCCTAAAATGATGGAATTCTAGCTCACATAAGCTTCAGGTGCTTCAAACTAGATATACAGTGTCTCCAATTGTCGAGGCACAGAAATTTCATTTCCACATTGTCAAGACACATCTCACACCTAACCTGGAGAACAAGATCGATGACCTTCGCGATGAAATCAAATTGTCGTTTGGAGAGGAGATAGGAAGCCCAGCCGGTGAGATTCCCAGATAATGTCAAAATATGACCCTTTCTCATCTTTGTGTAGATTGGAAGGCGGTTGTGATGTCTAGAGCAGCTCATCGGATCGCAAGTCGAACTGCCAATAGACTTCTCGTCGGCGCACCATTGTGTCGGGACCAGGAGTACCTTGATATGTCTATCAAGTATACAATAGATGTGTTTGGAGGCGCTGACAAGCTTCGCGCCTGGCCTAAGTTTCTTCGTTCAACGGTCACACGGTTTGTGACCGACGTCAAGGAACGGCAAAGGGTAGGTCGGAAGCATCTCATCCCTTACATTAAAGCTCGTTTGCAGGAAGAAAGCGATGGATTGATCGAGAAGCCCCCCATTGATTCCCTTCAATGGGTCATGGATGCGGCACCCAATGCCGGCGAGAGAGACCCGGAGCGGCTGATGTTTCGTCTACTACACTTAAATGTGGCGGCAGTGCATACAACCAGTGTCACTTATTTGAATGCCATGTTTGATTTGGCCTTCCACACCGAAATTCATGAAGAGCTGCAAACCGAGATTGATAGCGCAGTCCGAGAGCACGGATGGTCTGGGCGAGCATTAAGTCAAATGTGGAAGCTCGACAGCTTTTTGGCTGAAAGCCAGAGACTTTCACCTCTTGCCAGCTGTGAGCTTCAAATTCTTTTGGATGGATTTTTACACATAACTAACGTCTGATCCTCCAGCCCAAATGACTCGCGCAGTGATCCAAGACTTCACCTTCTCTGACGGCACCACAGTCCCCAAAGGCTCCTATGTTCTAGCACCGATGTATGCGATGTATTTGGATGACAATATCTATCCCAATGCGTCTACATTCGATGCATTCCGATTTTCCAAGCTTCGAGACCAGCCCGGCCACGAAAATCGACATCAGTTTGTGTCTACATCTCCGACACATATCAACTTTGGCCACGGCAAGGATGCATGCCCTGGGCGCTTCTTCGCAGCACACGAGATAAAGCTACTGTTGGCTCATGTTTTGCAGAACTATGACATACAACTTGAGGATCCAACTAAACTACCGGAGGGATCTTGGTATGATCGTTCTCGAAAGCCTAACCAAACTGCGCGCGTTCTTTTCCGCAGCCGTTAAGATTTGTCACTCAATGCTGTTGATGTTTCTTGGTTCGTTGGCCCCGGATGAGTTCTGGATTTTTCACTTATAGAAGAATGCTATTATTCCAAATTGCTACACATTACAAGAAGATTTTTTCTCGAACTCGTGGCATTGTAGTAGATTTTTGAGTGTTTCCATCCACTAGAACCCACTGGCTCAGAACAATCCGTACCTTATTATCTGAACGATGTAATACATCTGTAAACATGTTAGACCTCAAAGGCGAAATAAGAAGCACAATTAACTCACTATCGTGCAATAAGCTCAAGTATTGTCAAGGAAACCGAGAACCTCCGAACAACAGTTGAAATGGCCCCGGGGATGAACGTTGAAGACGCCAAATTAGACTTTCGGAGGATTTCAAACCTTCGTTGAACCTCGTGTTTTACTTCATCCTATCCTCCGATACCATCAAGGAGCCAATTTGCGACCCCTCTCTGAGGAAGGAACCCAGTTCCTCTAGAGACCCATCTAGCAATTACACAAGATCTAAGATCGCACGCCATGTGGATGTGGTGATTCAGGCTGGTTAAAATTATGGCATTTACTTGGCAGTTATTATAGGTTTAACCTAATTGTGAATAACAGAGAGATTGCAATAGAGAGAGTGTATGGCGTGAGGTCGTCCAATATGGGGAATACGATGTGGACTCGATATGGAACTCGAAGCCAAGAGATAACGACGACAGCTGTATGCATGGCTTGCTTTCATTTAAATATAAAGCCCTAAGCATGACCTAGTATTAATTAGGAGTTTCGTTTTACCATCGTCAATACCCTCATCCCATTCTGCACATACCATGCTGCGGCAAACTGAGACACAAGAACGTCACTTGGTTCTCCTCGGAGACCAGGTGGGCAATGTTTCTTTGCTGGCGAAGAGATTGCTGCTAGATGCCCCTCAGAGTGTTGCTCAGAGTGATTTTGTCCGGGATGTCAGCACTACGTTGAGCTCTTTGAGTGATCGACTTCGTCCGTTTCATCGAGAACACCTACCACGCTTTGACACTGTCCATAACCTCGCCACTATATATAACGAAAGTAATGGAGCTTGTCATCCCGCCGTCGCCAGCACTCTTCTGGCGGTTGTTCAATTCTTGCAATTGTTTCGATATTACGAAACAAGGGCTCGTCAACCCGAAAATCACGATGAAATATCGGTCGTGGGTCTCTGCACCGGATCCTTGGTCGCAGCAGCATATGCCTGCTGCGCATCTCTTGATGATCTCAAAGCTCTGGCTGTGCCCACAGTTTCCATCGCGTTTCAGATGGGTTTGCAGGTAGCAACTGCAAGCAGCATGCTGCACGAGCAGGGCACAACATTGGAAAGCTGGTCAACGGCCATCTCAAAAATGAGTGAGGATGAAGTGCTTTCGGCTCTTCAGCTTTACGATGCCGGTGGTCAGTTATCGCTCCGCCACCGATGTTTTATTAGTGCGGTTGGCCTCAATGGCGTCACCGTCAGTGGATCACCACCTGCTTTGCGTCGGTTCACGGAAACCTTGACGGATTCCGATCCTAGAAAAAGGGTTAGAGAACTGCCAATCTACGGAGCATACCATGCGTCACACATACACGGAGTGTTGGACTTTCCCAGCTTTCTCAACCGCGCGGGTGTTGACTCGGAGTTTTTGGCTAGCTTCCCAAAGAGGAAGACTCTCCTTTGTCCACTGACAGGAAAGTCGGTGGATAGTCCGAACTCTCTTGGTTTATTTAAGAGCGTCGTACATCACACGTTACAAGCACCATTGCGCTTCGATCTGGTGGTTGACCAGTTTGTCACCCAAATCCAAGCAAATGGCACCACCTCTGTCACGCTCCATGTGGTAGGACCAACTACAGCCGGTGAAGGCCTTGCATCGGCACTGAGATCGAGAACGGAAGTAACCGTTGTTACTCGGGATTTGATCACTCTTGATTCCCGGAAGGATCAGTTCCAGGCATCAGGCGCATATCATAATGCTCCCCTGGCTATTGTTGGTGTGTCGGGTCGATTTCCCGGTGCAGAAAGTGCCGAAGAGTTATGGAGTGTTTTGGAGGCTGGCCTTGACATGCATCGAGTGGTAAGCAAATCTCTCTGTTTTACATTAACAAAATGTTTACGAGTCAAATTAGATTCCCAGAGATCGCTTTGACGTCGAGAAGCATGTAGATCCCAATGGTAAGGCAAAGAACACCAGTTGGACCCCATACGGTTGCTTCATCGACCGACCTGGCGACTTTGACCCTCGATTTTTCAACATGTCCCCAAAGGAAGCCCTTCAGACAGATCCCATGCAGCGGCTCGCTCTTGTGACAGCTTATGAGGCATTGGAGATGTCCGGATATGTTCCCAACAGAACACGATCAACGGCTCTTAATCGCATTGGAACCTTCTATGGCCAGACAAGCGATGACTACCGCGATGTGAACTCATCACAGGATATTGGAACTTATTTCATCACTGGTGGAATCCGCGCATTTGGACCTGTAAGTGACGCGATACTTATTCCTTGCTACCCCTACGAAATGGCTCACTTATCCAGGGACGAATCAACTACTATTTCAAATTCGAGGGCCCAAGCTTCAACGTCGATACTGCCTGTTCCTCTAGCTTGGCCGCGATTCAACTTGGATGTACATCTCTCTGGAGCGGTGATTGTGATACAGCAGTCGCTGGTGGATTGAGTGTGCTCACATCCCCCGATCTCTTCGCGGGATTGAGTCGAGGCCAGTTTCTCTCGAAAACCGGATCATGCAAGACATTTGACAATGATGCTGATGGCTATTGCCGCGCTGATGGTGTAGGAACAGTTGTTATCAAAAGGCTTCGTGATGCCGAGCTCGATAATGACAATGTTCTCGCGGTGATTCTTGGTGCTTCGACGAATCATTCGGCACAGGCAATAAGCATTACGCACCCGCATGCTGGAACACAGTCTAAACTGTATCGTGAGATCCTGCAGCAGTCAGGTGTCGATCCTTTTGATGTTGGCTATGTTGAGATGCATGGGACCGGGACGCAAGCCGGGGATGGAACGGAGATGAAATCAGTGACGGATGTTTTTGCTCCTGCTCACCCTGTCCGACCTGCAAACAATCCATTGTATGTGGGAGCTATCAAGGCAAACATTGGCCATGGAGAAGCTGTAAGCACTTCACCAGTTTTCCATTTCTAGTTCGAAGAATGCTAATTCAAGGACAGTCATCTGGAGTCGCATCCTTGATAAAGACCATCCTGATGTTCAAGAAAGGGGTTATTCCCCCGCATGTTGGGATCAAAAATGAAATCAACAAGGGATTCCCAGATCTTGAAGCGAGAAAGTAAGACTTGCGATGGCATGTTCACATGAGTGTCTCTGATATTTTCTAATAGTGTCCGAATTGCGATGGCCAAAACCCCCCTGCCGGCACCCAGAGGCCCGAAGCGAACGGTACTGGTCAATAATTTCAGCGCCGCTGTAAGTTTGAGTACTTCGACATCAGAGGAAAGAACCAGATGTGCTGACCACATGATTAATAGGGCGGCAATACTGCGCTGTTGATCCAAGAGCCCCCTAAGCCTGATAACTCCGAAAAAAAAGACCCTCGTCCCTCGCATGCAGTCACGGTCTCTGGACACACAGCGGCATCGTTGAAACGCAACTTGGAAAGACTGATTGCATACACTATCATTGAGCCAGAGATTTCACCAGGAGACTTAAGCTATACGACAACTGCTCGCCGAAACCATTACGCTTTTCGATTAACGGTCGCTGAGCCCACGATTGAACGGATTCGAGTCGCTCTGCAAAACAAACAGGGACTAACGCCATATAACTCACTTCTGTCTAACCACAATCCCTCAGTGGTCTTTTCCTTCACTGGCCAGGGTGCAACCTATGCCGCCCTAGCCCAGGAGCTGTACACAACATCGACTCAATTTCGCGCGGATATCTCGCTATTTGACGGAATTGCAAGGCAGCAAGGATATCCATCTTTCATCCCACTGGTTGATGGGGCGGTCCCTGATATCAATCAGCTATCGGCCACCCAGACCCAGGTTGGATTAGTGTCCATTCAAATTGCTCTCGCTCGTTTGTGGCGCTCATGGGGAGTGAAACCCACCGCAATCATCGGTCACAGCCTCGGCGAGTATGCGGCTCTGCAAGTGGCTGGTGTTCTTTCCATCAGCGATGCCATTTTCCTCGTTGGTCACCGGGCGCGTCTCCTAGAGACCCACTGCCAGCCGTATACCCATTCCATGCTTGCCGTATCGGGAACATCTGCAGTTATTGAAACCCTGTTGTCCGCTTTCTCCGAGGAAGTCGAAATTGCTTGCTCAAACAGTCCCCGCGAAACAGTCTTTGCCGGTAGAAGAGAGGTGATAGATAAGTTGGAGGTGCATTTATCTGGCGCAAATATCCGTTGTACTAAGCTGCAAGTTCCTTTTGCGTTCCATACGGCGCAGGTTGATCCCATTCTTGATCACCTGGAAGAGATTGCCAAGGTGATTAATTTCGGCGCACCGCAAATTCCTATATTGAGCTCGTATCTTGGCCGTCCGCTCGCTACGGACGACCGGATTGATGCAAATTATATTCGCCAACACTGCCGACACTCGGTCCAATTTGGCAGTGCTTTGGAGTCATCCCTAGATCAGGGCCTAGTCAACGAAGCCTCCGTGTTTATTGAGATCGGCCCCCATCCAATTTGTTTGGGCATGATTCGAGGCATATTGGGCGACACACATCTCAAGATTCCAACATTGAAGCGGAAGGAAAATCCATGGAAAGTGATCGTGGGCGGTCTAGCTTCCTTGCATGACCAGGGTTTCTCGATAAACTGGTCCGAATATCACCGCGATTTCGACGACACACATCATCTTCTCTCCCTGCCTTCCTATGCTTTTGACAACAAGAGATACTGGTTGGAATACCGAAATGACTGGACGCTTCGCAAGGGAGATGCTTTGCCCACCATTGAACCTTCTAACCACGCAGTTGAAAAGCCATCGAAACTGACAAGCTCTGTTCATCGGGTCGTGGAAGAGAACTACAATGGTTCTGATCCAACCGTGATCTTCGAGACGGATCTCTGTGATCCCCAGCTCCACGCCGCCATTAGTGGACATCGTGTCAATGGTTCTGCTCTTTGTCCATCGGTCAGTCAATTCTCGCTTTGAACAAGACCCCAAAGACAATGGCAATCGCTAATATAGACCTGTAGTCCATCTACGCAGATATTGCTCAGACGATCACTCATCATATCCAGCAGCAAGCTCAATCCGGCATTAAATTGGGTGGTGTTAACGTCACCGGTATGGAGGTAACACAGCCATTGATTATCAAGTCGCCTAGACAAGATGAGAATCGCATCTTGCGGGTCGTTGCACACGTCGACAAAACGTCTCAACAGGTTTCTCTTGAATACACCTCTATTACAGGCGGCCAAACGGTAGCAACCAAGCATGCCATTTGTGTTGTCGAGTATGGCTCGCCAGAAAAGTGGCTTCGACGTTGGTCACATAGCCTTCATTTGGTCCAAGGACACATCAACGAACTGGAAAACAAGGCGAATCTGGGAGAAATCAATAAAGTTACCAGCCGCCTCGCTTATCGACTTTTTAGCAGCCTAGTGGACTATGCGCCTGAATACCAAAGGATGAGTCAGGTTCTCCTGGCGGGCGATCTTTATGAAGCTTCCGCCACGGTCAGCCTGGATGAACGAGGTGATGATGCCTCGTTCCAATGCAGTCCTTACTGGATTGATTCCTTGGCTCACCTGTCAGGGTTCGTTATGAATGGCAATGAGAACATCAACTATCAGGAAGCTGTTTACATATCTCATGGTTGGGAGAGTATGCGATTTGCCAAGAAACTGGTCCCTGGTGGTCAATATCAGACCTACGTTCGAATGTTACCGGTAGACAAAACAATGTTTGGGGGCGACGTCTGGATTTTGCACGAGGGAGAAATTGTCGGTGTGATCGAAGATCTTCGATTCCAACGCGTCCCACGAAGCATTCTTGATATGCTTCTCCCTCCGATTCGGGTGAATGCCGCCAAAGAGACCACCAAAACTGTCACCCCGAACAAGAACAACTCGCAGCCAGTCATTCCGAAGGTTCAAGCTCCCATCACGCAAGTCGGAAGCAACCCAACCCGGGAGGTTCAACGACAACCTGAACAGCCAGCTAGCTCCCTGCTTGACTTAATCGCCGGAGAGCTTGGTCTAGCGGCATCCGAAATGTCTCCCAATGATAATTTGAGCGAGCTTGGGGTTGACTCCCTTATGTCTTTAACACTGGTTGGTCGGCTTCGCGAGGAGATGAACGTTGATATTACCCACAGCAGATTTCTTGAACTTTCTACCATATCTCAACTTTTGGATGTTCTGAATGAGGTACCACATACTGTCATAAATGATCCAGTGGGAGATGGTCCCCCAAAGGATCAGGTTGGTCACTACAGTTCGTCTCCAAGTTCAGGGTCTTCGTTTGTTGAGGTCATCACACCAGATAGCTCTGCAGATGATACCTTACGTCTCGTGAAACACATCATTCTGGAGGAGACCGGTCTCGCTGAGGATGAGCTAGAAGCAACAGCAGACCTTGGCTCTTTGGGAATCGATTCTTTGATGAGCTTGACTGTCCTAGGAAAGATCCGAGAAGACGGCCTTGAGCTCCCTATGGACTTTTTCCTCCAACACACAACAATGAACGAAGTTTCACGAGCTCTGCTTAGCAGCAACGACAATTTGCAGCCCGAAGACATTTTACGCTCCACTGATGAGAAAGATCTTGAAGCAAAATCCATTCTTCTTCAGAGGCGGTCTAAACCAGCAAGCAGCAAAACCCTTTTTCTGTTCCCCGATGGCTCAGGGTCCCCGGCGTCCTATGCAGGACTAGAACAGCTTCATGAGGACTTTGACATTTACGGTCTCGTATGCCCCTTCCTCCATGATTCGGGTCGCTATACCAATGGTATCGAAGATGTCGTCAGAATATTTCTGTCTAAAATCAGAAGGCACAGTCCTTCGGGTCCCTACTATCTTGGCGGCTGGTCTGTTGGTGGTGTTCTTGCGTATGAAGCGTCTAAACAACTCATCGGCGCCGGCGAGAAAGTGCACGACCTAGTTCTTATCGATGCGCCATGTCCCACAGTGCTAGCCCCCATGTCTACCTCTCTTATCGACTTTCTCAACTCCATCGGCGTCTTAGGCCAAACACAGAGCGATGGCTCCTTACTTCCGGGTTTAAAACGCCAACTTGTCCTTGATCACTTTGACGCAACTGTCAAGAACCTTGGTGCCTACGATCCAACTCGCTCCCCGATATCGATTGGTTTATCCCCTCGTACATCCATTATATGGGCCCAAGAAGGTGTGTGTGATGGAATAGATGACCCAAAACTGAAGGCAAACCCTTCACTGGCTACCGATGCCACTGCGAGCTGGATTTTAAACAAGCGCACTGACATCGGCCCCCGAGGATGGGAATCGCTTCTATCAATCAATAATATTTCTTCCTTCTCTGTCCCTGGGAACCACTTCAGCATGATGCATCCCTCCAATGTAAGTCTTTTCCCGGTATTTCTTAGAACCCCCTTACCCCCCTTACTCTCTCTCCAATGCTTACTTGCGGTTTTGCAGATCGGAGCACTCTCCAACCAGTTGAAGTTCATTCTAGCTTCTGCTAAATAGCAAAACCCGGTGGTCCGTTGCATCGGTTGCGAATTTTTGGTAAACTAAAGCGGATGTAAGTGTTGGGGGCAGTTGGCTTTACTTTTTCTATATATTTGATCATTTCTGAATAACATATTACCATCAACATCATCACTCTCTAATATTTATTCACAACGGTCTTCGAATTGTCGATGAACATTGCTGATTTGTATTAAATTTTATCTGAAGAATTATGTTCATAATCGTCATGGTTCGCCCATAGGAATCGCAATATCTCACGCTGTCTTGGTCTCCACATGCTCTTCATATTGTACTTGTTCCTTTTGCACCGCGACCTTGTCAACCATTCCACGTTTTGTATCTTCGCCCTCAAACAGATAAGCCAGTTCTTCAAGCGTAGGACCGGCCGTCTCAACGAAGAAGAAGTAGACCACGAGGAAGACAATGAGCACCCAGACACAGTAGTAGATATAGAACTTCCAGCCAAGGCTCTTCAGGCCAATGGGGTTGACGTAGCTTCCAAAGATGGATGCCACCTGAATAGTGAGGAGGACAAATGCCCATGTTTTAGCGCGCATCTGAAGCGTCACAACTTCCAGCGAATAAGTGACAATCAGATTGGTCCACGCGAAAGTATAGAACGCCTGGAAGAAGAAGATACAGGCAATAACGACACGACCGGCTATCAAGGAGTTCTGCTCAAGGTACTGCTGGGCAGCAATTGTCCACACGACGAAAGTGACAACAACACCACCGGAACCGGTGAGGAAGAAGAACCGACGGCGGAATTTATCGATAACTAGTGCAACGAAGATCGCGACAATATACTGCCAGAGAGTGACCATTCCGTTCATAAGCGTGATTTCTGACTGAGTCTTTAGGCCCGTATCTTTCAGAATCTGGGTCAAATAATTCGAGACGAGCAGGTTTCCCGAACTTTGACTAAAAACGGCTGTAGCAAAGCAGAGGAACAGGCGCTTGAGATTGGCACGAGAGGAGAAGAAATCTTTCCAGGTCATGTTATTTTCTGCTTCCTTGTCGATCGCTTGCTGGATTTCGGCGCACTCCATGGCGACGAGATCCGAGCTGGGGTCACATTCACCGTGGAACTTGATGAGGATCTGGCGGGCTTCTTGGGTACGACCCTTTGCAATTAACCAACGGGGAGACTCGGGGCAGAACCAAATGAGACAGAATTGGTAGGCCGAGGGGACAATTTGGATCAATGTAGGGAGCCGCCATGACCACTGACTGGTTATCCTGTAACAGCCATATGTTGCCCAGGCTCCAATTACATAGCCAAGAACGATGGAGGTGTTGTAGAAAGTGGTGACTTGTACACGTTCCTTGGGGTGTGACAACTCTGTGATCAAAACAGGTGCGCCCATTTGAATGAGCGAAGATCCGATGCCTAGAACGATCTTGCCGCCAATGTACATGTTCAAGGAAGTGGCAAAGAACTCGACAATCACACCAATAATGATAATGGCAGATCCTAAGGCAGTGGGTAGACGACGACCATACTTATCACTGATCCAGCTGAGAAAAATAAACGGGATGACACCGCCAATGGCATTAGCGGCGCCAAAGAATCCCAATGTGGAGCCTTCTGGATGTCCAAATCGATCTTGCCAAGATTCCAAGACTTGCATGCCGTTTGTCATGGACTGTGATAGATTGTTAGTAACAGCCACTTCGGTCTTGAAACATCGAAACTCACTCCATCAATTCCAAGAGCCGCACTTGCTAGTAGGGACGAAGTGAGCAGAAAGTATAGCAGAATGCCATTCTTCCGTCGCCAGAAAGGTGGCATGGAGACCACGTCAATGGACGAGACAATTCCCTCAGCGGCATGGGCGGCAGCAGGAGCCATTGTTGCAGACTTTAACTTGAAAGTCAGAGACAAATGGAGTAGGCTTGTCAATGATCGAAAGATGGGTCTTAGCCCGAAGGCTTCCTTGCACTTCTTATAGAAGAGACAGCCGTGTGGAGACAGCGAACTCTATACACTCCGGCAGCCCTAAAGGTGTTCATGTGAGAGAAATCGAATGTGCATTTCTGTGGGGAATTTCCCCGTGGGGAAAAATGCGACAAGTCTGGAGATTTCGGGGAATCGGCGAAATGTCAATTTTGCCGTTTATCCTTCGATGGGATACCCCCTCCACTTCAACGCCACAATTCTCCGGCTGTAACAGCTGTAAAAGAATATAGCTTTGAATTCCGCCGCAGAGGTCTGTCACCTTCTTCTCTTTCAAAGTACTTCACACTGGTTCTGTGGTTCTGTGTTGGACATTGCCAATATGTCAGTATCATTGCCTCCCGATTTTGAATGGGGATTTGCAACAGCTTCATATCAGATTGAGGGAGCTGTGAAGGAAGGTGGGCGCGGAGAATCAATCTGGGATACTTTCTGTCATCTTGGGCCTACAAGGACCAAAGGAGCCAATGGAGACATCGCTTGTGACCACTACCATCGATTTGAGGAGGATTTCGACCTTCTCTCCAAGTACGGTGCAAAAGCATACCGATTCTCAATTTCCTGGTCACGGATTATTCCACTAGGAGGGAGAAATGACCCAGTGAACGAATCGGGCATTGCGTTTTATGACAAACTCATCGATTCACTGCTTGCTAGGGGAATCACGCCATGGGTCACTCTCTACCATTGGGATCTTCCTCAAGCCATTCATGATAGATACGGAGGTTGGTTAAATGTGGAGGAATCACAGCTTGACTTTGAGCGGTACGCACGAATTTGTTATGAGAGTTTTGGAGACCGAGTCAAGAATTGGATCACACTGAATGAGCCGTGGATTGTTTCCATCTTTGTATGTTCCTCTGAGTCCCTTGTTCTTTCCTTTGTTTTTCTCCATTTCAGGAAACAGCTGACACATTGTTTAGGGATACGCTACTGGTGGAAATGCGCCCGGACGAAGCAGTATCAATCCGCAGTCCACAGAGGGCGACACTACTACAGAGCCGTGGGTTGTCGGAAAAGCCTTGATCATGAGCCACGCTCGCGCCGTCGCATTGTATAACCGGAAGTTCCGCGCCTCTCAACAAGGAAAGATTGGAATCTCCTTAAATGGCGACTACTACGAACCTTGGGACAGTCAGGACGAGCGCGACCAGCAAGCTGCTGAGCGCCGGATGCAGTTCCACATTGGATGGTTTGCGAACCCTGTTTGGTATGCTTTCGTTAAATTTTACACAGCACCAAAAAAAAGAGTATCACTGACACCTTCAACAGTCTAGCACATGACTACCCCGAATGCATGAGAGCACAACTCGGCAAGAGACTGCCTAGCTTCACAGAGTCGGACTTTGCTCTTCTCAGAGAGGCCGACATGGACTTCTACGGAATGAACTACTACACCTCCCAATTTGCCCGGCATCGGGACGAGCCTGCGCTCGAGACCGACTTCATGGGGAACATGGATGAACTACAAGAAAACAAGCAAGGTGTATCAGTCGGAGAGAAAAGTGGTGTGCATTGGCTCCGGTCAACCCCAGAGCTTTTTCGGAAGCACTTGACGCGAGTATATCGTACATATGGCAAGCCTATCTATATCACAGAGAACGGGTGCCCATGTCCTGGTGAGGATAGGATGACATGCGAAGAGGCCGTCAATGATACCTACCGAATCCAATACTTCAATGACCATCTCGATGCGGTCGGAAGAGCACGCGCTGAGGATGGCTCTAATATCAAAGGATATTTCGCGTGGTCATTGATGGATAACTTAGGTATGTGTCTTGATTCTTAATTCAAGATATTTGATCTAACCCCTCTTCCAGAATGGTCCGATGGATACGGGGTTCGCTTCGGCGTTACCTTCACGGATTACAATACCCTGGAAAGAACACCGAAGCAATCTGCTTTGCTGCTGAAAGGCATGTTCGATGAACGCATGGGTGTGAATGCTTCCGGGTCTCAGTAGAGCAATGAGACAGCTTCTGATGAGCCTATAGCACACTGTAAACAACTGGATGAGACTAGATGAATATTATTCTGTTGGATATTACGCAATTGCCCTCGAAATCTTCTTGAGAGTTCCGTATTGTAGCTGGTAGCTGTACCTTCCAAAACCTAAGACATTCAAACCTGTGTTAATAAATATAAATTCATTGAATTAATCAATCAAGTTTCGAAAATACCCCAGTCCAAGAAAAGAAAAATCTGGGGCTTTCGGAGAAATGGGGAAATGCGCGGAGTATTTGACCGAGGCTCATCCTCCATTCCCAACTTCCCAACTGCCCTAACCTCCGACGAGTTTTCCCGAAACAGAAGATGTGATGGCCAGCCCTGTACCTCGTTCACGCTCATCGGCTAGAGCATGCGATCGGTGCCGTCGGAGAAAAGCAAAGGTACGAGGCGAAAATTTAATCTTACCCGGTCTAAACTAAATTACCATAGTGTGACTGCTCGGGTGAATCGTCAATATGCACCAACTGCCGTCTGGCTCGGACACAATGCACATTTAACTTGCCAATCGCCAGACGTGGGCCCAAGTCGAGGCGACAAAGGTCGCATGATGTAGCTTATTCGAATGTTCCACATAGTCCCCTGGCACCGGCCTTACAAGTACCGGAACACGACTCAATAACTCAAAATCCCAGTCCGACTGTACCAGTTGCGGTTCCGCTAGACGCATGGGACACCGATCTCTCGATACTTGATCCCGCTCTATCCCCTGAAACAGTGCATACAGTCCAATCATCTATTTCCGATGTCGCCTCAGCGAGAGTCACCTCAGCGTTACAGCGATGGCATGCTCTGGAACAGGTGCTTTCCGTGCACAATTCATCAGCACATCTAGAGCGTACTATCAATCATTGTTTCGAGCTATTCTTTGAATATCTCTATCCGTTGACTCCACTTGTTCACGAACCCAGTCTCCGAGATGCGTTGGGGTTCTTCGTGACTCAAGGAAGGAATTCGAGAGCCGACGGCCTCATATATGGAGTGAATAGTCTCAAATATCCAGAGCTGTGGCCGGATCTTTCTTTCACTTTGATCACTGCCGTTTGCGCAGAAGCGGCCTTTCTCCTTCCGAAAGACATCTTTCCCGAGGGAGAGGGGATGGCAGACATCTTTCTACAAGCCTCCAGAAATTGCCTGGCTACATATCTGGAAGCTGATCTTGAATACCCAAATGCCAACTCGGTTGCTATTCGATATTTCCATTCCAACTGCATGCATGCGGCTGGCAAGCCCCGACTGTCGTGGCACATCTTTGGGGAAGCTACCCGATTGGCCCAAGTGATGCAGATGCATGAAGAGGATTCACTACAGGGACTCACCTCTCTCGAAGTAGAATTTCGCCGACGGGCATTCTGGATTGCCTATATTGGCGATAAATCCGCAGCTATTCTGAATAACCGTCCGATTACCATTCACAAATATTCATTCAAGTCTGGCATCACCATCGGCTACCCCACAGGCATCGAAGATGAGACAATCCTGACACCGGGTAGTGCTGTTCCAGATGCCGAGAGTACTCGAAATAGTTTCATTGCAGGATTTAATGCAAACATTCGGCTCTGGCAAAGTGCATCCGATTTGCTTTTAGAGATGCGATTGTTGGATAGCCACAAAAATAAAGATTTACTTCCTCGTCAACCTCCCACAGCAGAAGAAAGTCAGAGGCTTGACCATCTTTATGTGCTTTTTGCAACGTCTCTCGATGACTTGCCTTCCTTCTTGCAATATGACCAGCTCATGTCAAACGCCAATAAAGACAACCAACGCCTGTCTAGGCTCACGAAACTACATACCATTCAAGCAGCCAACGTCTACGTCTCGCTACACTGTCTGAAGATGGTAATCACACAGAAATTTGAAGAGTTTAATTACTATCCTCCTGCGCCAAATGAAATGCTATTACTACGGAAAACTGACATTGCGCGCGATCTTCTGCGGGTCATTCGTGATGCCCCTTTTTGGGCATTACAGATTAACGGCGAGCCATGTGTAAGCGGCCCCTTTCTTCTGCTGTCCCGGTGTCAAATGAGCGAATTCTGATGGCCATCTAGGTAGAAAAGATCAGACTCATAGGAGCTTGTCTGCTCGAGATTATCGATCAACATGAAGCATCACCTCTGTCGGCTCGAGCGCGTAATGATCTGTCGGTGCTCCTTGATATACTGACCCGCTTAGACTCGAAAGCATCAGACACATTGCGCCGATTGTTATGAATAAAATTCATGCTATGAGTCAAACGGGGGTGTATTAAGTGATTAAAATTAGATAGTATAAGTACAAAATAGAAAATCTGTCTAGAAATGTGTCTCAATAGGGAACTAGCTGGTGCCTGAATCAAGTAAATGATCAACGTCTGGGGAACATTCTTAAATTCCTCACGCAATCTATAATTTCCCCGATTCCCCGATTCCCCGATTCCTTCGGCTAATTGACCCCAACAAGAATCTCGGGACCCTATAGTGGAAACAGATTCGCATAGTCACGAGCTGAACAAACGAGTAAAGGTCTATCGTCTAGCATGGGTGGCGTGTACCTTCAGCCCATTATCGGATTATTTTACCGGTGTTTTTCAGGGGAAAGCTTTTTCGGAATGCGGGGACCCCAGACTCCTGATGTGATATAATTCGTGGACGTGGGAGTTCGAGTAAATGTGTAATTCCCGCTTCAAACCAGAGACAGAAAGTATTTATATGAGTTGATATGTCTGTTTCTTAGTATCTAGCCAACCCAGCTCGTTACAATTATATACTTTGAGAAATCCCGATATGCGTCTCCACGAGAAATTCGGTCATGTCTTGACATGGACAACACTGGTCAATGCCCTACCATCGACATCCGGACAAATCAATCAGCCTTCATGTCGTTTCGCGCATAAACATTCCCAAAAGCAGATCCTCCATGATCCTACTGGTTTTATCTACGATATGCTGTACTGGGAGGGCAAGTTCCATCAGAACAACATCTCATACAACAGCAACAATGGTATCTCCTACGACGGCACCAACATCGACTGGGTGACCGGAAAGGCAACGGTCAAGCACACCTTCAGTGCCGCTAGCAAAGAGGTTGGTGTTAATTTCTCCCATTGTTCGGAAACCTCCAGCTCATATTCCAATAGTCCCTCCAAATCATGCTGTATACCCACGCTGTTGCTGGCTCTCCAGAGGCTGCTCGGTTCCTCTCGCCTGAGAACTCAGCAGAGGCCCCCAGAATCGCCGCTTATATTATGCAGAAAAAGTTACAGACTTATCTCAAATTCAATGAGACTTATCCAGGCTTTGGCGGCTTCTTGCCCTGGGTCTCGGCAGATACTCAGGATATGACTCCAAGACCGGACTGGGTCAATCGCGTCCCTGGTCTTGATAATGGGTATGTAGATTTCTTGATCCACGTTTTGGGTTCTGGTTTAACAATAAGTGTCTGTCTAGTGAACTTGTGTGGGCTGTATACGGTTTCATTCAGGCCCTTGAGAACACGGGCAATAAGAACTATCAAGAACTCGCCCAAAAATGGCAGGTCTGGATGGACTACACTAAGACTACCGCCGCCAAGGTATATCTCTCACGATCTTCCGCTCAATTTTGACCAGTCCGCTAATCCTCTATCTGTTGATCAGATCTTTTACAAAGGCAATGGCCGGGTTTGTACCGTGATTGATATCAAAGATCAATCCCTTCCCGTCAACCACCCGGATCAGTCATACCTATGTGAGACTAAAGATTTACTCGACGACCCTTTCGAGGGCGAGATTTTCACTTTTTGGCTACAATTCTTCGGCGGTCTGTCAAAAGCCGACAAACAGGCGCTGTGGGAAGTTAAAAAATCCCAGTTGGTGAGCGTTGACTATAAAATGGGCGAATTCGGACCTATCACTGTCCAAAAGGGTTTGTAAGTTCCAAAAACAAGATCAGAGACGGTGGCTGAATTCCGAGACAGGATTTTGGTTCTCCAGCCACGAAACCTGGAAAGTATTGCAGATGCCCTACTATGACATCGACCTTGTCCGGTGAGACTCCAAGCAGAAGGCAGAGATAGGCTATCATATACTAACAGTTTTCCATTTAGTCGCGTATTTGCAAACGCCGAGCGAGTTCGGACCTGCAACTCAGTCGCCACGAAATTGCCCGGCATGTTCGCCTCAATTAACAACATCACCGATCCCTCCACTGGCGATGTAACAGGCTACATCTCAAACGCCGGTATCCCCTCTATCTCGAACCAGACTGTCCAGGAACTAGACGTCATTACCCCGTATAGTGTATTCCCGACAATCTTGATCAACAAGTCTGTCGGACTTGTCTGGTGGAGAAGTATGGTTGTTGCTAAGAAAATGCAGAGTAAGCGACACCTTTCATATATCAAGGTAATGCGGTCAGTACGATGCTAACTAAAATAACTTTCTAGATATATATGGCAGCACTGAATCCACTCGTATTGATGGAACTGGTGTTTCTGCACTCCTGACTTGGGACAGCAAGGTCACCACGGTAGTTGCAATTTTGGGGGGGGTGACCAATTTTGTTCGTCAGAAGATGAAGGCAGATAATATATATGATGAGTTTGTAGGCATCATTGAGGTTTGTTCTCCCGGATGGCCCCAAAGGACAATGTGGAAAGGGAGATTGCTAACTGCTTCTAAATAGGCTGAGTACTCTCGAGTCTTTACGCATCTTGAAGGTGAAGACGTCGACTTCTGCCTCCCGCAGGAGACTGTTCCTGATGTAGGATTGGTCGATTTTACTCTTTGCAAATAGAACAACCTAGGTCAATGCGGGCGGATGATGACCATGGTTTCATAAGAATACAAGAATAGTATAGCATGTGATGAACAAGTTTAATGGGTTTAAGTGCTGGTGTATAGGTTCAGTTATAATTTATCCAAAGTGGAAAAGTCAACACGACTAGGACTCAAAGTCTCAGTGTGTCTTTATTACATTTGCTTGAATGACTACATGTAGTGCGGAGTGATCTACGGGTGACTGTTGGGACCACCGGAACATAACTCTCTCATTGGATGATGCCTTACCGCCTCTTCATCACCGCCCTCTTGAAGCATATACACTAATTTCAATTTACATACTGATCTCAACTTCTCTTTTCTCATATAGACTAGATCAATAATTCTTGTTTATATACGATTTTTTTCTAACTAAAATATATGTTTTTTAACTATCTAAACTATATAGTAGAAATTATAGCAGAATTGCCAGTCATACTAATTAATTAGGAAGGCGGTCCTAAAATCAGGTGGGGGAGTTTGCGATAATCTGAAGGTCGCCGATTTGAAGTTATAAGTACGAAAAACTAGTCGGCCAACGTTATATTCAGTGCCTATTTTCAAAGGAATTAAAATACTCTTGTCGACCTAGTATTTTGGTAACTATCTATAACTAATTAGTTTCCGACCCTCGGCTAGGATACACCTTTAAGCAAGTTGATACAATTGTAGAGAGGTAAAAAGACTGCATACTACACTTTCAACATAGTACTTGTGAAGTGAGAGTGATCTAAAATTCCGCTTGGCAATATAAACCAATGAGAGAGTTATGTTCCGGTGGTCCCAACAGTTGCCCGTGATGATCGCTTGTGATATATCATCAATCATTGTATCCAAAATGGGGGATAATAAACATAACAGGTGTCAAAAACGTTACAATTATGGTATAAAGCAGTTGAAAATGAATAGGCGGAATCGATGCATATCCTAACCTGAGAGGCCCCTGGGCCAAAGGAAGAAAAAAAAAGCAGTTGGGGGATTTGTACATAACAAAATCCGCATCCAATGGGTATATAATGGACTTGACGTGGAAATCCAAGAAAGTAACATCATGTTCAGCGATGAGTCTAGTGGTTGTACTAGGATTTAGACGGGCTGCCAGTACCACCGCAAAATCCAAGAATCAACCGTTCGAGGTCAGAGAGTTTGTAAGGTTTCGTCATGTAGCCTTTGATCCCCACTCTGGAGGCGCGATTCAATGCCTCGTCGCTAACATCGGCACTCACAGCAAGAACTGTGGGAGGTGGTGGCATACAAAAAGTGTTGGGGATGGGATCCATTTCCATGGAGTCAGGGCTGTTGGGGTTCGGTTGCTCGAAAGTGGCATATTGGTCCCGATGGTTGTCGACCATCTGGAGTATTCGTGAGGTGGCTTCATATCCGTCCATTTCAGGCATCCAAAGATCCATCAAGACGACATCGATCGGTTTTATTTTCGTAGCCAGTGGCTCATTAAGGACGCCTTGCATTGGATCGAGGCTAACATCAAGGATAGTAGAGGGCTTTGACGCGGAGAGAATGCCTTGAACAATCTGGACGGCTTCTTTGCCATCCGCCGCTTCAAGGACATCGCGGTAGCCAAGTTTGCGTAGCATGTTCACCAGTACGCGCCGGTTGATTCGATTGTCTTCGGCCACGAGAAACCGCAGCGGATATTTCTCTCCAAGCTTCTTGTCATATGCATCACCGGAGATATGTGTTCGATGCGAATGGGTTTGTATTGACGGTCGCTGGGGCGTCGGGCTGTCAGACATGTTTTCGTCGGTGGTACACGGTGTCGCCTGTTGGCAGTGTTGGGGGAGGATGAATGGGGAATTAAAAGAAGGGGGATCGGACAAAAGGCTACTGACACTGCCTTGTCGTGTTTGATCGGTGGTGGATGGCGTCGAAACACTCTCACTGGGGGTTGCTGGGTGGATTTCAGCTTCACGTTGGTTTACGGGGATTCGAATTCGAAATTCTGTACCACGCGTAGGACCAGAAGTCGATGAACGCACACAGGTCAAGTCGCCGCCCATTTTGCGTGAAAGGCCCTTGGCCACAAGGAGACCGAGGCCTAGGCCATCTTTGCTTCTGGTGGTCGATGCATCCTCACGAGCAAAAGGCTTGAAAAGATTGGGGAGGAATGCAGCCGGAATTCCCGGGCCGGTATCGCGGACAAGAATAAGAACATCATTCTTCGTGGGGTCAATGGTTGCGCAAACAGTGATGGTGCCGTTGTTGGTAAATTTAATCGCGTTGAGAAAAACGCAAGAAATCAACTTGGCCAGATCACGGTCATCGGCAAGTAGGGTATCCGGTAATGATGGGTCTACAGACCAATCTACAATCTTGGTGAACAATTCACCATTTGAGGACCGCGACCGAATTTCAATTCTTTCACCAAACTCGGTTGCATTGCTAACAGCAGAATCCGGTCGACCACCAACATGAAGAGACTCATTGATCACCAAACGGAGAAGATCTCGCAGTTTGGTAAAACGCAAAGCAGAACCTCTCAGGTTCACATTGATTCCCTCAAGGAGTAAGTGAGGTGCGGATCGTCGAACTGCGATAGACGGGTGTGGATCGACCATGTTAGCCATTACAGCCTCGAACTGGCGAGCTGGGATAGCATGTACGATCTGATCGCTTTCGTGGACAGCATTCTTGACTTCTTCGCTGCGAGGCGAAAGCTCTTGCCGCGACGAAGCCGCACGGAGTCTTTGCTTGCGGACTGGTCGGGTATTCATATCTGGGGGTAGGCTCCGCCGCCGTTTGTATGGATTTACAGCGATATTCTTTCCTTCGATAAAGACACTCGGGCGGGTTTCGGGTATAGTAGGTGGGACTATAAGACCGCCTAGTATATCGGGCTCCTCCCGGAGGGGTGTTTTGGGAATTTGCATGTTGAGCTCGTATGCATGAACGACATTGTCAGCCGCTTCAACAGCACGTCTCGCGCTATCTTGAACCATCTCAATCCCCTCCTTGAGAGATTGAAAAATCCCGCCTGGTTTGACGGGAGTCTTACTCTCCATCGCCTCGCGCACTGTAGCGTGCATGACATCAAGCATGCCCACCACGCCCTGCATCGGGGTCCTCAGTTCGTGGGACAAGCTGCGGGCGTATGGTTTGAGGGGGTGTGAGTTGAAATCAGCGGCTTGATGGAAGGCGGCAGTCTGGGGGTTGTGGAAATCGGAGGTATTTGTCGTCGGAGAATCTAACATTTCATCTAGAATTTGTTCCCCTGGATCTAGTCGTTGTACAATCAGGTCTTCAAGCGAGTGGAGAATCATCTCCAGGAAGGACCAGGACAGGTTTCTATGCCGAAGACCTTCTTTGGACCACATCAACCCGAGGTGCGCCAGGCACTTTCCGGCTGAAAAGAGGGGAATCGCCAAATAACCATCGGCGGCGAACGGTAAATGATCATCGCCGAACGATACAAGTGAGCTCAGATTCTCGGGGATCAAACAAGGCCGTTCGTGGTCCATATGCAGTAAGGGGTTCCCGCCCGCGAAATACCTGTTTCGCTGCAAACCAATGGTCTGGTAACCATCGTTGTAATAGAAAGCTGCACCGAAAAGGGACGGGCGCCGCCCGCCCAGTTCTGGCATGGGCTCACTCCCGTGCACTCTCCGGGCAACAAACCCATACTGGGCCTTGGTTATAGATGTCATGTCCTCCATGAGCCGTTTCCAGAACAGCTCGGTATCGGATGCCCGCAACCCCTGTTTGAGTGTGACCAAATGTTCAATGGCGGTGGTCTGGGCGCCATCGTTCCATGTTCCCAAGTCGCGTTGCACATCTCCGTCGTCATGGACGGCGTTTAGTCCGTCACCGGTGATGCACTCAGACTTGCAGGAGGGAAATGGCATGGTGGGACAAGGTTGGACAGCATGAGAGACATCTGGCTCGGGCGTGTCGGGCATAGTCCATGTGGCAAGTAAAGGTAGGGTCGGTTCGAGGATTCGGTTTTCGGGCTCTCTCGTAGGTTGTTTATGCGAGGGCGACGACCATAGCATTCAATGGTACAAATAATAGGTACGGTGGATGGATCGAGACGACTTCGATGTACATCCACCAGAGTATGAAATATTGGAGAGAAGGCCCAGAAGGAGGGGAGAGGGGATTTTCCGTTAGTTCGATGGGGGCCGGGCGGTCTAGACACACGACCTGAAACAGGAGTTATCAAGAGCTCATAGATTCTAATATAGAGCTAATAATATTTCTAAAAGAGTTTGAGGTTTCTCTAGAACTTGTATTTCCCTTTGACGAACGTTATTCGCGTTGTGTGTTATGTGTTTTTTCTCGAATTCTGCACGGAGGTTGCGATGCAGGATCAGTGGGATCTAGACCAAAATGAGGGCCATCAGGTACCCGGTACCTGCTGTACCTGCTGTACCCTGGTGTTATTTTGTTATTTAGAGAGATACCAGGTACTCGGTACTTCTGGGATCACTTTTCTACTACTATTCATATTGCATGTTGTACGTTGTAAGCACTCTCTATGCCACCATTTTTTTTATTCTTTCCAAGGTTCTCAGCCGATTTCTGAATGATTAATATCATTATATATTCATGATGACTTCTTTGGTTTATCTAGATCCAACATATAAGGCATAGCGAATTCAACAAGCACTTTCAGTTCCTCAATATCTCAAGCAAAGCGACGCAATTATAATTTAACGTGAGTTTTTCTCAGAACCTCGCAAGCATCGACGGTTCGTGTTATCTCAACTTGACGCCGGTTTTGGTCAATCTCATTCAAGTAGGTCTTCATATAGAGTTTGCACAAATGACATTTTTGCTGTTGGCCATTCTGCGAACGACGTGCAAATTTTGGAAGCATACATTTATGAAGACAGCCAAAGAAACGCTCAACCTTTGGCTAATAATAGTTTATTTCCTTCTTGTACATGATTTCCCATTGGCTTCGGACTCGCAAATATGTCTGTTCAGCTTGTTAAAAGTAGATCTTCTGGTTGGCAACCACCTCGGGTTAGATAGTGACTGAACAACGGTGCCATTCAAGCCATTTATGTTGAGATCCTTCCGGTATTCGAGTAATTTCTCTAATATTCAATGGACTGCAGGGACAATCGTTAACAAATCCAGGGTACTTGCACCTACGGTTTATCTCAGTGCTATATTCCCTCTCAGAGGAATCAAACTCATTGTCCAGGTACAATTTGATGCATGAGGAACAGTAGAGTCTCCTAGTTCCCTGAAACCAACAAAGAAGCTGTCGGCGTAGATATAGTTTTCGATAGGGTGTGTTAGTTGGAAGCCCGTGTGGAAGCCAACCGTGGCCAAGCATATATCTGGGGAAGGCACATTCGTCGGCCAGAACAGGTCGATAGGGTCTGTACAAAGACGTGCAGCTGACGGCAAGGGTAGATTTGAGACTTTATATCGAGAAGTTGAAATATGTGGTCCACTAGTTCTGGTGGCAGGTCCGATATAGAAGCCCTTGGGCGCTCTATTTTTGGAGGCAGGTTCGGCATAGAACTATTTAGGTGCTGCGTTTCTGAAGATAGGCTTGGTATAGAAGGAATTGGATGCTCTACTTCTGGAGTTCATCCAATATGGAAGCCTCGGGGTGCTCTATCTCTAACTCTGATGACTAGAGGTTGTTTCTCGCTGAATCACCGCCGATTCCTATTTAGGGAATACTGTATCACCGGCCACCCAGACACTACCTATCCATGAATGTATCAAATGCTAAAATTGACCACCCAGTTGGCTTGCTCGCTTTGAATATATGTAGTAGATGTATGAAACTTCGATATACTGTGGAGTACCCACCTTGGAACGCCCTGTCTTTGCCTAATGCTGACGATTCATCTATCTTTGGTTAGTATGCGGATCCGTTTAAATTAGCTACATACATAGGTAATCTCATACCACACATTGTACAACGGCAGAACTGTGAAACCGAGGTAACAATTCAAACCCTGTCATCGCAGAAGGCCCGAGCGTCACTGTAAGCATATCCGCATGTATAGCAACCAACCTTGCCATTCCGATAATTCTGATTAAACACAGATGAAATTATACAACCATGACCTCAGTCACTCCATACAACATCGCTATTCCCAACGAGCAACTCCAGCAGCTCCGCCAGAAGCTGGAGCACACCACCTTCCCCGATGAGCTTGATGCTGCGGGGTGGGATATGGGCGTCCCTCTACTTGAAATTAAGAGACTCGTCAATGTGTGGCGCGAGAAGTTTGATTGGCGTGCGCAAGAGCAGAAGTTAAATCGACAACTCAAGCAAGTCAATGTTCGAGTCGGAGTGGAGGGCTTCGGGGAACTGAACATACATACCGTGTATCACCGGAGCGGAAATTCGAAAGCAATTCCATTGCTTTTTATCCATGGGTGTATCTAACCCCTAGGACTTCCTACATCGGTATCTTCGTCACGCTTGCTAATTTATTGTTCTTATACCAGGGCCTGGTAGTTTCCTCGAAGCCACTAAGCTTATCCCACTTCTCACTAAGAGTAGCGGGGATGGCCCAGTATTCAATGTCGTAGCACCTTCGTTGCCAAATTTTGGATTCTCGCAGGGCGTCAAGAAGGTATGCTGAGTGATATGTATCAGCACTGTCGAGCACATGCTAACAACCAAAGTAGAGAGGGTTCGGGCTAGCACAGTACGCCGAAACTCTGCACAAAGTGATGATCGCGCTAGGCTATGAGGAATACGGCAAGCACCATATGCCCCTATCAGGAGAGACTAACTAATTCCAGAGCAGTGATTCAAGGAGGCGATTGGGGAAGCATGATCGCCCGTACAATGTCTCAGTACTACCCTCAACACACCCAAGCCATCCACCTGAACTTCATACCCGTCATGCCGCCCTACCCATGGCGAAGTCCCTACCAGTTCATCAAATCGCTGCTGTATGTGCCATTCTCGGCGAAAGATCGTGGCTACATCGCCCGGACATTTGAGTATTTCACCCGCGGCAATGCATACATGAAACAGCAAGAGACCCGACCACAGACTCTAGGTTACGGCCTTCATGACAGCCCTGCCGGATTACTAGCTTGGATCTACGACAAAATGCACACTTGGTCCGACAAGTATCCCTGGACGGATGAGGAGATCTTGACCTGGGTGAGTGTATACTACTTCTCCACAGCTGGGCCAGTGGCGTCAACAAGGATTTACTACGAGGCTTCAGCGCCGAAGCGCGGTGGGAGCTCATATGTGTCGGGGGATAGCGCTCAGGAGGATCTGCTGGAACAACTGAATTACATGTCGCTTGAACAAATCCTCGCGGCTCGGGCACCGCAGAGTGTGCGCTTTGCAGTGGCGCAGTTCCGGGAGGAGATCATTATGTGGCCTGTGGCGTGGTATCGGTCCATTGGGAATGTTGTGCAGGAAACGGAATATGATCATGGTGGCCATTTTGCCGCCTGGGAAGTGCCTGAGTTGCTGGCGTCTGATATCAAAAGCTTCCTAGGCAATAATGGGCCAGCCTACGGGGTGATAGCCGACAGAGATGGTTATTGAAAATCTCACTATATTGACCTTTGAACGAGGCCTTTGGGGATGACTTAGTGTGTGGTTGCAAAGGATGTATAGCAATATACTCCTTATTTCGGAAAAAAAAAAAAAGGAAGCCCGATTTTGTATTTAGTCTTGTCTTGGGCTCGTATTATTTGCCTCTTGAGTCCGATATATTTGGTTAATGTTGTTCTTGTTTTCATATTCATGCGTTGGCTTAGTGACCTCTTCAGAAATTAGACTCGTGGATAGCGAAATAGTGTATAACAATACTACCCTTTGCCAGATTAATCCGAAATATGGAAGACGGGTATCTAGCACCTCCCTACAGGCCGAATGGACCGCGGGCAGTAGGTTACGAAGCCTGAACAAAGACAAAGGTCAGTCAAAGCAACAGATTGGGGATAGGTACTGATTCCCGAAAATAGGATGTTTTTATCCCTAGTTAATACGTTGGATTGATGATGCAAAGTGGAACACTGCCGTGACGTGACAACGGGGGCCTTTTATTATCGTGATAAAAGTAAGAGAAACATGGAGTCAAAGAACAAAATTGCCCTTCGGCTCAGGTATCAACCGCTCTCACGTTGCTCTTGTGCTATCCCGTCATTGATTGACCGTACACGGCACATATCATCCAGTGAAGACCGTAGACGCCGGGATTTGCCCTCAAACCAACGGAAAGCTCAAAACAACCACTTCCCCAAATCTAATCCTGTCGTCCCTTCAATAACCGCTGGGTAACCTTGTCCTTCTCTATAATGTAAACCTGGGCACCCCAACCGGAGAGAGCATCTCGGTCCACGGCGCTAAGCAGTGCTTGTGAGATTGTCTCGAAGAGGTCCTCGGGGGCCTGTAATTACAAAGTGTGTTAGACTGCACATCTAGCAGGGGGTATGATAACAAAAACTATAAGATACATACCAGATCAGGCTCCCACAGACCCTCGCAAGTACCGAAGAGCTGGTCGCTTGCTGTTCCGCTGACAATGAAGTCCTTGGCGAAATCGATACAGCCAATGCTGTCAAAGCCGCAGATGAACGGCTTCCCCGTTGTTGGGTTGATACCAGCCAACACAGGGCTGACGAAGTAAGGACCGAAGCGCTTCTCATACAGCGATGAGCTCACTAGGTTGGCGAGGGTCTGCGGTGCGATGTCGCGCTCCTCGCGCAGCCGGTACATGTTGACCTTGTAACGGAAGAGATCGGAGACAGTGTTGACATCGGTGGCGAGGCCAGTCAGGCCGAGGTAGGTGGATGGAGCGTAGTTGAAGATCTTGGGGAAGTTGTTGGAGATGGTAAGGGACTGCATGCCAAGGCGAAGGTCACAGGCGATGGCGACGCAGTCCTTGCCCACCATGGCGACACAGGCACCGCCATCTGCAGAACGATTAGTATTTTTGTTGAATATTCACGAGGGACGAGGTTCCGGCATACTGATGTCGAAGGGGTTGGACTGTGATGGGAGAAGTCGGTCAGCTTTGAGGTCCAGAGGTTCGTGGACGATAGGGACAAAGGGCGCCTTTTTCTTACCATTATTGCAGTGTTTCAATGCAATTCAATATAACGGAGATATTCCAGAGCTAAAGCACAAGAAAAAAGAAGAGAAAATGTGGTTGAGAAGGGGGCGGGTTGGGGGAGGTGATGGAGGTGAGTTGATGACGGGGAAGCTCTGAGGTACGCGAGAGCTCAGATGACGCCCGCACCGCTGCCTGTTTCGTATGCTTCGACTACTTTCTGCGCCATCTTTCTCCCCGCATTCGAGTTCACCCTTTTTTACCTCTTTACTTTCATTTATCTATTTGAAATCTCTTTATTGAGATAGTGAATCTTCTTTATTTTATTGTCAGAGCTAGTGTTCTCCATAACACAATGAGTGCCCACGTTGTGGTGATCGACACGACAGCCAGGCGGGCAACAATCAGAACTACTCCCACCAAACACTTGACCGATATCCTACAAGAAGCATGTTCGAAGCTTGGATATAACGCTAGTCAGTACTCATTAAAGTGAGTTGGTGTTTCTTTTCCCTCGTGACAACTCTGACCCGGTCTTGTTTATGCAACAGACACAATCGCAAGCAGTTGGACCTTTCTCTTTCCTACCGTCTGTCTGGTCTTAGCTCCGGCGCGAAGCTTGAACTTGTTCAACTCTCTCGCTCCCCATCAGTCGTAACCGTCGGCCTACAACTGCCCGAATCTGAGGCTCGTGATGCCCCGAATGGCCGCATACTTGATAAGTTCCCTAGTACGACTACGCTCTGGATGGTACTACGCAAGTTCGAGGCGGGAGTTGCAGGGAGTGGCCCAGTACGGAACCTCACTTCACGTGCAGTGCCCTCTGCCGATGGTGGAGATGTCGCCGGACGACTGTATTATGAGATCCCCGTCCTTCAGATTTTGGAACGTGAAGTATCGAGCTTCACGGATCTACAAAAAACCCTGGCCCATCTAGGTTTCAACAGTGGCAATGTTCTTATTCGACTAAGTTTCCGACGGACTGATGAGCCTATCGAGGAAGCCATGGTCAAGATTGGCGAGTTCTTCAAGCCCTCAGAGGATGAGGCTCCTTCGGCACAGGATAAGAACGCAGCGCCCGCAGTACCGCCCGCAGCAGCTCTCGCTGACAGCACAAGCAAGGAGCCTGCTCAAGATCTCTCTAGTTCATTGCAGCGTGAGCCCTCCACCGTCACCGCCGCATCATCGGACGAAGCTGCCCCTCCCCAATATATCTCAGAACCGGCCACTTCCACGGTCGACTCTGGTCGAACGATTACCGTCTTCTCTCCTCCCTCAGATGACACTCCTTCATCAGCAAAATTAGACTACAATGAGAGTGATTACATTCCCTCTATCGAGCATGCAAAACTGCACCAGCGGTTACTCAACGAGTCCTCTCGCCCAAAGCGCTTGCCAACGGACGCCGAGATCGCCGCCAAGGCAGAGGCAGAAGCAGCAAGACGAGCAGCAATTCACGAGGTCAACGTGAAGATCCGGTTCCCAGATCAGAGCCAAGTGGTTGCGAAATTTGGGACCTCGGACACAGGACAGTCGTTGTATGAATTCGCACGCGGGTGTCTTGCCCCACCGTTCGCCAGCGAGAACTTCAATCTGACTGTCCACGGTGTATCCCGGTCCAAGCATACAAACGCCATACCCCAATCAGACAAGAAGCATCTGATTAAAGACCTCGGACTGGCTGGCCGTGTGCTCGTCAACTTCTCTTGGGCTGAAAACGCTGCCTCGTTTGTTCATGAACGCCGGGCGGAGATTCTACGCCCCGAGCTTCGGAGCCAGGCTCAACAGCTCAAGGTAGAGCAACCACCGGAGCTCAAGGAAGATGTGCCTGCTCCCTCACAGCCGGGTCCGAGTAGCGCTCAGGGCGGTGATAAGCCCAGCGGGGCACGGAAGAGTGGCGGTATGCCTAAGTGGCTAAAGCTACCCGGTAAGAAATGAAATTGTGATGATGGAATGTATTTGGTTCAGGTGAGCGACATGTGCTGCTCTTGATGATCATGACTTAACTATGTGACCCATCCTTTGAAGAGGCATTAACATCTTAGATGTGCGGATAGACTTGAATCACATGCCTTTCTAACTTCATTTATATACCTGTGTAGAAAGCCTCAAATGATAATGTAACATTCTAGACTCGTCACCAAAAGCATAGTGTTATGTCGAGCCATTGAGATGCTGTCTACTCTTCATACATCCATGGATATATATGAAGTCAAACGCTTCTCATCATACTTGATTCTCATCATACTTGGATAATCATTCGCATTTCCATCTACGTTGTAAACCTCCATTTAGAAAGTGGCTCAATTGCAAATATCAAACGTGAAATGGTTGAATAATTGTTTTCATTATGGTTTCACTCCATACGACAGAGAAGGAATCCCATATTTGCCTTCCCCTTCATGCACGCCCAATGGCCACGAAACCCCCTTTCCGATCCGAGAATCACGCTTTTTTTGCGTCGAGTCGTTAAAACGAAAGAAAAACAGGAACGGGTCGGAAAATTTAGTGAGCAGCGGTGCGGCGAGACTCAGCAATAACCTTCTGCATGGACTCAACCTTGGCCTTGCCGCGGCCGAAAGTACCGAGCTGGATATGAAGTTAGCAAAAGTGTTGACTCAAATGTATCAACTGATCGGGCTCTGGTCCTAATGGAAATCGTTCTGATAGGTCTCGGTCACTGGTAAACAGGACAGGAATTGTGTGGGCTTCTCCAAGCAGAGATTGAAATTTATCTTCCTCTTCAAGATTGACCCATAGAGTACTATTCCAATACAACAAGACCTCGACCAAATCGACTCGAATCCAACGTAGTCCATGCAACGGAGCCAACCAGACGAAAGCGGGAAAAGGATTGAGAGTAAACGTACGCGCTTCTTAGCGAGCTTGCGGGCACGCTTGTCCTGGGCGTTGCGCAGCAACTCAATGATGCGGCGCTCGTAGGGAGCGAGACCAACGACTTCCTGGGCGATTTCGCGGACGAAAGCGGTGCGGCGGGAAGACTTGCCCTTGGTGCGCGAGATGCGGGTCTTGGGGGTGTTGAGGGCGGTGGTTTTCTATAGGAGAGCCCAGTCAGTATGTCTGTTTGGCCGAGTCTCATGTAGCGGCCGCAGGTTCCAATGATCTCTTCTAGTTCGCCTTTCATGTCTGTCTGTTCGGGTAGATCCATGGCGCGGTCGGATGAGGGGTACGTGGAAGGCGAGTGCTGGCTTCGGTGCCAATGTCGAATTCCAAAAAAAATGTCCCCGTGATATCGAAATTTTCCATAGCGAGTCTCCGATTTTTCCAATGTGCGATTCAATCGTAATCCTCCTTGCCGTGATAATTCCCAGTGTTGCCGCGATAAACCTTGACCCAACTGGTCTTGAATGGACCAACAGACCGAATGAAAAGAAAGAAGAGACCTTGGGAGACCTTCAAACAACCGAAAAACATGATGCAAAAAGACAGTAAGAACGTACCCGGCCCGCGTTGAGTCCGACCACAATTCCGGAGCGTTCGGCCATCTCGACGGTTGTTGACTGAAGGGGTTGGCGGAGGTTGTCGAAGAGGAGGTGAGGGAGCCGTGTGAAAATCGCCTGGTCTTTTGCCTGGAACCGCAAAATGGAGCCTTGGCGTTGGTGCGATAGGCGAGTGGCTAGGGCTAGGGCTGGATGAATCAGGACTAGCGTTAATGCCTGACACTTCGGGCATCAAAGTCAATATGACTTGGCATACGCACGTGATAAACGTTGCCCTTTTTTTTATAGATCAACCTTTACTACCTGGACTGCATCTGACTTGTTAACATCAACTCTGTCATGGATTTGGTTTACATGTACTCTAACTATGAATTTTCATGGACATATGGTTCATTCCTTGCGATTCTGGATGTTCAGCATTAAAGCCTGGCAGCCAGCACTCCGTCAAGTGCCTCCTCCCAGCTCTCCCTCAGCTCTCCACAGAACAATTCGAGAGCAGATTCATCCAACACCTTCTCCAAAAGATCTTGGAGCGGCTTCTCGTATTCATCAGTGGCATCACCACACTTGACCATGTCGATGAGTGTACTGAGAGTAGCTGATTCAGTAAGGCTCTGTTTCAAACTGCGGGTGTTCGAACGAACATCCTCGAAAACTTCACGAACAAGAGTATTCAGTCTCTTCATTTGTTCGGCAGGTAGTTTGGCGGTCTTTGCGGCCTTTCGAGAATCCAGGTCGAAAATATTCCACAGAGCCTTGAGGGTCTCCACGAGGGTCCAGATGACATGGAAATATTCCCATGTCGGTGCGCCTGGGGTGCCTGGAGTGAACTCGATGGTTGTTCTCATGATAAGACAAGACTTATTAGTGTCTTTCATGGCTAGATCCTCTCTCTTAACCTTCAACCAATCCTCTACCTCTCCAAGAGAAGTCTCAATTTCAGCAGAAGTATGGGCCTTGGATCCAGCCATAAACATAGCGACTTTCAAGAGTTCTACGTGAATCTTCGTTGCATCAATCTCAGCGACAGTATGATCAGCATCAGTCTGGGAGAGCGACAATTTGCCGATTTCGGGCAGCTCTAGCTTCAAGACGACTGGCTTCTGACTGCCGATGCTCTCAAGGACACTGAAAAGTCGATCAGTGAGCCGGGCGGATGCCAACCAGTTTTCCTATATTGGTATTAGTTGGTGCCGCGGTGTCACTCAAGCAAACGAACTTACGCTAGGAATCGGGCCTGCGCGCAATCGGTGCTCAAATGGAGATTTATCACATCGTTCCAGGTTCATAAAAGCATCATACTTCCGGTGATCTTGAGCTGGTGATGTATCCTGAGCTATAGGGTGGTTAGTATTCAAGTATGCTGGGAGTACATGAGAGACTGGGGGTTGCTGACCAACGTCCTCATGGAGGGCCAAGTGGTTTCCTTTGCGGATTCTTTGCATCCGCCGTAAGTCCAGGGCCCACATTCTCCGGCAGATACTGTCCCTGATACGTTTTTGAAGCTCGATTGAGTCGTCTAGATTGACGTAAGTCCCATCATCGAGACCTTTTATCAAAGAGTTCTTGATAGTGAAGTTTGCACTACGATAAAAGTCAAGAGCGCCGATAAATGCAACTTGCGGTTCAAAATCCTTGTACTCTCCGCCCTCGATAGGAGACGCGGGATGAGGGTGGATGGTAGCAAAACGGGTGAAAAGGTTATGAGCAACACTTTCATACTGCATTTGCTTGACAGACAGCTTGCCAAACCACCTCAAGGCAATGGAGCCAGCACCGAGAAGAAGATAAATGCGAATCAACATAAGAATCGCTTCGTAGTTATGCGGTGAATCGATTAGAAGGTGTTCCAAAATGCCAGCGGCGCGAATCAGGGCAGTGTTGCTGATTTTTTCAGATGTTTGGCCAGCTGGGCTGGGCTGAAGAAGGGCTATTGCGGCAATGATGCAGAAGTCATCTGTGGGCCGACTTTCCATTGCGGAAGCAGTATCTGGTTGGCTTTCTTTCTTCTGGTCCTGGGTCTTTGCTAAAAGTGTGAATGCATCGTAAAAGTAAAGGCAATTGCGGACAAGAGTCTCAATGATAGATTTTGATGCGTTGCTGTTGCCTGAAATACGGTCGCAGTACTGTAGCTTATACGCATTGATCAATGGAATGGCATCGTCCTGGAATGTTGATTAGCTCGCATTAACTGGGTTTAGCAGAAGTTGCACTTACGGGTTTCCCCTCGACACTGTCCATGCAATGCTGAGCTACTCGGTGAATTAAAGCGTCATCACGGGTCTCCAAAACCCCCCGTAAGTCTTTAAAAGCATAGAGTTTGTGCTTGTGTTGGTCGAAGTATCTTTGGCACGCAATAACCAGATCATCCTCTGTCCGCTCGCCTCGTTTAACCCCGGTGAGGACTATGTCCATGAGGGCGATGTGCGCATTGCGGGACTTTGGGCTGAATTCGATGAACTTCTCGATATGCTGCTGCGTGTCTGAAAGCAGCCTACGAAGTAGGTAATCAGTTATTAGCTGAGGGTTTGACGGTATAGAAGTAAAACATTGCAATACATACTCTGGGCTGTTTTCAAGACGGCGCACGGCTAAGATGAGCAAGTTCCAATATTTCCAATCATCACGCTCATGCAGAGTGCGGCGCTCTGCTTCGTCTTCAGATACGGCAAGCAGGCTTTTGACGTATGAGTGTCCTTCTTCCCAGAGTTCGGCAGACCTCAAGCTAATGACTTTGACTAGCGTGAAAATCCTGTCGTTATTAACAATCCGAGAGTTGAGACCAGCATTCTCGCTATCAAGAATCTGCACAATCTCTGTCCAGCGACCCTGCGATTCGAGAATTCGAACAACCAACAGAAGTTCCTCGGCGGTTTGTATGGCTCTCGGAGGGCTTAGCAATTCAGTCTGTAGTAAGCCATGGACTATGTCAGTCATTTATGCCCGAGTATTATATCCAATCTTCACGTCCAGTGCGCATATAGTCGCATATCGTCTTTGGGGGAAAGTCACATACGGGGTTAGAAGGAACATCGGCTACTGCCTTCTGAGCAAAGCGATAGGCAAGTGTCCCAAACAACTTGCGGTCCATGTCCGAGCTAGCCGCGTCATCTGAAACAAGATAACAGAGGAAAATGGCCCAGAAATAGTACTTTCGCTCCCGAGGAAAGTTTTTTTGGAGACTCATGGCAGCCTGTGATACGAACGAAGGCACTCATTAGCAACTTGGCCCTTGATACGATGAAAATGTAACATAGGTTTCTTCCCAACTCACTTTCTGGGCTGACTTCCAGTCAGCAGCCTCATATCCGAACTTGAACCACCTCATCTGAAGAGCATGATCTTGTGGCTTTGCCTTAGCTGCTCGCTCCCATATAGCGCTCCGAAGCTCGGTATGGTCATCCATCTTCTGCAGCGTACGGTGAAGTATGTCGAGAGAGTCTAAATCCGAGATGGGTGGATCGGCGTTGCACAGCTCGAGGGTCTCTGCAATACCTTTCTTTTTGTGAGTTTCATCCGCATGATTGAAGAGGACATTCGCTTTCCAGGCCTGTTTGCTTGCGATCTCACGTGTTAGCTGGTCCCGTACAACTGACAGCGTCGCCGCGGGTAAATTCGAAATAAACAATAATAAGGATCACTCGCCTTCAGAAATTGCGTGTTCTCGCCTTTCTTTATGCGCTTCTCAATCAGCTGTAGGGCCTGTTTCATGTTCTGCGAGTCAATGGCATCTTGGATTTGGTTGTTGCGACGCAGAAACACCGCGTCATTGCTGGAGCTCATGTTGGAGGTGGTATTCAATTTGCAGGAGAACTCTTCAATTGGTGTCTTTCGCGAAATAGTTCGATTACTATGCAAAGCATAGCATAGGCTAAAAAAGATCAATGATCTGAGTAGGATTTGAGTGATCGACTCCGGTCACTTTTTTATTTGGCGGGGAAGGAGATCAAAGGGTAGGCGGTAAACCAATCCCCGCACCATACTGCCGGCAAGAAACAACATTTGAAGCTGTATGCGCCATAGATGTACATTGAGGTACATAGTTCAAAAATAGAAAGGACATAAATAACATATTGAAAAAGCTAGTCAACTGTTTTGGTCTGAGTTTTATAGTTTACTGTACAATATAGCCCATATGTATCCATTGGGATAAGTAATCACACTTAAAAACAATTAATAACTACATTAAAATCTAGAGACATCCATGGTTGCTAGGAGGCCCAAGGGCTACAACCTTAAAAGGTTCTCAGGGTCTATTTAATTATTTTTCATGTATCCCGAGGGTTTTATTCGACTGAATATGAAGATCCGAAGCTCTACACCTGGACAAGATAGATAAGACTCCAACGTTATGAAGATGCTATTATACAGGCTTAAATTAACTTAAAGATAGTGCGATACGCCAACAGAAGCCAGGTCGCAGGAAAACAACTCCAGAAAGAAAAAGCCGCTTATATCGCAGGTCAGCGCCGGACCATAAAACGTTTCGGCTTGCCAAAAGTGGTTATTTTTTACCAGCCTCGCAAAATCGCAATTCCCGACAGCAGTTCGAATGCTTATAACAGAGCAGTGCACGTAAAATAAGCTAGGGTTTTGGGTTTGGGAGGCTTTTGCTCATTGGATTCATAAAAGAGCACATGCAACAACTGATTTGGGGATGCCAAGGATCTTGCCAGCCAGGAAAGTTGTCGATATTTTTGGTAAGAATGATCCGGGCTGATAGAAATGTCTCATTTGGGCTGAGGCGTCAAAGAAACTTTCTTCTGGGTGAGCTGTGCCTTGTTAGCAACCGAATATACTCCGACACGTAGCGAATCAAAGTCAAGGGATCTCGCGGCAAAACTTGCACGAGGCAGGTGAAAGAGGCGTTAACGACAAAGTTCTGTATTGAACTTACCCAGTTCTTTTTGCAATCACGATAAGCTCTAGACAAGGCAGTCAGTGAGAAAGCCTAGATATGATAATCATGACAATATTGTACGAGCTGGTCAATTTCTGACCAAGAGCCAATGAGGATTTCTGACATACTGGAAATAATCATGGCACATTTCGCGCTCGAAGGCGTTCCGTTTCATACACTTGAGACTCCGATCCGCGAAGTCTTGGCATGGGTCGTAGTACTCGCTAGCATGTTTACTAAAATTGCAAGTTAGCTATCAGTATGGATAAACGCCACACGTATTCACCCCTGTGAATACGCGGCCATCGGGCTAGTCTGTGTTACTACGCGTGGCTCTCAAGACCCCATAGTCCATTCCATGTAAAGATGGAGCACATCCGCGATCACGGATGACTCCAGAAAAGTCATATCACGTTTGGGGAATGGACAAACACAGAAAAGGGTGGAAAGAGGAAACATTGAAACATACTGCGTGAACTTCTTCTCCGCTTTCTCCCACGCTTTGTCGTGAGTGTCTCTTTGGGTTGACTCGGCCGCCATGGGTGCAGTGAATTCGTATGTCTCCTAAATTTGCAAGCGATAATTAAGGCAATTAGATTAATCAAATAGAATAGAATTCCAAAGCGTTGCTCGAAGATCAGATTGGAGGTGGAGGTTGATTGGAGCAGAAGTTAGCGTTGGATGAAGGAAGAATTGGGGATCCGCAGTCTTGGCGCGGAGATCGGCCAATGTACCCCAAAGTCCCGAGGTCCGCATAACATGTTTTTATCTACGTATTGTGTTTGGGCGTTGGGTTTCATATTATTCTAGAAGAATCTACAATTGTACAGCACTTAGTTATGTCTGATCCGCGGACCCATTGAACTAGCCTAAGGCCCCATTTTAGAGTCCAGCTTTCTAGCCAATATATATCCTCATGATTTTTTCAATTAACCCAAGGACCTGTTATCAATAATTATTCCACTTCCCCGTTTAGCCTTCTCCAGATACCCTTGGAACCCACTATCCAACCTTGGTTAGTGTCAACTCCCGTGCTTGTGCAGACATCACATGGTCACTGAAAGAGCCATCGATGGATATTGCATACCGGGGCCCCTGAAAAGGTGAGCTACTTCCATACTTCAGAGAAGTTTTAAGCACTGGAAGCATTGATCCGGGAAGAAAATACACTTGGCGGGAGATTACGCCGAAGAATGGATCTGGTTGTCTTCAACCGAAATAAATCAAAGGTAGAAGAAATACAGCCGTCAACCGTCCTTCCAAGCTGCATTTATAAGAGGATGGCACCGAGGCCGCTATTAAACACGACATAGATAGCGCCGAAACTGCCCGTGATAAGCAGCCGCATTGAAATGTTTAGGCACCCTAGTCTATGTATCCATAGATATCTAAAACCAGTCAAAAATTTCCACTCGATAGCATATCGGAGCATCAATGCTAGTATGGTATCAGTATTCTCCTAGGTCGCACTTTATATTCAACCCCCCACCCCCCCCCCGGGGCGCGCTCTTTGATTCTAAGAACTCTGATGGAGCCCTAACGCAGCATGATTTTATGGCAATGAAATCCAATGAGAATCAAGTCCCCGGTGGCATACTCCGTCGTTCCGAGACGCGGGTGGAGCATTAATCTATGTGTCATGCCAAACCGAAATTGGGAACAATTTCCATAACGAGATTGTTGATCCTTAGAGAACCTCCAAATCTGATTGGTAACCGTGCATGCATAGAGCACGAGCTCTGTCTCCTGCTTATCTAGCCCACTAGATGGTCAATTATGCATGAAAGCTCCTGAAGTTACCGATGGTGCTCGCGTCACTCGAAGCTTGATAGATTTGTCATGTTATGATTGCTAGGAAGATGTAGAGATTCGATTGGACAATGAAAATTAGATCAAAGCTATATATCCGTCGTTGCCGTCTGTTGTTCGAAACGGTTGACATGCTCACTTCCATTCCATATTGCGCACGTCGGAATAGCATCCATAGAATCCTCCCCAATTCTTTCTCTTCCCAATATCAAAGTCCGATAACTTTGAAGTTTTGTGCTAGATTTAGCAAATTTATGTTCAGTTTTATCCTACCTGAAGTGAAGTAGCGCTCCTTTTGGCACACATCGTTGGATGTCACCTGGTGGTTTTTCTTTCGAGATTGCGTCTATGAAAGAGAGCCATGAGACTTATGCACCAGCAGAAATACGGCGACAGTAGAAACATTGATATACGCCCCGATACCTTCGTTGTCGACATGGTTCTAATTCGGCAAGCGGCCATTGCTAGTTAGTAACAAAGAGATATTCCCGTCGAAAAAGGTCATCTCGGTGCCGGAAATTGTCACCTTTGATACATCGAAACACCTAGAGTTTATCCCACCCTCGAAATTGTACACGATAGAAGATCTAGGCTTCTCTGGTAGAAAAGAGGTTTCCCCTATTGGTGTCTCGGAGCGGTTCTCACTTTTCTCCGCCGAAGCCGTCCAGCAAATGAGAAAGGAGATTTTGAACCCGGAGGTGCGAAAAAAAGATGAATAGTCGAGTATATTGATATAATTATGGGATAAGGCGCTGACACTTTTGGAAGGTGTGCGCTGTTCATTCATGATGCTTGGAAAACCCCCGAGACGCTAGAGATTGTCTCAAGTATCGCTAAAGTTGACCTTATCCCTGCCATGGACTTCGAGATTGGCTATATTAACTTCTCCATGAGCAGCAAGGAAGATAAATCGAGGGATCTTTCAGCGGCAGAGAAACAAGAGCGAGAGGCCACGGGTGAGTCGCAGGGAGGTGAAAGTCCTATAGTGGACTGGAAAACTGATAGTTACCCCTTCGTTTGCGTGACTATGCTATCAGATTGTACGGATATGATCGGCGGTGAGATCGCCCTAGTGGTAAAAGTTCGAGAGCCGCAGATGGTAACTAGGCATTCTAATTCTAACCGGCATATTACCAATACTCCAAGCCTACAAAGGTGCATAGAGCTGGACCGTGATTTGCAAGGTGGGGGAGGGGGGTTTCGGGTCATTATTTGGCGTTTTTTCCTCTCCCTTGCATACGAAATTGAAGTTATATATCGGTTCTCACTAAAGAAGATGATAGGCAGAGTAGGTAGTCGCCCGAATAGTGTTATGAAATTACTATTCCTCCAAGTTAGCAGGGTGGTAGAGACGTAAAAGCCCTCAAGTTCAATCGAAAGCCCGAAAGCTCTTGAGTTGTGGTTTAGAGTGTCTTTTTTAAATGTCCTGATGCATGATCTACGATCTGTGGGTGAACCAGTGGATGCAAGATCTAGATGTGTAAATGAGGTCGAATATGTCTTGATCGACCATATTATTAAAGATAAAAATACGTGATTGGCTCACCTGGTATCAGTTTAGGAATGAAAGAAAAGTGAAGCCAAAAACCGGGCAACGTCTTCGTGTCGTAAGATCTCTCGAGGCTTCATTCACATACAAAAGTCCCTCACTTGTAAGAGGTGTACAGTTGCACTTGCTATGCGGATTATTTTCACAATAGACCTTTGGGCAAGCTCAACCAGTCCAAAATGAGAAAACGTCATGAAAGGACCATCGATAAAAGAAAGTGACGAGTCATGTCCGAAGTTGCCAGGTCGAAGCTCCTTGAGGCCCCTTCCTCATGATTATGTGATTGCTTGCCTGAGGCCACCAAAACATCTGCCCTCTCACGTAAAGAATCTGGATCATATTATTGCTCTTCCTTGTACCTTTCTCTCAATCTCAGACAGTCACGTTGTCCTTGCAGCGTTCTTCGACTTTTAGCGTTTGTCTCTGCGAAAACTTGTTGATCACACCTTGCCACTTTGCGAAACTTTTACTTTCCGGGACCCCCACCGCATTCCGTCGACACTCGCGCATTCGCCCCAAGACGCCTTAAAACGCACTCCGGTTGATGGGCTACGTCCCTAGAGTGGAAAACACAGCTCTTGAAGAGCCCCAGAAGATCAACATGGCAGCTAGAAGTGGTTCTGGGGCTGAGGCATCGGGGGTAAGTCCATTCCCGCATCTGATTAATGTGACCAAAAACTAAATACTGACGTGCGCTATACAGCTGGTTAACACCCTCCAAGGCCATGTCGATGATATTCGCACTCTGATACAGTGTGGTATATGCATCCGTCCCCTTTACGAACCGTTTACTATCGCCTGCGGGCACACTTTCTGCTACTCAGTGAGTCCCTCCTATTGTACGATCTTGTTAATTCTATTAGCTGACCAAAATTATTCACTTAGTGTCTATCCTCATGGTTTGCTGGTGGAAGATCAAAGCGAACATGCCCGGACTGCCGAGCACCCGTAAAGACCCAACCAGCTCCAGCTTATTTGGTGAGTTTTAACAGTCCTTCAACATCCTTGAATTCGTTTCATTGTATTAACATATCTCTCCTGTTACAGGTCCGTGCCGTTGTGCAGATGTTCACAGGCCGAGCTGAACTTTTAGACAAAGGAGAAACGACTACAGAGCATACAAAGAACCAAAGAGACGAAGCAGAAAGACTAGACCAGGACAAGGCCAATAATCATCCAACCGAGGGAGGTTTGTTCGGGGGTCTTTTCAAGCCCAAAGCTCCCCCACTCCAACCTGTCATTGACACCCATGACGGAGTGGTTCGATGTCCGGTCTGCTCGTGGGAATTAGAAGGACACAATTGCGCAGGATGCGGCTATCGATACCGGTCGGATTCCGAGGAGACAGATGACAGTGGATCAGCTGACTTCAGTGAGACCGACCTAGACTCGCTCGATGATGGTATGGACGAGGAGGAGGCCGATGGCGAGCTAGAGGGATCTGATCACTTCGACGACATCGATGAACGTGATGGCGTTTGGGGCAACTTTGCGCTTCAGTATTATGGGCCTACCATCCCTGGACGCCCTAACTGGCCCTCAGGTGCTAGCCGGCAGATTTTCGACCGGCTTGAAAACTTGATGGATGGACCTGGTATGATCCCAATGGGGCTCCCGATCCCAGTGGATCATGGCAACTATTTCGCTTCAGGTAACACCCATGGGAGTGAATACGACGAAGAAGAGGAAGACGAAGACGAAGAGGAAAATGAGTATGACGAGTCAGACTCATTCATTGATGCTGAAAACGACCATCCGCCCACGAGTTCGTTCATTGAAAGTCAAGCCGATCGTCTCGGGAGTGGCGATATGTATGAATCGGAATCAGACCGTTCCACCGGCACCGTTGTGGATGATGCTGAGGGTGGCCACCACCATCCCATACCGCTTGGGCTCAATTATAGAAACACTACGCCTTACTTTGACGACGAGGCTTCTGATGAAGAGGAGGAACAGGAAGTCTCAGTGGATTCGGACGAAGCGGAATCGGACGACAGAGAGATGGTCGAGGAAGACTCGGATGAATCTGACGAAGACGCAATCCAAACTGCACCACCTCGTCAGGCTAGTCTACAATATCCACGCCAGTCCCCCTGGTTCCAAGCCCCCAGCGATGCGTCATGGCTTACAGCGAGGCCACCACCTGAAGAAGTTCCTGACTCACCTGAGGAGGAGGAATCCTCACCGCCTGTTAGGCCCGCTAGACCTACTGCGCGCCGTTCGATCCATAACGGGACCACTGCTCATAATGCGATCACCCTCGATGATTCCGACGAAGATCAGCCTGTCGGTCCAGTGAGAAGAACTACACAGAGGCGACGTGCCAGATTCTCTCCATATTAGAGATCTTTCAACCATCGACGCGGTATTTGCTTTCGCATTTTATCGGCCTTCTTAATGTTTTGTTTTAGCTACAGCGCGGCGCTTGGGTAATGATAAGAGGACTGTGGACATGGTTGGCGTTTTGTCTTATTTTGATATCAAAAGAACGACCTATTCCCCTTTTCTTTTCCTCTTTTTTCCTTCCGATGCCTTCAACGGCTTGATTCTATCTTCCATGTTTGTTTCTTATCGGTTCAGCCGTACTCTATGAATACCCCTATTTATCCTTCTTCGGTTCTATCTTGATATTTTGGTTGCCCCTTGCCAGTGAAGTCGAAGAACCTAGTATCTTGGCACTCAATAAACTGTGGCTACAAAATCCGTCATTAGATCCATGGAAAAGCACCCAGGCTCTACTGTATTAAGTTCTTGCTTCTCATTCTCTTCTCCCACCAAACAAGTAGAGCGCAAACTAACAGAGTGCACTGGCTTACTTGATAGTATTATTGCTAACATATGTTGCGTCAGAATTGATAAATACATGTACCTACGACGATTCTCGAGTCCATTTGGAGTAAATAAATGCATCTACCATGACCCACCTGGTGGACACCCTATTTACAAGCAAATTCAACCAACAAGAATAGCCAGCAACCATTTCCACATGACGTAGCGTAGGACTCTTTGGTTATTTGTTGAAACAACAAACTTGCGAGATTGGATGGAAGCAAGGTTATAAAAGTGTGGTACGTACCTATACAGCTTTTCCGATTGTTTACCTTAATCACGAAGTTTACTATTCGGGGGCAGTGCTGCTTGAAATAGGGATATGATTGAATACTTCAATGCACCGAAGAAATCCGGTACATATGCAAAAATAGTAAAATACACAGATGTGACTCCAAATACACCTGACCCCGAGCAACGCTCCCCATTTTACTCGGTCAATGACCAAGATCGAGACAAGAAGATTATGAACAAAATTTATACATCAGCCTTCACGGTGTCATTAGTAGCAAACGGAACTTCGAAGACAACAGCACCATTGCGGCCTCCTGAAGTGGGGCCTTCATGGAAATTGTTGTTGAAGCACTTCCAGCGAGCCAATCGGTGCTCTTTGCCGACAGCGGCGATGATGGACAAACCACGAGGTTCGTGCTCGGTCTCAGACTTTTTTGATTCAGCACCTGGCATATCAGACTCGGGGCGTCGTTCGAAGACCGCAATGTCGTTGATGACACCCTTAATCAAAGGCTCTGGCTCTTTTTGCTCAGCCGCAGGGGTGGCATCAAGAGCAAGAGTCTGGTTGAGTTGCTGCGAGGGTGTGTCTGGCGGTGTCACGGTACTAGATAGGCCTGCACCGATGGGACCCAGAGCGATAAGGGTCTTTTTATCTTCTGAGACGCGCCATGCGCGGATGAAACCATCCCAGCTGCCACTGAGGACAACATCGGTACCCGGTAGAGTAGCGAGTGCGGTGATCCAGCGAGGCATGGGACGCATGTGGCGCGTGTTGTGGGCGGCAGTCGCCTCGTCTGTCTCGGGTGATAACACATCCAGAGGGGGGATTGGGTCCAAGCCATGAGCAAGGCGGACGGTGAAGAGTGGCTTCTTCTTGTGAACTGACCAAAGGCAAAGGGAGCCGGAATCTGAGCCAGTGACGAAGTGAGTGGGTGGGAGGGGGGCAATGCAGTCAATGTTGCTCTCGTGGTAAGGGGCATTCCTGGAGGCGCCACCACGGAACACGAGCTGTGTTTCATCGACAACCTTCCACAGGCGGGCGGTGCGATCCCGAGCACCAACACTGACACATTCGTCAATGGTCATGGCAGCAACTCCGGTGACATGATCCTGGTGGCCGAAGAGTGTTTCGACATAGGCGTGGCCTGCCCCGCTGATGGACCATGTCTTAATTGTGCGGTCGTACGAGCCAGAGAACAACTGCTCTCCAGAACTCATCGTTGAGATATGGCGTGCAAAAGACAGGCTGCAAACCGAGTCTCTGTGGTGCAAGAAAGTCTTGGTTGGCGTCAAAGTCTCTGCGTCCCAGATAATAAGCTTATTGTCCGCTCCACCGGTGGCCACGAATTTTCCAGAAGGTGAGACGGCAACAGATATGATGCTTCCTGTATGTCCTTGATCCTCTCCTGATTCGCCAACTTTGCGCATACCACGAGCGTACTTCACACGCTTGGGCTTCTTGCGCTGGGGGCGCGTAGGCCGCT